CTTCCCCGAGGGCACTCCACCGCTGTGCCGCCCAGGGCCTTAACCGCCTTGCGTGAGGGCCACCTCCTCGGCGTCAACCTCGGCAAGAACAAGACGTCCGCCGCCGACTCGAACGACGACTACGTCAAGGTGTCCGCCTTCTGGGTCCCTACGCCGACGTGGTGATTATCAACGTCTCGTCGCCCAACACCCCCGGTCTCGCGCCCTGCAGTCCAAGGAGACCCTCGAGCGCCTGCTCAAGGACGTCGTTTCGGAGCGCGACTCGATCGCCGTTGACGGCCTCCCCAAGATCGCCGTCAAGGTCACTTGTGACTTGAGCGAGGACGAGCTCGCCGACGTCGCCTCTGCCGTGCGCGCTACGGGCGTCGACGGCGTCATCCTCTCCAACACCACTGTGCGCCGTGACCTCGGCCTCGAGTCGGAGCACAAGGGCCAGGTCGGCGGTCTGTCCGGTCGCCCGCTCTACCCGCTCGCCCTGGCAGCACTCAAGACCCTCCGTCCCCTCCTCCCGCCCTCGGTCCCCATCATCGGCGCAGGCGGCATCTGGAACGGTGCCGAGGCCCTCGACATGGCGCGTGCCGGTGCCTCCACCGTGCAGGTCTACACTAGCTTCGGATACCGCGGCGTCGGCACTCCCCGTCTGATCAAGGACGAGGTTGTCGCTGCCCTGCCCGCTGGATCAGAGTGGAAGAAGGAGATTGGACGCGACTACGCCAACGCCAGCATGGGCTGGGACGTCGACCGCGTCGCAGCCGAGGGCGCTGCCGTCGCCGCCGAGGCGGCTGGTCTCGGCGCCTTGCTCGCCGAGATTAAGGAGAGGGAGGACATCCACACCCTCGCGGCTGAGGCTCACGAGGCTCTCCACTCTATTGCCGACAAGCTGCCAGAGGTTGCGGCCCCCGAGCCCCTTGCCCCCGACGCCATTGTCGGCGCGCTCGAGAGCGCCATTGCCGCGTCGGTGACTGTTGCCGGCGCCATTGAGGCCGCACCCCTCGACGCCGACTTTGTCATCATCGACGAGGTCCTCCCTCCCGTCGTGGAGGTTGTTACCGCCGTCCCACCTACACCGTCCCAGCAGGACGAGTGGACGCAGCGTGCGCGCTCGGGTGACCGTCGTTTGGTGTAGACACATTATCCATAACTCATTGGTATGCAAAAGGGAGGTATTGTCGCATACTTTCATCGTGATTTACCCGTGTAGAGAGCATTTATCGTTACACCTAGTATACAAGTAGTGGACAATGGAGGGTCGGGACTTGGTGCCGGGAGATATACAGTCTGGAGCAGGTACACGCCTTATCGCGAGGGGTGACACCGAGGGGATAGCGGCGCCCAGAGGGTGCTGGGGTGGGCTGCGATGGTGTGACGCTGCTGAAGCGAGGTCCATTGGCGCGTGGTGTGGTGCCACCCTCGTAATGACTGAGGCGCCGTTTGACGAGCTCGGTTGAATCTGAGCAGAGTTGGCAGCAACGGAGAGCAGCTCGCGGTCCTCGTTCAAGCGCTTGACCTGGCGCTCCAGCGCCTTGATCTTCATGTCCTTGATCTTGAGCTGGTCCGAGTGTGCGTGGTGGTTCTTCTCAGCGCCATTGCCGTTGCCGTAGAATGGTGATCGGTTGGAGTCGGCCTCGCCGAGGACCTTTGGTGTCGCCTCACGGCGGCCTCCTCTTCCAATGCCTTCTGAGCGGTCTCTAGGTCGGTATGCAGTTGCTCGAGCTCGGTGTGCCTTGCGTCCAGGTCCGCTTCCTTGGCCTCGAGGTCAAAGTTCTTGCTTTGGAGCTCTTCGCTCTTGGCTTCAAGCTGTGCACTCCTCGCCTCCAGTTCAACGTTTGCGGTATCAGTTCGGCGCACTTCGCCTCGAGCTCCACGCTCGTGGTTTCCAGCTCTGCCCTCATCATCTCAAGCTCGGTGTTCTTCTCCTCGATCGAAGCGTTCAGAGTGGTCTGATGTCAGCTGGCGAAGGATAGGTGCAACTCACAACCTTGCTGCTCAGCATCTCATTGTGGTCCTCGAGATCAAGCACCATGTTGCTCTCGGCCTGCAACTTCCCTGCAGCTCATCGATCTGCTTGCGGACATGTGACAGCTCGTGGACGGCGATGTCCTTTTCGTCGATAGCCGCTTGCAACTGGTACTCGGCCTCTTCAAGCTTGGCGCGCAGCTCCATGGGACCCTCCCGTGCCGACACCGAGGACTGGATACCCGAAGCGTTCATGTCGTCGCGGGCGACCTGCAGGTCGTACTGGGTCTCCTCGAGCTTTTGGTTGAGCTCGTGCTTTTCATCCGCAGCGACCTGTATGCCGTCGCGCAGCTCGGCATTGACGCCCTCCATGTCGCTGAGCTGTTCCCTGAGTTCCGACTGTTCAATCTTGAGCTCCTTGTTGGTGTTGCGGCTTTCCAACAGGGCAGCACGCAGTTCCCGCATCTCATCCTGTACTGGCATGAGCTTGGCGATGATCGTGTCGCGTTGCACCACGTCTCCTTTCAGCTTTTGCAGCAGCTCTCGGTATGATGTGACCTCGTCCTGGAGCGACTTGGCGTACAGTGCCTGGGCATCAAACACTGCTTGGGCATGGGGGCGAGCACGGCGGCAGTGGTGTTTGAAGTCGGATCGGGGTTGGGGACCTTGACCGTATCAGAGCAGGGGATTGTTTTCCTTGTCAGAAACATCGCTAGCAGGCTCGGTTCGGCGTCGCTATGTTCGTCCATGCTTGGTCGGGGAACAGACTCAATGAGCCGGCCGCGACCCGCCTGTTCCAAACACAGGTTCGTCCAATGCCTGTGAATGTTAGGTGGAGGACCGTAGACGGCCATTGCAACTTACTGGAACTGGACTCTTGGCCCTAACGGAGGTTGTCTCTTCTTCCTCCTCTGTAACCGCAGCGAGGTGGGGAGGTGAAATGCGGCGGGTAAGTGGGCTGGACGGCAGGCTAGACGGAACCTGGAGGGTCAGATGGCGTTTTCAGGTGTCAACTCACCGGTAGCTCATCCATGTCTACCACCGACGCAAGGATGCGTGAACTACTCATGCGGGGAGACGTCTTGGGACTGGTAGAGGGCAGCGACAGTGAGCCCGTAGCGACATATTTGCTAGCTGCCAAGCGAGTGCGGAGCGCCGCGACCGGTGTCTTCTCCTCGTCCTGGGTGCCAGTGGTGGTTGCGCCTGACGTGATCGATTCCAGTGACCGGTCAGCCCACATCGGTGCGGATCCGGGACGACGGGGGGCGATACGCGTCGCAGCAGTCGCGTCGGGATCGACCATTGCTGAAATCGAAAAGCTCGCACCGGCCAGCTTGGCAGGGAGTCGTTGCCAAAACTCAAGTCTGCCGGCACGACCCATTCGGAGCTGTTGTTGGGTGACGCCTCGTTCCACTCCTCATTTGGCACTGCTAGCGGCGAAAAGTGTCGGATAGGCTGCACATCGACGAGGTCAGTCTCGGGACTCCACGTCAATCGCCCTCGCCCGTGTGGTCCTCTGGAGTGACGATGATCTCCGTCCCGGGCTCGAACTGGTTGAAGCCGAGGTCGTGGAATGTTTGCGAGTTAGTGAGCGTATTCTGCGTCACCTCATCGTCGAAACTGTTGATGTCGGCCTCTTCAAATGAAGAGTTGTGTGGCTTGTGGGTGGGCTCAAACTCGAGCGAGTCTTCGTCCTCGTCACTGCTTGCTGGCTCGATCATGGGCACCTCTTCCTTAATCAATGGCTCATCGCCGAGATCTGTGATTCCTTCGTCGCCCAATTGTTCAAATGAATGGTGCGATGGCTCGTCCACAAAGTCTGGGAGCCTCTCGATGACCTTGAAAAGACGGATTGGTTGAACCGCACAGAGTTGCCTGTTGCAGGAGTGTTTCCTGGGCGGAGAATGCTGCGTGGTGTTTGGGGAACAAGGTGGGTACCGGCAGGTGTGCTGAACGAGTGGAGGAGTCTGCTCTGGATCGGAGTCGACGGCGCAACGGGCCCCTCGGAACCATTCAACTCTGCGCGCAGCAGTGGGCGCCCAAGGAGTCCACCGGGTCGTGATGATGACAGGAGCATGCCATACTTGCCCGGCGTTTCCTTCTGAACAGTGGCGAGGCTGTCGTCTAGTTCGACCTCCTCCATGTCGGCCATGCTGTCGTCGCTAATGTGCTCCTTGGATGCATTGGCCGCGGCTGTCGCAGACGATGCAGTGGTGGTGCCCGTCGGGCCCCTGCCCAACGACAGTGGCCATCGAGGGGTCACGCTACGTGGTGGTGTTTGTGTCTCTGAAGCGAGGGACTCTTCGAGAAGTGCAACAACGGGTGCGGGGGTGCTTTGCAATGGTGGGGGAGAAGCGGGTGGCGTTGTGGTGCTCCGGTCTGCGTCAACATTGTTGGGGCCGCTGCCCATCACGGTGATAGGCGGCGAGGTGGGGGGCGGCGGTGACAAGTCGAGACTGAGCGAGTTGGATGAGCGGCGCTCGCCCTCGGGAGAGGGGATGTTTGGGAGAAAGCTGTCAAACGAGTCGAGCTGGGAGGTAGATGCTGATGCGTCGTGTGCCGAAAGGTCAAAGTGTCCTGTAAAGCATCAGCAACTGTTGTGTCGGGGTTTCATTTCAAGCAGTGGCGTGAGAGGAGGGTTGTGACAATGGGTCGATGGTCAAGATGACACACGAGAAGCTAGGTCATGCGGCATGGCGGACGGGGGCATGTCCATACCGGCAGCCACCACACGCCTTGTCTTACGCACTGGCAGGGTTTACAAGCTTGACTTGCTTCCTCTTCTTTCGTGGGGTTGCGCGCGGTGAGGATGTTGCTGGGGTGCCAGAATGAACCCAGAGATGGATGGCGATGCAATCATCTGGGAGAAGGACATGGTGATGGGTGTCGCACGCTAGGGGGGTGTAGAGAGAGCAGGTGTCGGGAACAAGATGTTGCATTCGTGAAGAAGATCAGGCGCGTGTTGATTTGAGTTCCTGTCAACAACAGAGGAACCGGCAGCTCACAATTGATTCCGTCGGCCGCCGTCACTTTTGCTTCCGCCCTCTGCCAACACCAGCGAGAGGCACACCTCCACTTTGTGGATCCACATCCATGACGTTCCACCACCACACAGTACACCATGTCCCAGGTCGACCTCAAGGCCCTCCTAAAGCAACTCAGCTCCCCAGACGCTGATGCTACAACAATCGTCACCCCTCAACGCGTTCGTGAGCTCGCAGCCGCCATCTCGCCCTCTGCAAGCCATGACGACCAGTCGTTTGCTCTTCTGAGCGTCAGCAAGATTGTCGATGTCGCGTCGCAGGATGGCACCCGGACGAGGTTGCCCTGCGTATCAAGCACATCTTTGACCCGTTGGTCGCTGATGCTCTTTCTACCGATTCGGCAGACCCCGTGTCCCTGGTCCCAGCCACATCACTCCTTGCTGTGGTAGCACAAACCGCTCCCAAAGCAGTGGTGGCGATTCTCACCCAGCACCTGGGCCTCGACGACAACGATGACAAAGAGTCGACCGTTGATCCCTTGTCTCTTCTTCTGGAGCTTGCAGAGCTTCCATCGTCTCTTCAACCCGCGTTTGCTGGTCTCCTCTCGTCGCTTGCCGGTACCAAGGCAGGACGTGATTTGGTGCGCAACCGTGCGCTCGAGTGGCTCTCTGCCGCCGCAGAAGCCGAGACCAAGCAGGTCCAAGGGGACACCAAGGTGCTCTGCGCGGTTACTCTGTCCAAGCTCGGTCGCGAGGACCCAGTTGTTGGCGAAAAGCCAGAGGAGCGTGCGGTCAAGGACGAAGAGGCTGAGGAGAACGAGTCCCGCTTTGCGCGCACGTTGGCCGCACACATTGCGGCCTCGTCTGCGTCATCACGCAGCGACGGTATTCTCCCATCACTCGAGGGACTGAGTGTGCTGTCGACCAGACCGTTTATTCGCGACATTCTTGCTGCCGACTCGGCCTTCCTGAAGGGCCTCCTCGCACTGTCGCCTGTGCCCAGGCTGCCGGCGGCTCGCTTCCAGTCACCCCTCGTGCGAGCATGTCCTCTCTCGACCAACTGGCTACTGCACCAGTAGACACAGCACTGTGCTATGGTGTTGTTACAATTCTCTCAAACCTTACGCAGCGCAAAGCCGTGCTGTCCGAGCAGGACCAGCAAATGGCGCGTCTGCGACGTATGGCCATCTCCGGCAAGGGTGCTGCGGACGGCGGTGACGACCCGCGCGAGAGCGACAATGCCGCAAAGGCCCGCACCGACCTCGTTGTAGCTGCTGGCGTGCTAGGAGCTCTACGTGGTCTTGTCCGCGCCGAGTCTACTCGCGTTCGTGCCGGACTCGGTGCGCTGTGCCGCGACATTGTCGAGGACAAGGCTCAGCGTGTACCGTTTATCCGCGATGGCGGCGTCAAGATCCTCACCATCATCCTTCGCGACATGAAGGACGCAGAGGACAAGATTGCGCCTGCACAGGGACTGGCCAAGCTCGTCATCACGACCCCGCCTCAGCTCCTCTTCCCGGCTCCATATCAGACCAACGCCCTCAATGCTCTCCACCCGCTCTACCTCCTGCTCGTGCACCCCAACTCGTCGCTCCTGCAAAAGTTCGAATCCCTCATGGCCTTGACAAACCTGGCTTCCATTGACCCTCAATTCGGCAGCCGTATAGTCGCGGCCAACATGACGCCACCGGAGAGCAACGAGTTCCGTGGCGCGGACAGGTCAACGACCGTCCCAGTTGTCTCCAAGGTTGAAGAACTGCTTCTTGACGACAACACTCTCGTTCGCCGTGCTGCTACTGAGCTTGTGTGCAACCTTGTTACATCAGAGGCTGGCTTCAGCTACTTCTCCGGCGACCAGGCTGGCTCTCCCGACCCGGACCCGCGGGCCGCCTCCCGTCTTGGTGTTCTCCTCCTCCTCACCGATGTGGACGACCTCGCTACGCGCCTTGCCGCCTCGGGAGCACTGGCAGTCCTCACCGAGTCTGTGGTCGCGTGTAAGCTCCTCCTCTCCGGTGCCGGCATTAGCAGCACGTCAAAGCGCAACGCGTGGGAACGTTTGGGGGACCTGTTCGAGCCCGGAGGCGCGGTCCCCGAGATTGGCGAGGACGGTGAGCGCCTCGAGACTGTCTCAAGCTCGCCTCCCGACGCTGGGTTGGCGCACCGCGCTGCGGTCATTATTGAGAACCTCGCACGGTTCTGCAACGCGGAAGATGAGGAGCAGCTGAAGAAAGGCCAGGCGGCGCTGGAGGGCAAGATTGAGGCGGCGGTCAAGGCGTTCATTCCTACCAAGGACAGGCCAGCGGACCCGCGTGTCGATGTTGCTGGTGTTGTCAAGGCGCTTCTGGAGGCTAGGAAGACATTGGCAGGAGAGTAGCAGTGATGTGCATGCATTTATAGAGTGTCTCAGGGGGCCACCTCAATCGAGTACGATTTGGCCAGGTAGATACGAGCGAACACCCATGCGCTCAAGCGTACGAAACAGTACACGCTCGATGGTATGTGTCTCACTCAGATCATCCACGACATTGTATGTGGTGAAATGGTGGGGGGTTCATCGCTATTCCGTCAACAACCTCCACCCGGTCGATTCCAGCGATCCGCTTCATTCCGTTCACCGTTCAATCTCATCGCCGTCACCATCCGTCCACTCCACTCCACCACTCACAAAATGGATCCCTAGAATCCCTGGCCCTGCCGCCCGCCAACCTCCCAAGGCCGCCAGCGTATGCGCGGCCAGTCCTGATCGACACGACACGTACCTCCCCTCTCGCGCCATCGAGCAAGGCGACGCCAGCATGGTCTATTACCGACCGGCACCGATCGGCGCCGACCTGCGATACGGGTTCGAGCGGCGCGTGGAGCGTGACGAAAGCGTGGAGGAACATCTGGATGGACTGTGCGACGCTCTGAGAGTGTTGCATGAGGGTGGGCGAGGGGCCGAGAGGCTCGGAGGTGTGGTTACCTGGCGCGGGATGATGACGAGGTCAGTTTCAACTCCGCCTGAGCTCGATGGTTCCTTCCCAGAGCTCGATTTGGATATGTGAGACTGAGATTTGGTGCTGATGGGGACTACAGGATCATGACGGCCCCATTCGAGGACCGCGATGGTTGGGAGATGAACTGCGTGCCCCTTGGCGGCTCGATTTACCTCGAACTGGACGACCCTCCCGAGAAGCGCAGCTATCGGTAGGTAAACCGATCTCCTCGTCAAAGCCACCTATGTCCTATACTAACACGATAGGGCAAAAGATTCGGCCAAATGGGCTCTCCAGAGCTATATGGGTTACTCTTACGAAAGCTTCTCAACTACCACGCCTGAAGGGGATCCCGAAGACTCGCCAGAGGGATGGAGCGGAGACGTGAACACCAATGTGCAGGTGAGTTATTGGAACCACTTTGCAACTTAGCTGACAACCAGTGGTGCAAGTGAGTTCAGCTACTGGGGCGGTAGCCTCGCATGTCTACTCGCCAGCTAGGCTGAGGACTTTCAAGCTGACGGTGCAGCATCGTCCGCTCGGCGATTGGCGAGATTCCTCTCTGTCTCGGTGGCGAGGTGGACTGTGTTCAAGGTGGGTTAATAAATAGCTGCCATCTCTAACCCTCAGCCGAAGTGGGAGCGCCAAACCCAGGTCTCGACGCGTGTGTCGAACTCAAGACCAATAAGGTCATTGACAGCGACCGCGCCGACATGGTCTTCCATAAGAAGTTGCTCAAGCACTGGGCACAGAGCTTCCTCTTGGGCGTGCCGGTATGTCCTTTTCTGAGGATCATTTGCCTGACGCTCTCTCTACAGACTGTCGAGCTTGGATTCCGAACCGAGGAAGGCATCATCGCCGAGCGCCACCTGTTCGAGACTGAGCGTATACCCGCACTGGTCGCGTCGGGCCCACGGCCAGCATGGTATCCGACCCCATGCCTGCACTTCTTGCACGCCGTCCTCGGCCTCTTGGTCCGTCACTTGCTCCCTGCAGACCCACGTCCACCAGGCGCGCCTCCCGTGTACGCGAGTGAAGGCAATCTCCCGCCAGCACCGACTTTTAGGCTGAGGTTCACTCCGCGTCGTGGCGTAGAGTTGTTCCGCCTGCCCAGCGTGAACAGCGAGCGGTGGGGCGGTATCCTGACCGAGGACTATACGCGCCATGTGCTGGAGCGTGATGCATAGCTATATAGCTGTAGAGAGTTTGTTGCTTGCCCATGCATTTTGCGGTAGCGCGCAGGGTCACCTGGTGCGCTGGTGAACGCCGTTCGGAACTTGCCGACTAGATTGTGCTGACTCGAATGTTGTGATAAGAGCGGGCAACTGCGGGCAGCCACGGCCAACCGCGGTTTTAGCGGAGCAGACGGTGACGTTCGCTTATAGTCGTCGACCGCTTGCCCATTTCTCTCCCTTCGTTTATTCTCTCCTTCACTCTCCCTCTCCCTTCCACTCCAAACCCCCTCCCCCACATACGCTCCTAAAGTATCTCCCTACAATGGCTCCCGTCCCCGTCCAGGTCGCCGACTCGGCCGTTTCGAGCCCCTTCCCCCAGAGCCCCAAGACCACCGGCCCCCCCGTCGACCAGACCAACTTTCTGAGCGACCGCGCGCGTACCACCGAAATCGACGGCAGTGAGTAACGTAGAAGTCGGTGGTGTTCATGTGGAATGATCGTGGTGCTGTAGCATCCATTCTCGTCGACGGCTGTGCTTTTACTGCCCACTGCCCACCTGCCCGCCCAAAACACCTTGCTGATAACAACAGTTCGTGGTCTCCTCCCTCTCGAGACCCCCGATGTCGTCTCCTTCGTGAGTAGCTTTCGCAGACACCTGATCTGTACGTCTGTACCTGACTAACATGTCCAGCTCGCCGGCAAGCCCAACCCGGCCACCTTCCCCTTTGGCTCCATTACCCTCAACCTCAAGCCGTCCATCTCTGGCCGCCCTGCCGAGTCTATCACTCTGGACGGCGCGGACCTCGACCACGCGCTGCAGTATGGCCCCTCGGCTGGTCTGACCAGCCTCCGCAACTGGCTCACCGCGCTGCAGGAGCGTGTCCACAAGCGCACGCCTGGAAACTGGACCGTGTCCCTGGGTTCTGGTTCGCAGGACCTCATGACCAAGGTGAGCACTGAAAATGTTGGGGGGGGGGGAAGGAGGGGACAAGAAAAGTGGGCGCAGGAGCAAAGTGTGCGCTGCGCCAAAGGGATCCACACAGGCGCTAGAGCCTAGACCGTCAGTGCCCGTGTGCATATGGACAGATTGGCGGGGCCGCGTCGTGAAGCGCTCGGTACGGCGTGCAAAAGGGATGGCGCGTCTTGTCCGCGGGTGTCGTGAGCCATCCCGCTCGGAATTCATATCCGAGGGATCCGTTGAAATTAGAGCCCTGGATGGAGCCCCTCCCAACCACACATCCAACTGCCAAAGCAAGCACCATCTAACCCGTCCACAGTGCTTCTCGGCCGTCCTCAACCCCGGAGACCCGATCCTCGTCGAGACCCCCGTGTACTCGGGTGTTCTCCCGGCTCTGCGCCTTCTGAATGCGGACATGATTGAGGTCGATGTCGACGACCAGGGTCTGTCTGCCACCCGCCTCGCTGAGATTCTCGACAGCTGGCCCGCCGACAAGAAGAAGCCCCGTGTCATCTACTCGACCCCCGTCGGCTGCAACCCTTCGGGCTGCTCGGCTAGCCCTCAGCGCAAGCTCGATGTGCTCCAGGTCATGCAGAAGCACAACCTCCTCATGATGGAGGACGACCCTTACTGTGAGCTTGATGACGGAAATCATAGCTAACGTTCAGACTACCTCACCACGCCCCTCATCCCCTCGTACTTTGAGCTCGAGACCCAGGTCTTCCCCAACGCCGGCCACGTCGTTCGCTTCGACTCGTTCTCCAAGCTCCTCTCGGGCGGCATGCGTCTCGGCTACGCCACGGGCCCCAAGGAGATCCTCCACGCCATCGACGTCAACACCGCCGGCGCCAACCTGCACACCTCGGCGCTGACGCAGGGCATCGCCGGCAGCCTGCTCCAGCACTGGGGCCAGGACGGCTTCCTCGCGCACTCGGAGGCCGTGTCGGCATTCTACAAGGAGAGGAGGGACGTGTTCGAGGCCGCCGCGCACAAGTACCTCGACGGCCTGGCGACGTGGGTGTCGCCCGTCGCCGGGATGTTCCTCTGGATCGACATGAGCCCCGCGGGCATCACCGACTCGTACTCGCTCATCCGCACCGAGGCGCTCGCCAAGGGCGTGCTCGCCGTCCCCGGCCAGAGCTTCTACCCGTCCAACAGGAAGAGCCCGCACGTGCGCGTCTCGTTCTCCATCATCGACCTCGAGACCAAGGCCCCCGAGGGCTTTGCGCGTCTCGCCGAGGCCATCAAGGACAAGCGCAAGGAGCTTGGCCTCGAGTAGAGAACGGGCAGGAGGGACACGAGGGAGAGAGAGCTGAAGCCAAAAAGCAAACCAACGCGACCATGTGTCTGTAGAAGCGGGTAAAGTGTGTCTCTTTTGCCATCGCCAATCTTGTCGCCATCTTGTCTAATGGGACCTTGAATAGATCCATACCTTGTCTCTTACAATCAAAAACATGTCAATAAGTGTTCTTATCGAGGAGGCACACATACCAGCGCCACTGACACTCGCGCGTTCCAACAACGGTGACAACGCGGATCTCAGTACATACCTTGCGAGCAAACGAAGATTGGGCACGCAGTTCTCTAATGGGTATGGTTTATATACATTTTTGATCGATTCCGAATTTGTACACGCTCTCTACAGACACATTATTTCTTGAACCAGAGAGAGTGCAATGACATTGTGTTGGGAAACTGTGTTCTGAGCGCAGACGGTTGGCGACTGTCGGGGGGTATACAGGGAGGGTATACAGGGAGGGCGTTGTGGTGTGGTGTGGCAGTGTGGTGGTGGTGTGGAGCGGTGTGGACAAGAGTCGGGGGAGTGTTGTGGGAGGTGTATGTATGCGCGCGCGTGCACGCGCGCTCTATTCGAGCGACGCAAACGCCGCGACGCCGCCCATGCCCTCCTCCCTGCCCATCATGCCGTATCCACGGACAATCTCCATCTTGCGGGAATGCCAGCCGACGTCGGAACGCACGCGGCCGTCCTGCTCGGCGAGGTGGGCAAAGTACTGGCGCTTGGGGTGTGTGGCGGGCAAGTGGCGGAATAAACGACTTGCGCGCGAGTCCCTCGCCGCTCGCGGCAGCGTCTTCGGGCGCACGGCCCCAAATGCCGACGGTGTCGCTGTAGATCCAGCCGGCCGAGACGTCGACATACCATCCGCGCCCGCCCTTGGACTTGACGACCTGCCATTCCGTGCGGCCAGAGCCCTGGGACGAGGTGAGGGAGCGGGTGATGGACGACGACAGCTCGACGACGCGCAGGCGAGTGGGGCCCGCCGCGAGATCCACTTGGGCCGTACCGCGGGCCAAGTCCAGAGCGTTGGCGAGCGAGAAGGGCTGGGTAGTGAGAGGGTTGATGAGGAGGGCGTGGAGCGCGAGCGTAATCTGCAAAGTGGACGCGTCGGGACGGAGGTCCCTGATGGATGTGCCTTGGAGAGTAAGAATCTCGACACCAGGCGCCTGGTTCTGGATAAAGGTGGCGACCTCCCTGAGCGGCAGCTCGGGGATGTGGGAGAGGCCAAGAGACACAAGACTGGGCTGAGGAGGGAAGACGTCGGGCGACAGGTGCTCCACAGTGAAGCCCGCCGAGCTGAGGTCAAGGTACCTCAGGCGGCCAGAGCGGATGCACGGGGCCTTGCTCAGGAGGCGGATGAGGTCTTCACCCTCGATGGCGTTCCCTTGCGTCGGGTTGACAAACAGGTTGAGCTCGACCAGGTCACGAGCCGCGGGCGAGTCGACGAGAAAGTCGACGACGACATGGGGACTGAGCTGTGCACAGCGGGCCAAAGAGAGCGACTGCAGACGCAGACCGCGAGGGGCGTTGGTCGTGAGCGTACGGAGGAGGCTGTCAGACAGACGGGTCGCCGAGAGGTCGAGGTGTGTGAGGTGGGGCATGCAGAGGATGAGGCCCTGGATAAACGTCGCAGGCAGCGTCATGCATGCGCGCAGCGACAGGCGCCGCAGGGCATGGAAGCGGGGACGGTGCGTGCGGCGTTCGGCAAGAGGAAGGTCCTCGTCGTCGTCCTCGGTATCCGTCGCCGACTCGACGCGGCGAGGCTGGCGTCCACGTCCACGACCGCGCTCCTCATCGTCGCTCTCCTCGGGGATGCCGACATTGAGCCAGTTTTCACCAAACTCGTCAGCTGCCTCGGTGAATGCGCGGCTCACACACCCCGTGAGGTCCAGAGCCTCGAGCGGGGTGAACAGGTTCCTGCGGGTCCACTTTTGCTCGTCAGTCTCGTCCTCGTAAGGGACGTAGACTGGACGCGGGGGGTCGAGTTGATCCTCGAGCGTGATCTGTTCAAGCGCGGATGGGTGCACGCTCACCGAGCGAGCACGAATCGCAGCGGGCGACAAGGACGTCGAACGCTGGCGGAACACACGGGGTTTGTGGTATCCACGGAAGAAGATTTCCTCGACGACCGGGTATGACAGCGCCGAGTCGACGTACTCTGTCATACAGATGGAGCGGAGGTTTGGAGTGTTCTTGATAACGCCCTCCAGGCGTCCCGCAGTGACGAAACGTCCACGCACCGCCTCCTCTTGAGAGCGACGGGAGCCGATGGTGCGGAAGTTGATAAAGTTGATGTGGCGAATGTACGGCCCGGGAGGAGGCAGCATGTCCGGGTTGACATTGGGGACAGCTTCGGCATCCTCCATCGCCATGTCGTCCTCGCGCGGAAGCTCGAGGCTGTCCTTGGGAGGAGTGCGCATGGCCGTCATGAGCGAGGACTCGTCCGAGGCGCTCTCATCCTCGTCAAAGTCGGAAAACACGCGTGTGTGGTGCGACAGCGAGCTCTGACGCATAAAGGGGCGCTGTCCGCTCGAGAGGGACAGCGAGCGCGACAGGACGGCCGAAATACCGTCCGCCTCGAATGCGAGCTGGCGGCGGGGCGAGCGCGAGCGGCCGCGGAGACGAGCGTTGTGCGGGGAGACGTTGCGCGAACCAGGGGGGGTGAGCAGCGCGCTGAGGCGGCGAGGCTGCGGAGGGGCAATGATATCGGCACCTGGACCAGAAATCTGGGCGACGGTGGTGTTGATCGTCACCTTGCGCCCAAGGGTAGAGCGTCCCGTGCCCGAGCCGCCGCCGCCGCCAAGAAGGCCGCCGATGAGTGAGCCGACGGGCACAGAGGGCACCACCTGGGCCTGGTTCTCGGTCGAAGACGACCCCGCGTCAAAGGCACAAGGTTCGCCGGTGGCATCGGCAGCTTCGCGTGCAGCCGAGGCAGAAGCAGATGCGTAGGAGAGGGGATCCGCGGCAGCTGCCAAGGTCGCGTCGGTGGGCGAGAGGGTAAGTGGCGCGATGCCAGCGCCACTGAGTACTTCAGACGACATGACCTCGTGATCGGGCTCAATCTCGTCGGGGTGGCTGTCGACTACCTCTTCGGTGAGTGCGTCGACGACGGCGAGCCAGCCACGTCCGGAACGGACATCGACGTTCTCCCACAGCCACGGACGGGCCGACTCGAGAGCGTGGGAGCAGGTCTTGGTCAGGCTACTGATGGCATCATTGACCGTCTGAGGGGGGTTTGGGTGCGGGTCGAGGCATGCTACGATGTGGGCCTCGGGCACAGGCGTCTGCTCAGCCAGTGGAGCAGGGGGGTAGAAGGGTGGAGGAAAGAGGGAGGTGACCAGACTCAGTACCTCTAACGGTAGCTGGTCAAAGCGGGTTGTTTGGGTATCATGATACGAGTTGTTGTCTTGGGAGGTGTTCTGGGGAGTCGCCTGTGGAGCGACGTTGTTCATGGGAGAGTAAGAGTAGGCTTCTGGGGTGGGGTAATGGGTTGTGTTGGCAAGGCGATGGTGAGTGGGTGGTTGACAAGAGCGAAGAGGGGGGAGGCGAAAAATGCCCACATGTTGCTCGAGCAGCGTCCTCGGCCGCCCTTCCCCGCGAACGGGTGGCGGCGGGGGCCCTCACTCAAACCACGTGCTCCCAGAAAGATCGACTGTGTCTGCTTGTTTTGCTGGTTGAGACATTGCTCGCAATGTCGCAATACGGTACGTTGGCTCGTTTAAGCTTTGTCCAAGCATGTGTGTGGCACACTTGCTGCAGCCACACAAATAGGCAGCGGCTGTACCATCGCTATGCAGTTTTCCACCCAACAAACAGACGACGGCCAACGAGTTTCCAATGTCTTCCACCCGACGACGACGCCGCACCAAGGGTTGGGGGCGCTTACCTGACAGCTGACCTGAGTGCGACGGACCTGGCACACACGGAGGCACCGCCCAAAGGCCAAACACAACACAAGCAACACGGCGCGGCCAGACCTTTTGGTGGTCTTCATCCCGCGCGCTCGGATCGGCGCTTGTCCCGCCGCTGCGCCGCTGCCAAGACGGACGGAATGCTAATGTGGCAAGTGCTAATGGTCGGTCGGCTCTGGCCGAACACACACGGGGCGGGCCGCGGCACAGGAACATAATATGGGTCTTTTTTAATACAAAGGAGCACAGTCGTACAATTTATCACCAATAGAAGCGGTGCGTGGGGCACTCGTAGCCGTCCGGGTTGACGTCCACTTGGGGTCCGTCAGTAAACGAACTCTGCCCCATTTCATAGCAGAGCACTGGTACTCACAGTAGTGCTGGTGGTAGTCCTCAGCGTTCCACCAGACGCCAGATGGGGTGATCTCGGTCTTGATCGGCCGGCCCTGGTAGCTGAAAGGCGTCAGCCACGGCAGTGCAAGACGGCCGTGCGCGCTGCGCCAGCCTCTAGACCCCTCTGTCTGTCTGTCTGCCCCAGAACTCACTACTTGTCCTGGACCTCGGCGGTGACCGCGCGGGCAACAGCCTCCTGCTCGGGGCTGTGGTAGAAGATGGCGGAACGGTACTCTGTTCGCCAGTATCAGTATTCGGACACTCGCTCTCGCACCTCGCCATGGCGTCATCGAAACTCACGCGTTCCCTTGTCGGGGCCCTGCGAGTTCAGAGTCGAAGCATCGTGGGTGCGGTAGAAGAACTCGACGAGCTCGCCGTAGCCCACAGAGCCCTTCTGGTAGGTGAGCTGCACGGCCTCGGCATGGTCGGTTGCGCCGGTGCAGACCTGCCTGTAGGCTTTGGAATGTCAGCTGTTGTGTTCTGTTGACAGCTCATGCCACACATACACGGGTCTGTGACGTCCTCCTTGCCGCCAGTGTAGCCAACGACGGCCTTGAACTGAGGCAGGTGCGAGTAGTACTTGGAGAAGAGGTGCTCAGTGCCCCAGAAGCATCCCGACGCAAAGGTCGCCACTTCCACTGCAAAAGGGGTTAGCTGAATCAGCATTTCAGAGTTGGAGCAGCTCACGGCCTTCCTCGAGCTTGGCGTTCTCGCGGCTCTTGATGGCAGTGGGGAGAGTAGGGGCGGGGGGAGCCTTGGTGATCTTGGGCATGGCGACTCGTGAAGCAGAGAAAAAGGAACGTAACATGAAGAATGACATTGCATCTCGTATTCCATAACGACGTCTGCATCAGGACCGCTCTCTCCGTAATCGAAGGTGTGCTCCGTGTATCCATGTGGTGTCTCGCAGCGCAAGAGTGGAGGGACTCGGGCACATTAGTGACGTGTAATTAACACTCCACCACCAAGTGTGAGACTCGGTTCTTTGATAAGATTGTCCCCGGTAGTCAGTTCCCCCGGTTCCCCGGCGAGGGTTCGTTCCCCGCCGAGTCACGAGTCGGATTGTACGGCGAGACGCCACAAGAAAAGGTTGAACAACGGAGGACACTCGACTTCTGCAACGCACTCACACATCCCACCATGCCCGCCCCCATCTTCCTCCCGCTCGTGGACCCCACAGCGGCCGCGCTCATCCCAGCGCTCGCCCTCCTCGGCCCCGTCCTGGTCCCCGCCGCTCTCCTCGACGCCGTCCGTCCCTCCATCCCCAAGACTGGCTCATACATTGTCGACGTCTCGGCAAGTGACGCCGATGTGGTCGACATTTTGAACGCTGGCGCCGCCGCCGTTGTCGTCTCGTCGCAGCAGTTCTTGTCTGTTGCCGGTATCCCCCGCGAGCGTCTCATTGCCAAGCTCCAGGCTTCCGAGCTCGCCAATGCTGCCGCTGCCGCCGAGGTTGCTGGCGCCATCTACATTGTTGGCGGCACCGAAAAGGACACTGCCAAGTCGCTCGGTGTCAAGGCCGACGTCTACGTCGAGCTGGCTTCCCCCTCGCCTGCCACCCTTGTTGAGTCGATCAAGGCCGCTCGCCCTACCACCCTTGTTATCCCCACTGCCCTCCTCACCACTGGCGCCTCGAGCGCTACCCACGTCTCGATTGCCGACGCCTTCCTTGCCCCAGTCGTTTCCGACCGCCCCGATGGCCTGTTCCCCACCATTGTTGCCTCGTCTGGCCACTCGTCGCGTCCTCTCGGCATGGTCTACTCGTCTGTCGAGAGCGTCTCGGAGGCTATCAAGACCCAGAAGGGTGTCTACCAGTCGCGCAAGCACGGCCTGTGGCGCAAGGGTGAGACCTCTGGCAGCGTCCAGGACCTCGTCTCGATTGAGCTCGACTGCGACACCGACAGCTTTGTCTTCAACGTCGTTCAGCACGGCACCGGTTTCTGCCACCTAGGCACCCCCACTTGCTTTGGCAACTGGAACGGCCTCGCCCGTCTCGAGGACACTCTCAAGTCGCGCCTCGCCGACGCCCCCGAGGGCTCGTACACCAAGCGTATCTTCACCGACGAGAAGCTGCTCCGCGCCAAGATTATGGAGGAGGCTGAGGAACTCTGCGACGCTCAGACCAAGGAGGAGATTGCCTTTGAGGCTGCCGACCTCCTCTACTTCTCCCTTGCCCGTGCCGTTTCGAAGGGTGTGAGTCTCAAGGACATTGAGCTCGCCCTCGACGCCAAGGCCCTCAAGGTCACTCGCCGCAAGGGCGATGCCAAGCCCAAGTGGGAGGAGAAGGTGGCCGACAAGCCCGCTGCTGCTCCTGCCCCCGTTGCCGCTGCCCCCGCCGAGGAGGGCCCTATCCGCATGCGCACCACCACCCTCAAGGAGGTGCCCAAGGAGGAGTACCGCTCGCTCCTCCTCCGCCCTGTCCTCAACTCTCTTGCCATGATTGACAAGGTCAAGCCCATTGTCGAGCGTGTTCGCAAGGAGGGCGACGCCGGTCTCAAGGCCATGACCAAGCAGTTTGACAGGGCTGACCTTTCGTCCAACGTCCAGCTTCCTCCCTTCGCTACCCCCACTGAGGCCGAGCTCCCCAAGGACGTCAAGGCCGCTATTGACCAGGCTTACGCCAACGTCAAGGCCTTCCACGCCGCTCAGGTTGACGCCGCCCCTCTCCGTGTTGAGACCATGCCCGGTGTTGTGTGCAGCCGCTTTGCCCGTCCCATCCAGCGTGTCGGTATCTACGTCCCCGGTGGCACTGCCATCCTCCCCTCGACTGCTATCATGCTTGGTGTCCCCGCCCAGGTCGCTGGCTGCAAGGAGATTGTCCTTGCTACTCCCCCCCGCCCTGATGGCTCCATCTCCCCCGAGGTCCTCTACGTCGCTCAGCTTACTGGCGTCACTTGCATCCTCAAGGCCGGTGGTGCCCAGGCCGTCGCCGCCTTTGCCTACGGTACCGACACTGTCCCCAAGGTCGACAAGATCTTCGGCCCCGGTAACCAGTGGGTCACCGCCGCCAAGATGCTCGTCCAGAACGACACCGACGCCCTTGTCTCGATCGACATGCCCGCTGGCCCCTCCGAGGTCCTCGTCATCGCCGACGCCACCGCCAACCCCGTCTTTGTCGCCGCCGACCTCCTCTCGCAGGCCGAGCACGGTGTCGACTCGCAGGTCGTCCTCGTTGGCATCTCGCTCACTGCCGAGCACCTCGCCGCCATCGAGGCCGAGGTTGACCGCCAGGCCCTCGCCCTCCCCCGTGTCGCCATTGCCCGCGTCGCCATCTCCAAGTCGCTCATTGTCCTCGTCGACACCCTCGAGGAGGGTCTCGACTTCTCGAACGACTACGCCCCCGAGCACCTTATCATGCACCTCGCCGACGCCCCCGGTGCCGTCGCCCAGGTCGAGAACGCCGGTTCCGTCTTTGTCGGTGCCTTCTCCCCCGAGTCGTGCGGCGACTACGCCTCGGGCACCAACCACACCCTCCCCACCAACGGCTACGCACGCCAGTTCTCGGGCGTCAACACCCTCTCGTTCCAGAAGCACATCACCTCGCAGGAGGTCACTGCCGACGGTCTCCGCGTGCTCGGCCCCGTGGTCGTCACCCTTGCCGAGCGCGAGGGCCTCGAGGCGCACGCCAACGCTGTGCGTGTGCGCCTCGCGGAGCTGGCAAAGTAGATTTTTTTAAAAGCAACATCAACAACACCCACACCCACACACACATATACGCTCTATCTATGCTTGAGACTTTGGACTAGGGGTTGAGAGAATTGTAGACTGCATAGGCTTATTTTTCGCATCCAGTTGGATTTCTGTTCTGAACATCGTATCTGGGCTGCAAGTGGCCAAGTGGGGGGGGGGGCGGGAGCGCGAATGACACAGACGCAGTGCTTCCCGGTTTCACTGAAGAAACGCATAACGCGATCTGGCGAAGCCGGTGAACTCGTTCTGGTCTACATAGTGTGTATCTTCTTTGTGAGGCGGGGGGCTGGCGGTACCGGTGGACTTACCGGTGAACTCGTTCTGGTTTCCACTTACAGTTGGCGTGGTGCTTCCCAGTTTCGGTGGAAGAAACGCATAACGCGAGCTAGCAAAGCCGGTGAACTCGTTCTGGTTTACATAGTGTGTTTGGTGAGAGGTGGTTGTCTATAGGACGCAACGCAAACTGGGCGCACATACAGTTGCATTTTCGGTACATGTTCTAATGGTGCTCGCCATGTTCCAGTGTTGGCTGTACAAGGTAGTCTCCAGTGACGACTGCTTCAACACTGGTGCTCTCGCTCAAGCACACATGCCACTACTTTACAGCAATGGCAGAGGTGTCACCAGGGTTGGATAGGAGGTGGTCATGGTACGTGGAACCGTTGGGAAGCGTATGCAGGAGGTCTGCTCGTACTTGGAACCCGTTCTTGTTGTAGAATCCGATCTGGGTGGTGTGAGCTTAATTTGGCGCCACAATCAGCTCACGTTCTTGGCACTCTGGGTGTTGAGTCCCACCGGCATACCGCCTGCCTCATCGGCCCGCTTCCTCAGCATGGTCAGGAGGGCCGATCCGACGCTCTTGCCCTGCATGGGGGGGTCGACACCGAGCATGCTGACATACCACCAGTCCCGTTCGGCATGCGGCTCGACCTGCTTGAACAGCGCCTCCATGCCAGGGAACAGCTGAACTGTCAGTTGTCCCGTTCATGCCATGAGCACAACTCACCTTCTCCTGGAGGTACGTTGACATGTCTGGGGACATTTGGGCAATGGCTGGGCCAAATATCTTGCCCAGGTCCTCCCTACGCGACCTTGTCAGCGGGCCATCATCCACGTCTGCAGCTCAGCATTGCTCCTATTGCTCACTCGGTACAGAACTCGGCACCGGGAGGTGCGACGAGGACAACCCCCACAACTTTCTCTCCCTCCTCTGCCACCCAAGCCTCATGATACTCGAGTGCGTGGTCGACAGTGGCAGTGAAGATGGCCATGTTGGGCTCGCGGGCGGCACCCCAAAGACCAACATACGGTGGGTCTGACGTCAGTTGATTGTGAGACCGTGTCAACTAACAGGTCATGAAGGCGTCATACAGCACTTCTATCATGCGTGTGCGCTCGCATTCTGCCATCAGCATGGTAAAGACTGACATGCACACCTGTTGCATCCTTGACTTGACGTGTGGTGACCATTGTTGATGTTGATGGGAGGAAAGACAAAGAGATGGATGATCCGAAACCGTATTCAGACTTTGCTTTAAGCCTATCGCATTTCGCAGATGCCGAAGCAGAGGCGAGCGGATCCGACGCGACGCGTCCGTTGCAAGTTGCAGTAGTTGGGAGCACGCGGGACACAGAACCATACAATGCAAACAACTGGTTGGGAGCACGCGGTACACAGAGCCATACAATGCAAACAACTCAATCTCGTGTGTCATGAACGCCCCGATAAGGGGGCATGGTCGTCGCTTCTATCAACGGATCGTGTCTACGAGAGAGCCTGCGAGTGACAGGCCTTGACTCCCTGGTTAAAGGCGTCGGTGTACTGCCACCCCTCGTTGCCGAGCGGGCCCGAGTAGTGCTCGTACTCCCACTTGCGGCGGCGAGCCCACTGGTCCACAAAGCCAAGCTCGTTCTGGCCCTCAGAAGTGAGGAAGAGCAGCGCGTCATCCCATCCGCGAGAGAATCCGGAGCTAAACGCATGGCCATTGGGGTTGCCGTTGTTTTGGCGCCAATAGTTGCAATGTGAGTCTGTGAAAGCGGTGTCAGTCTACGCATATCGGGTCATAGATAGACTCACCAGTCGCCTGGCGACACATGGTGTCGCGGGCGCCGTCGGGGGGCGGGTTGAACTTCTTGAGCACTACCGTGGCTGGTAGGATCTCGGCCTGGCCACAATTACGTGCGCTCCATCCCGAGTCCCAGTCGCGGTCGGTCTTGAGCGTCCAGAAGAAGTAGCCACCCGTGTTTTCGAAGAGCTGGAGCTGCGATGCAACAAAGGCGCGCTTCTGGGCATCACGCTCGCCAGCCGGGGTGTCGTGCGGAAGACAGCTCTCGTCGAGGCCAGCAGACCACTCGCCCACGACCACGTTGCCCCTTGCCTGCCCGACCTGGCCCAGGAAGGTTGACGCAAATTCGTGCTGCAGCTTGCCTGCGTGCTGGTAGCCGTTCAACTGCTTGTCCGGGCCGTCAAAGCAGCGGTACAGGTGGTGGTCCAGGACCACAAAGTCATTACGGTGACCAACCCACGGCGCATAGTGGTCCGTCGCCCACGAGTCGGAAACATAAATGGGGAACTCGGGTTCGGCGACCTGGCGCACCTCGTTGAGCGTCGACTCGTACCATCCCTGTAGGCGCTGGTTGTTGGCCGGCTCGTTGAGAATCTCGAGACCGATGACCGCCGGGTTTGGTGACAGCTGCGAGGCGAGGAAGCGCAGCGCCAGCGACGTAGACGCCAGGTTCTTGTTCGAGTCCCAGAACCTGACCTTGCCCTCTGACATGCCCGAGTGACCTGTGAGAAGCCCGTCAGCACTGACCCTCCGTACCTCGGTGCTAGGCGAGTCCCTATGACGCCGCCGCCGCCGCCCCGTCCCGCCTTGCGATGCTTACCGTCAGTGTTCTGAGCACCAGCCGCCGCGTGAAAGTCGACAAGCACGCCAAGACCAAACTGCGCAGCCTTATCGATGGCACCGAGGATACGAGGCCAAGCACCCGTGTACACGTCCGCATAGCGCTCATAGTCGGTGCCGCGAAGCACGTCTGGCAGCACACCAGCAAGGTGGTAGTATCCGATCTGGCCGTTAGAACGTGAAGGGGGAGTCTCACTCTACAGGCATCCCAGCAGAGACTCACCGGCAGGCGAACGCTGTTGAAACCGCGCTGCTTGATCCAGTGCCAGTCGTCGTCAGTCATCCAGGTGTCCCAGTGGTGCTCCATGGCCGCCTTTGCGTCCTTGCCGCGGGCAAGGTCAAAGTCCGAGCCCTTGGGGTCCACTGCTGTTGAGGCATACAGCTTGGTGGAGAGCCAGCTCTCAGTCACAAACCACGAACCCAGGTTGATACCTCGCTGCCGGCGGTAGCGGGCGAGGCTCGCTTCGAGAGGAGGAGGAGCCTGGGCTGGAGGGAACGCGTAGTTGCCCGCGGGCGAGCCTCCGTCGTTGCCGCTGTCGAGCTTGTTTTTGATCTTGTCAAAGAGACCCATGGTAGTGTGTAAGTGTACAATGACAAAAGCGGTGTGGAGCTGACGTGCACACAGAAGGGAGAGAGGAGCGTCCAGGCCACCGGAAGGGAGCCAAGAAGGTCAGGAGCAAGCCATGACGCCGCGCCTCGCAGCAAACATTTCGAGGTGCCCCGCAGACGTCATGTGTGTGAGTCCCCCTGCGGCGGGCAGCGGCGGCGTCCTGGAGCGAATAAGAGAGACACCCCCGGGTGTAACATGGCGTTTTGCCTTCCACTCTCTCACTCATACAGTCCACAATCCCTCGACGTCGAGGTCAGTCAACATGGCCGACATCAACAATGCGACTCTGTCGGCACACTTGCACCCGGGCGCAGAGGACCAGCTTTCAGTCACGAGCGTCTTCTCCATCCGCCCCGACCCCGACACTATCACTAGTGAGTTTTGGCCGGCAGCGCAGTGCGGCGGTCGCCTCCCCTCGGTGGTGCATCCACTAACATCCAGAGCTCGTCGGGCGCGTGCGTGCCATGGCCACTCGCCTTCTCCCCGTCGAAGTTGAGCTGGATGTGATCACCGACGCCACTGGCCCAGTCATTACCCCCGAGGTCGTCAACGCTTTCCGTAAGGCTGGCGGTGACTTTGAAGAGGCGGTCCCGTTCTGGTAGGTCACACGACCTGAAAGGATAAATGGAAACAATGCATCCAGAAAACACTGACCATCCAGTCTGCTCCGTGCACGCCACCTCTTTATTCGCGAAGGCATGGCCAACCCGACCGACTATGAAGAGACGCTCTGTCGTGCCACGGCCTGTGAGGTCATCGCTCGTCGCATGGTCCGCATTTTCCCTCATGAAAGCCTTCGCAGCGTCATGAGTGCCCGTTTCCGGTACCGTGACAGCGATGGCGATGTGTCGGCCGCGAGCTGTGCACTCGAAATGGCCATTGACGGTCACTGCACCGTATGTCTCACTCCCATTGCACATCTGGTACCTGACAATTCAGATCTTCCTCTCGTCCAACGAAACCCAGGAAGTCGTCAACGCACTCTGGTCTGGCCGTTGGGTGCAGGAAAACAACGAAGACCAGGACATTGACTACGTCGAGTACCACCGCTCCCCCGACCGTGCTGGTTCGTTCTGGGACCACCTGGACCCCCTCCGTCTCTCCGTCCCGCGTTACCAATCGTTGCTCCGTGTTATCATCTGGCTCGTTTACCTCTTCGTTTACTCGCAATCGGTCAAGAGGTGGGTGCCACACGTTTAAACCAGGTGCTGACTTGCCAGTCCTCTTGATGCTATCAACCGTAGCGAGTTTGATGGTTGGGAGATTGCGCTCTACATCATGACGTTTGCCTTCTTCATTGAGGAGAGTGTCAAGTTCTTCAAGAACTTGCGCCTTGCCAACAACCCCCTCAATGCCATCGTACGTGATAGTGGCTGTGGTTTGCGCTAATAGACAGAGTTTCTGGGTTGTAGTCAACTTCCTTATCGACGCCCTGCTTCTCACTGCGCTGTCCCTCCGTGTCGCCGGTATGCGCCTCGACCTTGACGACGACGCAAAGGCCAACCTCATGAAACGCTCGTTCCAGGTCCTGTCCTGTGCTGCGCCTCTTATCTGGATGAAGCTGTTCACCGTGTTTGAGGCATACAAGACTGTGGGAGTCCTTGAAGTAGTCGTCTTCCGCATGCTGTGAGTCACGTGTGCTGTTAACAAGGCTTGGCGACTGACATTGCAGGCGCGAATCGGTCATCTTCTTCATCCTGCTGGGTGTCCTCGGTCTTGGCTTTGCCCAATCGATGTACGCTCTTGACGCTGCAGATGGCGAAATCAACGAGTTTATGCGAGGCTTCACCTTCTCCGACGACCCCGACAACCCGGGGCAGGGAAGCACCACTATCCTGCTCAACAACCTTGTCCAGGCCTTGCTCGGCTCGCCCGAGTTTGGCATCTTCGAGTTTGACTCTGAACGCTTTGGATATCCTTTCGGTCTCATCATCTACTACTCGTGGAACTTCTTCACTACCATTATCCTGGTCAACGTCCTGATTGCCCTCTTTGGCTCGGCGTACCAGGAGATTTCCGATAACGCTACCGACGAGTACCTGGCGTTCTTTGCTGGAAAGACTATCGACATGAGTGAGTTTTGAAGTCGGGAACCGGCAGCTGACCACCAGTTCGCGCGCCCGACCAGTTTGTCTATGTGGCACCTTTCAACCTCATTGAAATCGTGTTCATCGTCCCCCTCGAATTCATCCTCCCGACCAAGGACTATGCCAAGCTCAACCGCGTCGTCATGTCGGTCATCTTCTTTGTGCCCCTCGTCTGCATCGCCATCTGGGAGGCCGGCGTCGTCCACGCGCGCCGCGGCGTGCTGTACGACTACTTTGCTACGCCGATCCCCGAAGACGACGAAGACCCCAAGGTTATTGACCCCGAGACCACCGACCCGGCGGGCGTGATCTCAAAGGTCCCCTTTGACGAGCTTGTCCAGGCCTTCCCCAACACTTCGGTTACGGAGAGTACTGTCATTCTTCGCGAAATTCACAAGATGCGCGAGGCGCTTGACAGCCTCGAGAAGAAGATTACTCGTTGAGCACACGTCGAAAGCAACAAGTGTTTTCCTATGAGTGTCTTCCTCTGAAAATCTGCGTAGTTTGTCCCATAACCATAAGTAAGCAAGCACACGATGTATTACATGGACGTTGCGAATGTTTGCCTTGCAAGCCCTGGTCGTCCAAGTGGCTGCGATCAGACACTGTCTGGCCCCGCGTTGACGGAATAACTCCACGTGCGCACCTGTGGCCTGTGGACCAAGTGCTCCCCCATGCATGGGCTACCTTGCATGCTGCACTTTTTCCCTTGGCATCGTTGCAGCTGACACATGGAGGACATGACACGGCGAACCGAGTTCTCTGGCACCCGAATTCGGCTGACCATGACATTCGCGGGGTTTCCATCCACGTTCCGCACCTGAGCGCGGAATGTCATAAAACGGCGGCAACAGGGGCCATACGTCATTGCCAACGTCCTTGTGAACACTGAATCAGCCGCGGTAGTCGGCGACCACGCAAGTAACACCCATATCTTCTCCAAGCTCTATTAATCTGACAGCACATCCATCGTCTGTACTGCGCTTCACAAACAGACCCCAATCACAACCGCTCGTCAACAATGTCTGCACTCAAGATTGTCATCTTTGGAGTGACCGGCAACCAGGGTGCGTCAGTCGCCCGCGCGTTGCTTGCCGACGGTGCTCGGTTCAGCGTCTATGGTATCACTCGCAACCCAGACAGCAATTCGAGTAAGAGTGAGTTCAACAATGTGCTTGGAGAGACGACGGCAGCACGTTTCGGGGTGACTACCTGACGTGGCTTACGCATGACGACACCAAGCTATGGCTGACGTGACAGAAATGGCCTCCGCCGGCGTCAACCTCATCACCGGCGACCTCGACAACCCAGCTACGTACGAGAGTGCACTCATGGGCGCGCACGGCGTATTCATCAACGCAAACTGTGGGTATCAGGTGGGCAAGAGTGCTGTACCATGCAGGCGCCAGCCGTCACCAACCGCGCACGGGGCTCCGGCGTTGCGCCGGGCCGGCGTCGGAGTGAGCTAGCATTGCTGTTCTGTCCCACGCCACCATTCAGAGGGCGAATCCCTGCTTGCGTTCTGCGTTCCGGTGATCCGCTGACAGTACCACAGTCTGGGCACACTACAAGGGCAATAACTCGGACGAGGCTGCCGAGGCCGAACAGCGCCAGTCCACCGAGGCCGTCAAAGCCGCCGTGCGCGCCAAGGTCCGCCATGTGGTGTACTCGACACTTGAGTCTTACCTCCCTGACCAGCCCCTCCCTCACTTTGACGCCAAGGCGAAAGGTGAGTCTTGATGCCTGGTGACAGTTCTTTTGCTACCTGTTGGCGGTAAAGGAGTGTGGCCTACATGCTGGCTTGCCTTTCCGGTCCATTTCCTCGCCGATTCGCTGACACCCTGGGCCAGTTACCGAGTACATGAAGAAGAACGACGTTCCCGCCACCCAGCTGTACACTTCATACTTTTTCAGCAACCTACTCATGGCCCAGACTAGCGAAAAGGATGGCAAGACGATCATCAGCTTCCCCCTCCCGGACGACACGGTGCTGCCGGGTTTCAACGTCGAGCAGATCGGGTTGTGGGTGCGCGCTGCGTTCCGTGACCCCGACACTTGGATTGGTGGGTAGCCAATGTGGGAGGACGATGCTCACCTGCCTAGGCAAGGACATGTACGCGTCCGGCGACAACATTACGGTTGCTGGGATAGCCAAGGTCTTGTCGGAAGTCAGCGGAAAGCCGTTCGACACGGAACACCACACGCGTGAGGAATTCCTTGCTCTCAAGGACAAGATGGACCATGAGTTGTGGCTCAACTACTTCGCGTTCCTCAATGGGTGAGTGTAAGAGCCACATAGGGCTGGCCTCCCAGGGGTGGAAAATGCCACACACGTGGGCGGTTGAACACCTTACTTTGGAACACGCTAATGAGCAGCAAAATGAAGCGCGATCCCGCCGAGAGTCGCAAGATTGTGCCGGAAGCACAGGACTTCAAGGCCTATGTGCAGTCCACACCTGCCATTCGCGAGCACTTTGGCTTCTGAAATGCCAGCTTGTTGGGAAAGTGATAGCGGGAGGCGTCAAGTAACAGAAGACTGAGTCTGCGGTGTCAGTCTCTGCAGATTCGTTCACTCTAGCCGTCGGTAATGCAGTCATTTATCGAATCTGCTCTACGCTAACGATGGGAAAACCTCGGGGGCTAGCCAGCGGTCAGAGACCATTGGCCAGTAGCCAGCTATACATAGGCCTGGAACAACATAAAAGCACTTGGAACTTCCGTCACAGACAGCGGAGTCACTTTCAAAGCCTTGGCATGCCACACTGGTCGTCAACATGCCCACACTGCCGAGGCAAAGTCAGCCAACATTCCTCTTTCCGCGCACTGCCGGGTCACCGGATCATATGGTGTTGACGTACGGCAAAATGCTAGGGTGATTGTCAATCTGCGCGAGCTGGCTGGCAAGGTGTCTAGGTCGGGGATCAGGTCACCCAGTTTGCAGTCGTCGCCGACGTTTCTGTGGTCTACAGTGGCCCGTAACCACTTCGGAGCGACGCCTTGCAGTTCGGCATACGATTTCTGTGCCGTCAGGGTTGTGATCTGCTGACACCGACGTGACGGCGCTTCCATGCTCCTGGCGAACAACTAGCTACGTTGACGTGAGGGTGCAACATACCTTTATTTCCCCTACTGTTGTGTTTCCAAAGCCCCATAGTGTGGTGGGAAAGAACTGGTTGTCCGTGATGCAGACTTGGATATCGCCTGGAGGGGACGAAAACAGCACTGTCATTAGCAACACAGCGGACGAAGTGCACGAACATCCTGCACGTCTTGGCGGAATGCCTGACTCTCCAGGCTCGGTGGTCGTTCGGAAAACGCTGGAGACGTCCGAAGTGTTTGACATGGTCTTGAGGGTGTCAGGCCGAGCAGTAGCGTCGTCGTCGACCGCTGAGCCGATCGAAGGGGGACATGTTGGTGGTAGCATGGTGCTAACTTGGGTTGCGTGATGTGCCAAAGCAATGGCCATGGAAAAGACATGTTTATTATAAGGCTGGGAAGATTCCAGAAAACAAAAAGAGGTGCCGCGGGAATCGCGGATGAGATACCAGTCTCAGAGATGTGCCACTTGCCAATTAGGCGTCCACGACAATATACAGTAGTCGGCGTGAAAACATGAACAATGTCAGATTGCGAATCACACAGTATATGTTTAAGAGTGTGTGTTCTCACTGCCTTGAATCGAGGCTCTTCATTCTGTGGGATGCAATGTGTTTCGGAGTGTCGCCACTGTGAATGGTCGGTTTACAATGTCGGCGTTCATTACGGCTGCATCAACGTTCACATAGCCGTAAGTGCCATCTGAACATGTGCTCCGTGCGAAAGGCCCACCTCAGACATCCGGTCTATACTTACTAGCTTCCGTACATGATTCCACAAACCAGTGGCCAGTCGGGTGCTGTTAACGATGATAGAAAACATAGGAAAGGTGCGGCAAATCCGTGGGACACTGTCTTAGTATCGGGAGTTTTCCCACCACATGGGGGCTGAAGCGAGTAATGTGCGCTGTGCCAGGAATTGTCTTCTCAATCTTTGGTTGGCCCGCGTAGAGTGTCCCGCTGTTGGTGGACGCTTCGTTTCGTGGTCAGCAACCCTGTGTGAGATGGGTGACACCTGGACGACTGTTATGGGCAAAGAACGACATTCGGCCGACTCCGAACCCCGTCTGGGTGTTACCAGCATCTATCTACCTCGGTCTCAATCTTGACTTCGGCAGCCAACTAGTTAACTAGAAAGCCAAGCAATGCTCCCTCCCTTCCCTGTAGTTCTGGGCCGTCTTGTACGTTTTAGAGGACGATTGTGTACAGACACAGGCACACATATGTACCACCATTCGTGTGCACCGTTCCGCAAGCCTTCCGCGAACCTTCCACAAGCCTTCCGCAAGCCGACACCCAACTCAAGACGGTCAGCGGCCTCGGCCAAGAAGTGCCCGTCTCCCCGAGCCGCGATACTTGTGGCGTGGGCTTCTGAGCCACTTTAAACTCGGCACACCTGCCCACCTGCAACAGCGGCAATGTTTGGGCCGGCACTGTCGCTTGGAAAGCCTGCTGTCGGTGATGGCCGAGTGAGATTCCGCATACCGAGATGGCGTCTGGCGGCAATGACCGGCGACAGGTTGTCATCCACCCGGGGGCCGGCGGCCCCGCAGCAGCGTCCCCGCATCCCCACCTCCCCACCAGCATGTGCTATGCTCTCTGGGACGTACCTGCTGCGTCTATTCGCATTCGCATCTCTCTTGTGTGTTGTCGCCATCTTGTGAGCTCGTGACATCCTTCACATACCTCAGCAACTACACAAGCAGTATCAACGACAATGTCTTGGCCAGTCAAGAACATCCCAATCACGGAATGTGGGTTGGGAACGCTGCCATGTGGGTCAAGCTGACCGTCAGGCGACCGTATGATGTGCCAACCGGGCACGTACTTTGAGCTGGAGACAGCGATGATTCAAGGTCGTGAGGAGAAGGTCTGGACGAATGTAAGGTGCCACATGTGATGCGTTGTGTCTGACGTTAGCTCGCGCCCTCCTTCCGTGTCTTCCTCCTCAAACAGTTGGAGCAGTACAGCGATCGCATTATGCTCAACGCACCTCTCGACCCTACAGGCAACCTTGGCGAGCGCGAGGACGTGACGTATGGTGAGGTCGCACGTCGCGCACTTGACCTTGCTGCATGGCTCCGCAAGCAGGGTGTCACTGCCGGCAGCTTTGTTGGCCTGGTCGGGTACAACAGCATCGAGTACGTTGATCTCGCGTGTGGAACTTGTGGGAATGAAACTGATGGGCCAAGATGGGTAGTTGGCTTTGTTGCGATTCAGCTCCTTGGCGCTGTGACCGTCATGGTTAACGCGGCCGTCAAACCCGACTCGATGGCTCACTGCCTCAACCTCGTCAAGCCCGTCGTTATCCTCGCCGACGGCCCCTGTTCATCGTCAATCACGTTGATTCAGGATGAGCTCAAGGACTGCGGCAAGGTACGTGGCGACAGGCTATACGAATTTACAAAAGTGCTAACTCGCGTTCCAGGTTTACGCTTGGTCGAAGCTTGGTGTTACAGGCAACGTCGAGGTTGGTTGTGGCACGAAAATCACGCTGACGCCAGGTTCTCGACTTTAAGAGCATGAAAGTATCGCCCTCGGACGCCGCCGACGTGAAGAATGGCGTCGGCATCAAGGACATCCACCCCGACAGCGACTCGACCATATTTTACACCTCCGGCACCACCGGCTACCCCAAGGCCGTGCTCTCGAGCCAGCGCGCTTCGCTGCACAACGTCATCTCGTCCCAAATCCGTGAGCAGCTCGCCGTCTGGATGAACCGCTCTAATCTCTACAGTTCTTGGCCGAGCCGCCCTTCGTGCCGGCGCCCCACTTGAGATGGTGATGCCTCTCATCTCCAACCCACCCCCCGATCAGCGCACCATTCTCATGGTTGTGCCCTTCTTCCACGCTACTGGATGCCTGACCATGCTCTCCAAGGCATTCTGGGAGGGCAGCAAGCTCGTCCTCATGCCCCGCTGGAACGTCGACGATGCTATCGACCTCATGATCAAGTACAAGGTTAACGTCATTGGTGGCGTGCCCTCCATTGCGACAGCTATTATTCAGTCGCCCCGCCTCCCCAAGGACCTGGACCTCCTGGGCTGTAGCTACGGCGGAGCGGCACCTGCGTCGCGCCTCCCTGGCGACCTTAGGAAGCGCTGGCCCGACTTGGTCTCGTGAGTATCTTGGTTGGATAAGAGCTGATCTGTTAGGGCCCATGGTTGGGGCATGACTGAGACCAACGCGCTTCACACCAGTAACGCCGGAATGGACTATGTGATGAAGCCCAAGAGCTGGTACGTGGCTTTGAATGGCTCCCCTTTGTGTGTTTATTGCTGATACGTCTTGCAGTGGTGTTCCTGTTCCCATCTGCGAAGTCAAGATCATCGACACTGATACGCGAAAGGAGCTCCCCACCGGTAAAGTCGGCACGATCCTGGCGCGCGGCTCCAACATGATGAAGGAGTATTACAACAACCCGAGTACGTGAACGAACCGGGGGACTCCAAGAGGACTCCAAGACAGGGCTAACGCTGGCAGAGGCCACCAAGGACGCCTATGAGAGTGGCCGTTGGCTCGACACTGGTGACGCGGGATACCTTGATGATGAAGGGTTCCTTCACATTTCGGACAGGATCAAGGACATTATCATCCGCGGTGGCGAGAACGTGAGCTCGCTGGCTTTTGCAGGCTGAGCTGACCTGTCAGATCCCCTCCGAGGAAGTTGAGAACGCCGTCTTCCTCGACGACCGTATTGCCGAGGTTGCCGCCGTGCCCGTGCCCGATGACATTCTTGGTGAACTGGTGGCCATCGCCGTCAGTCTCAGGGCCGGTGTCAAAGCCACCCCGGAGGACATCAAGGCGCAAGCTGCATCTCGGTAAGCGGCTCAAGAACGGCCTTGGAAATGGACTACCAAAACGCTGACCTTTTTGCTTAGCCTCCGTGGTCCTGCCCGTCCCTCGTTTGTGGTCATTTACGACGGGCTGCTTCGTGAGCATACACTTTGAAAATATCAGTGCTAATAGCGTCAGCGCGTAACATCAACGGCAAGATGATCAAGATGGAGATCAAGAAGACCGTCGGTGACCTGTTCGCGGAGACGAAGCAGGCCCCGAGGGCCAAGCTCTAGATGAGGTACCGTTTGGTTGTTAGAGGAAGGATTGTTGGGTAGCTGGGAATCTACGAAGACATGCAAATGCAGCCGATTTGATCACACTTTATACATGTGGTATAGACAGCATAGGTTCACAGCTTGCGCAACTTGCACAGCCATACAGCGACAGCGTTTACAGTATGTCTTGAATGGGTGATTCAAAGAATAAAAGTGCGGTTCTTGTCGAACGCTAGTTATCAGCTGGCCTGTTGTGTGACTTGGTTACATACCGTGCGCAGCAAACATGCGGGGACTCTCATTGGTTCCCTTATTCTCAAGAGCCTTCGTCAGCGCAATGAGGAGCTTGCGGTGGCTGAGGGCTGGACTGGTGTTCATGACGTGCATGAAGACCTGGGACATTAGAGGGGTTGGCCGTGGATCTGATGACTTACTTGAGCCAGGTAGCCGGGGACTCTGCGAACCGGCGAGGTACGACACTCCGACCACTCGGCATAGTTCTTTGCTCCGTCGAGGACAATGACGTCGTGGAGAGTGAGTTTACGCTCCTCAAAGTGCCATCCGCAGATGTCCTCGTCAAACGAAGCCTTGACCTTTCCGCCGTCCAGCTTGCGGAGTGCTTCGATCGCGTCGGTAGCGTTCTTGTTCTTGTCGTTGTACTCGTTGGCCATGTTGGTGAGTGTAGACTCAAGAGACTCGGCGTCGCGGACCAACGAGCCGTACGTGTAATAGTAGGGAAGGACAAGGGCCTCGTTTGGCTTTGTATCAAACAGAGCAATGAGGCGGCAAGCCCGGGGGATCGGGTCGATGAGCAAAGTGCGCCTATGTGGTCAGCGGAGCCGGATGGGAGGACATACACTGTAGCGAGGGTCAGCATGAGGGCCTCACTTGTGATACAAAACAGCAACGTACAGGTCTCCTGGGTAATCACGCCTTCGGTACGATGGTCAGATGGCCAGAAGCCTACAAACGGAGCGTGTCAGCATGACTTTCGGCCCCAAGAGCATGGACGTACAAGTCTTGCGAGTCCCCACTATCGTCATCAGCGTTTGTGTGTCTATCCCAGTGGCAATGTGTGCACCCACAAGTAGATGAACAGAACGTCATCGCGCTGTACATCCTTGGTGAGCCAAGCCAAGCCGGCCACAATGTTGGCGCGAGTCGGCTGGGACCAGTTCGGTCCAGCAGAATCTTTCATGATGTGAACATTGTACGGGGAGAAGGAGTGCTTCCCTGCGGGTCTCAATGTCAATCAAAACCAGCGAACCTACCAATAAGGAATTCCTTGAGGTGCTCCACATCGCTGTGACGGGTTTCGAGGGCGGGGAGACCGTAGGTGATGCCAATCTGACGTCAACCTTGCCCCACTCTTCTGAAACCAGTGTTCCGACTGTAGACGCTAGACTCTGTCCTTACTCACGAGAATGGCCTTCTTAGTTCCAGTACCTGCTGTAAGCTACTGCACGTGTCGATAACTCCTACCCTTCGAGTACTCGTAGTCCGTCTGGAAGTCCTCCTTGGACACTAGAGCGTCTTTTGAGCCTCCGGTGGTAGTTGTCGTAGCGATTGAGCTTGGGTTGCTGCGTCGAGTACCTCCCATGTTGGCCGTTGTGGAATGAAATGAAATGACTAGGTGTAGGATATTGTGGGCCCACAGAGAGAGAGGAGAACAAGAAGAAGGTGTGGTGGGAAAAAGAGAGAAGCGTGAAGCGTATGCGAGCCGCTACGACCTTCAATTGGCACGCGAGGCAGGCAACTGAAGCATTACGGTGAGCAAGGGCCTGTGCGCCCCAACCCCAACGATGCAACGAGCAGTATGTCACACACCCCGGACGTTGAGGGCGTGGGCACCGCTGCACAGAAGGCTAATGACGTCGATTCCCAAAGCATGGGTGCCCATGGAGTGGTAGTTGCAGCCCGTGCATGATCACCATGAGCTTTTTGCACACCCACACATCAGCTGCCACAATCGAGCCACATTCGCGCTGCTATTTCTGCTTCCGACCTTGCGACTGTAAGACTGTTATATGAAACTGTCTCACGTGACGTCAGTGAGCCAGTGCTTACGTTTCCATGAGCATGCACTGCGTCAGTGATCAGTGACGTTGGTACCAGTTGCCAGCTTGGGAGAAGTGTCAAGGCGATGATGACCTGAGCCAGTGGACGGGATTGACTCTCTTGCTGTTCCGTGCCCATCCGGCTCGTCAGCTGTCCTTGCACGATGATGAAAACGACGGTCCAAGAGACCCAGAGATGAGCAGGTCGACAGACTACGAGGGGCATAACCATGGGTTCTCAGCACACGATGCAACCCGTCTTTCCCGGCATCATTCTCCCGGCGACTGTTCATGGGTTCACCCACGAAGGTGTCTCACTTGCGTACTTCTCAGTACCACCATCTAGATTCCAGCTACCGTGGCCCGTGGCGTCTGGACCTAGCCTAAATGTTCTTCGCACTGCATAATCTCTGCAGCGTTCCTGAGTAGCCAATGTAGATTACTATAATGACCGGCTCAACAGGATGCCGGGCTAGGTTTTGCGTGGTGAGCCGAGTTGCCAAGGTCTCGCCCCCTGCTGCAAATAGTCCTTTCCTCCCCGCAAGTCAAACAACCATCATGGTAGCGTATCCAGACAGGAACTGGGGTCTCCGAGATTATCGGTCCATCATGTTGCGATAGCGGCAATCGATATTGAACAGTTGAGCGCTAGTTGCCGGTTGGACGACGACGGCATCTATGGAGACGACACCACGAGATCGTGAGGTTTGTCGGCGGCGTGCCACGAGTATCGCACATGGACCCGCCTGGGCCCCTCACATACGCGACGGCGCCTGCCGCAGTAACGCGCGATCGGAAACGTAACCTCATGCACGTTCTCAAGGGACGTTCGCAGTAACAGCAACGAGCAACAGAACCTGCATGTCCTGAAGGAAAGGTTAGAACCGCAAGAGGCCGTTGGACCTAACGAGGCAGTCGGTTGGACGTATCCATTCAGTGTACCACCGTGCACGTCTGAACCGCCGCAGGAACGGTTGACTAGGCGTCGCAGCATGTGGGGCTCGTCTGGACGTGCCGTCGTGGACTGCGGTGCGCGGAAGGTTCATGGGTTCGACTGCTGTGCATCGGGACTCCAGCCCACTCCAGCCCACCTTCACCTGCCCAATGGGCGCCCAGCCACTTTGCCCACTCTGGTACTCAGGTCTGGTGAGTGGCTGCCACTTGGCCCCACTGGCTGCCGTCGTACGTCGCGACTGGCCACGCACATCGCAGTTTTCGCAGCGCGCGCAGTCGCGGAACGGGGAGCCCAGCGCTGCGGCGTAGCTGCAGTATGGTTCGATTGTACTCTGCCAATTCCAAGTCCACCTACCACCTGACGAGACGAGGAGCCAGCGCGTGTCCGCAGACGCGTCTTGGCAGGGAGGTGCAGCCCACCGACGCGTTCTGACATGGCCGCCAGGTCCTGGTGTTTCGAACCGCCGCCACAGTCCCTTTGGTGGTCCGTGTTGATCCAGCCCTTTGCAGGAGGCGGCGGGCAAGAGCTAGCGCAAGGACATGAAGGAAACGCTCTCGTCGGTTTGACGAGCGCACAGTGGCATCCTAACGTCAGCCCTGCCTGGCACGTTGCGCCATGGAGGTTTTGATCGTGTGCACGGACTCGTGAACCGTTGCCAGCTGATGCAAGAGCCTTCTGCGTTTGACCAGCGGCAACCACCAGTCACCCAGGCCGTGGCCATCCAGGACGGCTGTGAGCGTACAGCACGGAGCTCCAGACGTCATCGTCATTGCATCCCGCTTCGCCGACGACGGCCGCCGCATTCCACGGAGGTGTGGTTGACATCCAAACATGTAGTTGACGTAATTGTAATGTACGACCTCTGGGATTTCATGGACGTCGACAACGGCACCGACCAAGTCAGTGGTAACAAGAAGAGCATGGTGCCTGCTCCTGAGGGACGGACGTCGTGCGTCGGGGGTGAGTCGGAGGTCAGTCTCGGATGTATCATACGTGTTCCAACGGAGTCCCTCATATCCTCAAAAGTACTCCATTTAGCATATACCTGCTGCTGTCAGCACCACCCCGGACGGGTACCACAGAGTGCTCACATGTTCGTCTTCGCTGCGGGGACGCCCATTTGCGAGATGCTATCCTGCTTGCTTTTCACTTCATTCACCTGGGACGCGGTCAGAGCCGCGATGGTGTGTCGACCGCACTGTCAATTTCAATGACGAGCTTGCCAAACTGCTTGCCCTCATGCATGTCGTTGAAGAGGCCCTCAATGGCGTCGAGGTTGTCGAGGCCCTTGACGGTCTTGCTGATCACGGGCTTGATCTTGTGCTCGCCGACAAACTTGAGCATGTCCCTAAACTCCTGGCGCGAGCCCATGGTGACGCCGCGCAGGTCAATGTTGGCGAGGACGGCGCTCATGAGCCAGTCCATCTTGGGGCCGACGGTCATGCCGTACTGCGAGATGACGCCGCCGGTGCGCAGGAGCTTGACGCCCTTGCTGACAATGGCGCCGCCGGCGCCGTCGATGATCGCGTCCAGGAAGGGACGGTCCTTGGGCAGCTGGGCCTTGAGCTCCTTCTCCCACGTGTCCGACTTGTACGACACGCCGCCCTTTGCGCCGAGCTGCTTGGCCCTTTCGAGCTTGTCGGGCGAGCCGGACGTGACGTAGACGTTGGCGCCGTGCGCGACCGCCAGCTGGAGGACAATGAGCGCGACACCGCCGCCAATGCCGGTCACGAGAATGTTCTTGCCCGGAGCCGCGGCGCCCGACTTGGTCACGAGCGCGCGCCAGCCCGTCAGGCCCACGAGGGGGAGCGCGGCGGCCTCGACGGCTGTCAGGTGCGCCGGGGCCGGCTCGACGTCGTCCTCGCTGAGGAGTCCATAGTCGCGGCCGGTACCAGAGTCCGATGCCTTGGTGCCGCCTAGGGTCTGTCAGCGGAAGATTCACACTGCGATGCACCCCCAAGCTCCCCACGTGCACTCACCAGAGACATGGAACTCGCTGCCCTCGGGACCAACGGGGTCGCTCGCCCATCCCCTCATCGGCGCGGCAATGACGGGGTCGCCGACCTTGACGCGGCTCACACCGCTGCCGACAGACACGACCACGCCATAGCCGTCCGCGAGCAGGGCCTTGTTAAAGTCGATACCGGGGTACAGGCTCTGGCGGATGAAGAGGTCGCGGTGGTTGAGAGCTGCGGCCTTGTAGCGCACGAGGACCTCGCCGGCGGCAGGTGTCGGAACGGGCGACTCGCGGATGATGAGGCTGGCGACGTCAGCAGGGGGAGGCAAACGGCGTGAGGCAGAAGCAACGTACGGGTAGTAGACCTTTCCAGGCTTGCCCTCGACGTGCTGGATGAGGAGCTCGCGCGAGACGGACATGGTGTGCTTGTTGGTTGGAGTGAAGTGGTTGGAAGTGCGATATGGAGATGGTCGAGATGGAACTCTGACTAATCCTGTTGGGGGTGTCGGTTATCCCCGTCGTACGAGTTGCCGAAGTCACCGACGTGCCGAAATCCGCGTCATATCATCGTGCGACCGGTGAACACGATAGTAATCTCTCGTCAAAGGACCTGCTGGTCGTCATCGCAACTGGCGTTTCTGGATGCCTTGGGACGTGGTGTGAGGATGTTGGGTGACTTGTCTGCTGTGTCTGGAGAGCATGCGTGTGGCAATGGCTGTTCTGATTTCGCAGGGACGGAATAACACGACTCCGCACGTCATGGTTTCGAGGACTGCCGCGAAAGTGAATGTCCACAGGCTCGAACGGTCTGCGGACGAGCATACGCTCCTCCTCACAGATCCAATAGCATCGACCGACTTGTGCACACGTGAGCGCCACGAGGGTTGGGAACCGCAAAGGCCACTCTGCCAACAAACCAAGGGCCATGGGCCACTTTTATGATCGACCCGGCCGATCTCTTGAGCTGCCTGATGACTCCCCATGTCGCCCCCTTAATACATCATGGTCATAGAGGACAGTCTCACCTGACGGTGATGAGATCCATTTACAAAACTGGCCCTTCTCTCAACCCCACACCCCGGGTCTCAAATGGGGTGGAGCTCAAATGAGGTGGAGCTCGCTACAAGACATCCAAACAGCCACGGTCTGGACATGAGCTCCACCCACTTGGCCCACTTGGCACCGTTTTTGGTGACATTGGCAGCAGCCTCGGTTCTCATTTACGTCCGGACACGAGGGGCACGGGTACACACTGGTACACTGGCACGTTTATGAACACCAGAACCCACATCCCGGGCCGGACTGCAAAGGCGTTGCTGGCGCCATCCATCGACGTCGGCCGAGGCGTGTCGCTGGCTCTAGCCCCATCCATCGTCCTGGGGACCTTTCCGGGGCCAACAGACGCCGTGCCGCCGCCTCCGCCGCCGGCGAACCTATGACCGCGAGACAGAAGCCACGGCGGTGAGAGGGAGAGGCGTGGGGACATGGGGACATCAGCCATCGCTGGCGTGGCGGACAACTAAGCGGCCAGAGCCCCAGAAATGGCAAAGTGTCGACCGCCGGGCCTGGCTTGGCTTTCTTCGCTGGCGATCAGCGTGGTTCCTCGCGTGTCCTCATATCGCCATGTCCTCATATCCTCATGTCGTCGCGTCCGCGTGTCCTCATCCAACATCGCCTCCGTGTGTGCGTGGGCTTCCTGTGCAACCCCCCCCCCCCGCAGTTATTCATTTTCCGAGGTGTCGAGCACCTCATCGTCATGTAATGTTCTCTTTCCCCGCTGCGGTGTCTCGGGGCCTGCCTGGGTTCCCAGTCTGTTCCCTTTTGCTGGCACGGACGGACACATGGTGTAATCCCGTGCACCGTGTCCCCGGGATCTGGATGGAGGCATGGAGTGAGTGGGTGGTGGAGTTGCAGGATTTACAGGATTTACAGGACTTTGACAGGGTTGGATAAAGAAGTGGGGTCCAGCAAGGAAATATTTGGAGGGCCAGAGATGCGCGTGCCGGCGGCACACAGTCAGCACACGGCGAGCACAGGATCCTGGCCATCCTGCCCATATCCTGGACATATCCTGGGCTGGGCCAGACCGTTGTTCGTTTCTAAGGGCGGTGTGGTCCTTGGCGTAGTGCTGTAAACGGGGGTGCTTGCTGGCTCTCGAGTCTGCGCTCTTTTGGCATTCGAGACCATGCGGATTGCGGGGATTGGGATTACGCGATAGTTTTTCGCGGCCGGTAGGTGTATTCGGCCGCCAAGTGAAAATTGTATTCGGCTGCGGAACACCGCCGCCGGCCGCCCTAATGTGGGCCGGCCGGTGGGCTAATGCTTTCTCGTCGACCCCGCACCCCAGATTGTGCTGTTGCTCGCGTTGCTCGCTTGGCGCGGTCCCAGTCCCAGTCCACCTGTGCTGCGGGACGCGGGACACTGCATTGAGATCATGTATGCCTACGTTGTCTAAGGCTAAAATGGTGGACGCAAAGTGGACATGTGGCGCGGGGACGTGTGGTCGTGTGCAGCCGATGGCGACGGGTTAATGGGGTGCTTGCTGAGAGAATCTGTGCTCGGTAGCGATGCAAAGACAGGTGTCCACGCCACAACCCTCAAGGGACGAGACGGCCGTTTCTTCAAAGTCACCACAAATTATTTGCCTATGCCTGCTTCCACAGCAGTGCCCCGCTGCTTCCTTTTGCTTCCATGAGTTCCTCGAGTTCCTCGACGCGTGTGCGTGTCGCCGGACCTAAGCCTGGACCTAGGAGCGTGCGACTGCGGGACGGGCGTGCACACAATGCTGTCTCAGCCCGGATGTGAAGAATCGGAAAGCCGCGTGTCGAGGAGCCAAACAGCTTAACCGCATGCCGCTGGTGTCTTCGTCTGAAACTCTGGCCGGGACTGCGGGCGCGGGTATGTGTCTAACTTTGGAATGAGGCAGCACAGATCCACAGAGGCATACGTCGATATTTGTGTTTGTCTATTTTCAAGTACAGTACGTACTGTATTTACTTACTGGTGCGTTTGCCGTGCAATGCACGCATCTGGGATCTAGGTCGGGCGCGCACAACACGCCCGCAGCCACGCTGGGCGGGCACATCCTTCGGGTGCCGTTTCCACGAGGGTCCAGCGCACGTCCAGCAAAGGTCGTCATGCACACGGGGTGGGATGTTGCACAGCACCATGGTCATATGGTTGGAACGTTGGGACAATAGGAACTGGGACAAACATTGCAATCAGAGATCTCTGGTCAGAGACAAACACAAACACTGCGCTTATTTTGGGCCTCGCTTGCTGCGCAAGTGACAATCCCGAGGACAGTGCAATCACCTTGTGATACATGATCTGTGATCTGTGACAAGACCAAACGTGCCCGTGGCCAAAGGCCAGAGGCGAGAACCTTGGGGTGGATCATGTATGAGGCGTGACGAGGCGGTGTTGTTGCATGCACTCTCAAAGCGCTGCATGCAGTGATCTCCGCCACACCAGAAGAAAGAGAGAGAAGCGTTCAGACGCGCTGATCGCAGGGGGGCAGTGCGGGCATCAGACGACGCTGTGACGTATACGACACGTCCAACGAGACGACCCAGAACGTATTGGGTTGGCGTCGACCGAGACGGATTGAATACTAAATGCGATACATTGACCACCGGGTGACACGGTAAAAGCGGTTTAGAGTGAACGCGGTGTCATTCGTCTGAATTAACCAGTGTCCGACACGCGTCGCGTCCCAAGGATGACGTCGATCTAATGTCACGAGTGGTTTCCATGTGCGCAGCCTCCCTTGGCCAATGCCAATTATGGGCGTGTGCATACGCAGAGGAAACCCTTGGCACAGGTGTGTGCAGAGCAGGTGTGCGTTGGGAGCACAGGGCCATGGTGCGCGTCTCTTGCTCGGCTGTGGATGCGTGCTTGGTGTGCGAATCGATTGATGGCGGATCGGGCTCTCGCCCTTGAGTGATCAGAGAGAGCTACCACCCCTGCCCAGCCAGCGCGTCAGCGGCCAGCGTGTGGGTCGAGGCCGTCTGCGAGCAACGAGCAACGTGCCACGAGGCAGCCGTGTGCCGTGACATGTCATGCATGTCGTCGTGCCAGACCCACAGACCACTTGTTGCTATGGCACTGCACGCCCCCGCCTGGGCGTCGTCGCATTAATCGCTCAAATGAGCGCAATAGGAAAAGCCAAACCCTTGTTGTCGAGGGACAGGGACGGTCTATTTTTTTTCGCTCCCGCTTTGAAATTATCCTTACAGCCAGCCAGCTTTTCTGGCAGCTTCCCATGCTCTATGCTTTCTGGGCGTCGCGACATGTGGTACCTTGTCGTCCCTGCGGTACCTGCGTGTCTGATGGGCCTTGTTCCCTTTGGATCCCACCCACACTCGCCCAGCGCGCGCAGTCGGACGCCTGCCCCCAACACCAAACCGGGGTGGTAGACCTATTTTTCGTTATTTTCCCGACAGGCAAAAGGGTGCAAGGTGGTTTTGTGTGTGTGTGTGTGACGACGCGGCGTGTGTGCCGTGCAGTTGACGCCGCCTGTAACCGTTGCAGCCTCTCTCGTTGCTGCGCGCATTCTTGCGGTCCTTGCGGCGCTCACCGTCCAGGGCCGGCTCAATCTCCGGCAGCGCCACTGGCAAAGGGTCTGCGCGGACCGAGGGGTTGGTGGGCCATTTGGCCATTTGAGACCCCCCCGGCGCGCGCGGGGCGGCGCCTACATGGATTGCCGTGCCGGGGCCATGGGCCATAGGTGGGCGGCGGCGGCGATCATCGAGACGCGCCAGCGTGTGCATGAACGTGCAGCAGTACTGCTAGTGCATGAGTGCATGCCCCAGTGTGCGTGGAAAAGGAGGGCCGTGGGGTGGGTGGGATCTGGACACAAGCGGCGATTGCGCAATGGCGGCCGCTCGGTGTCCTGCATGTCCTCGTTAAAAGTTGCAGCAACAGAGGACACACGCCCACGGTCGCCTCCTGGCTCTCGCTCCTGGCTCGCTCCTGCACAGCTGCGCGCGCCCGGGTGTGTCGGGCAGGTCGAAAACCGGCCATCTGTGCGCCGTAGCTCCGGCGAGCTCCAGCCTGTAAGTGGCAGCACACGCGCACGATGTGGCCCCGTGCGTCGAATGTGGCTGCAACGCCGTTACCGGTCACATCCCTATCGCCTGCGGATGGGAGAGGCCCACCGTCGATCGCTACATGGGACCTGGGAGGAGCAGGCTTATCGACAAGCATGGACCTATCTGTATCTACCTGCAAAGGTATCTCTGTAGCACTCTGGAGAGGTTGAAATGATGGCCTTGTTGCGTCTAATTCTCGGCTATTACGAAAATTCATACACACCTCCAATAGACGCCGCGTGTGCCGCCTCCATGTCGTCCAGAACACCGAGAAGGTGGAACAACGTCGGTCCCCCTCTACCTCCTCGTCATCGGCCCGGAGCACGATTGGGGTCTGTCTGTCCCAGCATGCTGTGTCGGTGTCTTACCTTGTCGGTCCACATCGTGCACAGGTGTTAGAGCGGTAGACGTCGCGGCAGCGGCCATGTAAGCGCTGCGTTGGAATGGAACACCCCACTCTCGGCCGAATAGAAGGGGTGGGTGGGTGGAATTATAATTTTATTTTTCTTAATAGTTTTTCTAAAACACTGTTGACGTCAGACACCGGCCTGCCAGATCTCAGTGACCTTGGCCCGGAGGGATCCTGGCCCGAACGGCCCATTATCCCGCCCACAACGTCGCGTTCGGGTATGCCGGAGCAGACGGAGTGCGTATGCATGGCAGCAGGGAGTGGAAACGAGCAATGGCACTGAATCAAGCTCCGGTTGCAACCAAACAACTGTGCTAGGCTGGCCCACCTCATAGCTCCGTATTAAGAACACCATGTGGGATACTGAGGGCCCAGGTGTTTGACTGGGAGGGGCTCATCCAAATGGACGGGTCGGGTGTGGTGTTCTGGGAAGGGGCCCGAGAAACAGAAAACTATGCATCCGATCAGACATGTCAGCAGTCACCTCACCACCAGCCGGTGACAGCAGAAACAGGCCCGATACATTGCTCGTTTACCCGCGTCGGGAAGCCAGCCTTCCGGCATTGTATGCTTGAGTGTGCCAAAATCTGCTGGGTGTGGCAGGCGCAGCGACGCGGTCTCGGGACAACGACGCGAGCTGTTTCTGTTTCTGATCCACCGCGCGCGCGATGCTTGGACGCATATACACTCAGCAAGGCCCGGAATATTTCGTCATAACAACAAACGTCGTACACCCAAACACTTTGTTAGTCGACAATGCATGCGAGCAAGGTCCCGCATGGCACTCCCGCCAAGGCCCGTCTGCCGTATCCGGGCACACCCACCCTCATTAACTGCAACTTGACCCATCTAGCCATGCCACAGAGGATTGAGGCCTAGTCGGCTAGCTGCTGGATCCTCCATGGTGTGGTGGACTGTTTCTCGGCCCAATACACACCCGTACACCCGGCTCCGTTGCTCCATGATCCATGAACACATGTGGAGCTGGAATTGGGGTGCCGGGGGTGGTTGCCGAGTCTAGCGGGAGAATATGGCTTGGGTGGCAGTGTTCTATGGCCGAGGGGAGGAGAGCGGTCTGGACCGAGTGGAGTGTCCTGTGGGCCTCTGAGTAATAATGGCGCCAGCAAGTGTGTGTTCCGAAGATGATCCATTCCGGCCGCGGCCGCATTAGAGAGAGAGAGAGAGTAGTGTGGTGGCAGATTTTGAGGGGGGAACGTCATTTGTCTTGCCCGCTAATTAGGAGGACTTTGTGGCATTAGGGGGGGGCCGACGGAGGGGAACATGTGCCCTTAGGAATGGACAATACAAAAGGAGGGGGGACCAAATAGGAAAATTGCACCCACACACCCCCTTTTACTGCGCAGAGGCCAACCCCCTGGATCCACAGGGATGGGACACACTGTGCACAGGGACGGGACGCGGCGCCATGGGTGTTCCCTGGTCGTCCCTGAGGCACAGTCGCGTAGTGTGTGTGTGGTGTGCGGCATGTAACCCCTGGGCACACGAGCCAAGGGGCGCAGCAGCGCGGGCACTGGGCCAGAGACGGCGACACCCAGTCCCCCCGATTCAGCGCGCGCAATCCCTCTCTCACTGTGGGCCATCGTGTCTTCCTTCTTCTCTTCCACTCCGTCTCTCTTTGTCTCTCTCTCACTCTCTCTCTCGCCTCCTCCTCTCCCACACACCCACACTCACTCACCCCCCCCCCCCGCCGTCCTCCCCCTCGCAGACCCCGAAAAACAGGGCCACTCTCACTCAACACCACCTCCCATCAACCACCCCCCCCACGCACTATATAGGACGGCCACCACTCGTGAGTTCAAGTCTTCCCCATCCGTCAAACCAACACACTCCCTCCCCACCCACTCTTCTCTTTACCGTTCGGAAAACAGCTTGACGCTGACCACCACCACCCTCTCTCGACACAGTCTTTAACCCGGTTCGACACCACCAAACAACACAAACCAACAATGTTCGCCAAGGTCTTTGTTACTGCCGCCATGGCCGGCCTCGCTGCCACCGCCGCCCCCGTCCGCAAGTCGGTCCCCTCGACTTGGGCCACCAACTACCTTGAGGACTACAACACCTACCACGTCCGTTACCTCGCCCTGGACTGCCACCTCCAGCACAACACCACCTTCTTCGAGGACTGCTGCCACCCCCTCCAGGCCAACGGCACCCTCGCTGACCGTGCCTCGTACTGCACCCCCAACGCGACCGCCCTCGCCGCGGCCTCGTCCAAGGTCGCCGCCCAGGCTACCGCTACCATCTCGGCCACCGGTGCCGCCGCCTCGTCGGACGCCGCCATCGAGTCGGACCTCGAGTCCGAGTGGTGCTCCGCCACCTCGTCGGTCGAGTCGTCGGCCACCGCCGCCGCTGTCGCTGCCTCGACCACCGAGGCCGCCGCCTACGTCGCCCAGACCTCTGCCGCTTCCACCGAGGAGTACTCGTACGAGTCCTCGTCGGCTTCGGTTGAGGCCGCCTCTTCGTCTGTTGCCGCCTACGCCGACTACGCCCAGGCCTCGACCACCGAGGAGGCCGCCGCCGCCGCTACCACCACCGCCGAGGCCAAGTACCAGAAGGCCGCCGCTTCGTCGTCGTCGTCTGAGGACTCGTGGTCGTCGTCGACCTCGTCGTCTGCCGAGGCCGCCGCCACCTCGTCCACCTCGTCTTCGTCGTCGTCGGGCTCGGGCACCACCTACTCGGGTGAGGCTACCTACTACTACCAGACTGAGGGTGCCGACGCTTCGGGTGAGGGCTCGTGCGGCTGGACCAACACCGACTCGGAGCTCATTGCCGCCATCTCGACCACCGACGGCTCCACCTGGGCCAACACCCTCTGCGGCAAGTACGCCGTTGTCACCAACACTGCCAACTCGAAGACCGTCACTGTTGAGATTGTCGACAACTGCCCCTCGTGCAACGGTGCCGACTCGCTCGACCTCTCCCCCGCCGCCTTCCAGGCCATCGGTGACATGGACACCGGTGTCCTTGACATCACCTGGCAGCTCCAGGCTTAAATGGTTTGCACCATTTGTGAGTAGCAAAAAGAACAAACCCGAACAGAGTGCGCGGTGTATGAGTGAAGGGCGAGTGCCACACTCGTCGTCATTCATTACACCCAGGTCCCGCTTTTGATGCTTAACGCACCAAAGCCGCCTCCTCCAACGGAAAAAAGCCTCCCATTTAATAGTTCCGACGCTGACTGTATTCTCAGAGCCAAACCCCCCTATCGGCTGGTCCTTTAGGTACTAGGAACTTTGTCAACCCCTAGTTATCGGTCATCGACAACACTACACATCCGACCTCCTCCTCATCCTCCTCTTTTCATATATATGGGTCGCGTATATCATTTCACAGTGAACCACCACCCACCCCCATCCCCCCTGTTTATAGAAAAATTCACCCCGTCTTGCTTTTCGCTCTCTTGTCGAACTGGGCTTTCGCTCTTCCCGCCCGTGCCCTAGTGGCATCGACGGCAAGGTCGGGGGGAGCAACGGGTCTTCTGTAGACAAATGGAGGCGTGGCTTCACGCGGCTGCGCTGCTCGTGAAATCAAATATGCATGGAGACTGGCTCTCCACAGGGTGTATCACTAGTCCTGTTGAGTTGCTGTTGCACGAGAGTCCAAAGGAGCTGACACGTTGGTGGGGAGTGAGCCTGACATGGGACTTGACATTTAGGGTCCTTGTGCCTGACACACCAGTGTTGGCCGCAGTTGCAACTGCGTTGGCCGCTGATAATGGTGGTGGTAGTACTTTGGCGGTGCTTTGGTTGTGGTCTGGTCCGCTCACTGGATCACTGTACCGCTGTCCAGCCTCTTCTCGCAACACAGGCCGCCTGCATTGCGAGCATCTTGGGTAGCTTCTCACAAGTCCGTTTCTGAGTCTTGACGTCACAGCGGCCCACACACACGCTCGTGTATACCGCAAGTTCCCCAGGCCCCAGCTGCCGCCCCAACCAGCTGCCACAACCACGTCCATTCCTTCTTCCCATACAAAGCCAGCCCTTCCATCGACACTTTACACTACACTACACTACACTACCCGTCCCCTGCCAGGTACACTCTGCTCTACACGTCGCCCTCGACGGTGAGATTGATGATGCCGAAAAGGGGGTACACGGGCCAGAACGAGCTCTCGTCGTTATCCTTGAACGCCATCTCGCTCGTCCAGTGGTGGTGCACCGACCCGTCGTCGAGCTTGCGGAACACGGTGAGGAGCGAGTTTTGCCCGCCGGCACCCCCGCGCGCGCCCTGTGCCTCTTCGGCGTAATAGTCCGCGTTGAACGTCGTGCCCGCCGACGAGAGCAGCGTGAGGTCCTTCCACCCCATCTTGGCCGCGTACGCGGCCACCTGGTCGTGGGGCGCTTTGGCCACGACGACAAAGTTGGCGTGCGTGGCGCCTACGGTGGCAGCGACGCCCTCGAGCCCGTTCACGACGTTGGTGCAGTGCGGGCAGGGCTTGCCGTCGGGGAACATCATCGAGTAGATGACCAGCGACGAGCCCTTGTCCTTTGCGAACAGGTCCGAGAGCTTGATGGGTGTGCCCGACGTCGTGTGGAAGACGTAGTCGTCCTTGATGGCGCCGCCGGGCGGGAGGCGCTGGCGCTCGGCGACGACGGACCGGGTGAGGGCTGCGAGCTCGGCTTCCTTCTCGAGCAGGGCGGTGCGGGCGGCGCGGTACTCGGGGGTCTCGTTGGGGAAGGTGCGCGTGGTGGTGGTGGTGGTAGTCATGGTGCTGTATGCTGGGTGGGGTTTCTGGTGGGTGGCTGTGGAGGTGGCGAGGAGCTGGAGGTGTGAGCTGGGACGAGGATGGGCCGTCAGCTGCTTCTTATGTACGATGAGTGAGAGGGTGATCGAGATGTATTAGCAAAGGTGACTGGATGTCGGTCAACTGCAGCCCATATGGTGCTCTGTCGCTTTGTATTGCGACGACGGGAGCGACCCATATGGTGTGTCTCCTGGTTGACTGGACTCGACGTCATGGCGCGGGGAAGGGCTCTCACATCTGGTGCCTGGATCCGGCGGGGTGGAGGTGGAAAGACGACTGCTGGTGTGTGTGCATTTCGCATCCGTCAACAACACTCTTCTCCTCCGGCCGCGACGCATGTCCCTCACGTCATCGCGCTCTTTACGATCACTGTCACTGCACATTCAAGCCCTGTGGACACTGAGCAGCATTCGCACCACAAGCATTCACACCACCGCAGCCGCTCCCGCCAGGCGCCGTCGGCATCTCCAAAACATGTGAGTCGTCGCCCTTCCCTCTTCCCAGTCCTCCTCCCTCGTCTCGCTGACATGCAGGCCGCCCAAAGCTGGATACTACGCCGTCAGCCGAGGCCGCAAGCCAGGAGTGTATCGTACGTGGGCAGAGGCCGAGGCGCAGGTCAAGGGCTTCAACGGCGCCAAGCACAAGAAGTTCGCCTCCGAGTCCGAGGCCCGCGAGTGGCTCGCACCCGACGCAGGGCCGTACACGGGGTTCATCCAGACGCCGACTCAGACGTCAGCGGCAAGCTCGAGCCATACCGCTGCCACTTCCACTCCCACTGCTTCGTCGTCGTCGGACGCTTGCGGCGTGCGCGGCGAGTCGCCGGTCGCCCAAGCCGACATGGCGCACTTGCCCCCCGACCTAGCTCGTCTCGCGGCGCAGGGATACACCTTTTCGCAGAGCACGCCCCACCGCTTGGTAGTGTACACGGACGGCAGCGGCCTGAGTAATGGCCAGTATGGTGCGCGCGCCGGCGCGGGTGTGTATTGGGGCTCGGTAGGCGAGGCGTCCCGGCATAACTTGGCAGAACGCGTGCCCGGACCGTTGCAGACCAACAACCGTGGTGAACTGCTGGTGAGTGCCGTAGCTAAGAACTTGAGGTCGAAGCTGAATGGTACAGTCCATCATCCGCGCGCTGGAGGAGTGTCCCCTGCCGGACCTTTCGCTTGAGATCAGGACAGACTCGCAGTACTCTATCAAGTGTGAGTTGAGGAACGTAACCGAAGGCATCCTAACTCTGCAGGCATGACCGAATACGTCCCCAAGTGGATCAAGAATGGCTGGCGCACAGCGTCCGGCGACGTCAAGAACGCCGACATGATCCGGCACCTGCTCGTCCTCCTCCGTCGGCGCGGGCCGCGCGCCCCCGTCCGCTTCAAGCACGTTCGCGGCCACGTCGGGCACGAAGGCAACGAGGCCGCAGACGCGCTGGCGCGTCAGGGAGCGGCCATGCCGGCCGTCACGGACCGGCGCAAGTGGCTCAACGAGCATGACGAGGACGAGGAGCGGGAGACGCGCCGCGCGCTGTCGCGAGCAGAGAGCCCAGAGGTCGACGTTGAGGTGAGTGGCCGCGCGCTGAGTGATAGTTTCCGTGGCAGCGCTAACGGTGTGTGCAGGTTGAGGAAGACTGGCTCATGACCGCGGACGAGATGGCTGAGCTCGAGAGGGAGCTGGCAGAGTAGACCGAGTCGCACATACCCGTTTGCATAGATAAGCGAATGTACGAGGTAGCTTGCGGAGTGTCGACACGAGGTTTCCTGATACCAACGACTTGCCCTCAGGCACGCGCGGGCTGGCACCATGCGGTCAGCTCCACTGCCGGCAATGTACAGTACTGTCAACTGGCGCTCTGGTCAACTTTTGGCAAACCGTGTATGAGGGCAGCAGTCGACATGTCAGCTGTCGAAGAGGTGTGCGAGGGCCAAGACCGCTCGCAGCACCTGGTCAGCTCGAGTCAACTTCGGTACCGATGGCCGGCGCTGATGAATCTTGTGCGCGCGGGCGGAATGTGGTCCGCGTGGTGCTAGGTGCTATCGAAACGCCACCATCTCGACGCGGGCCGACGACTTTGGAGGCTGCCGCCGACGGGTCCATTAATCTCTCAGTGTTGCAAACATTCGTTCCATCTTCTCTCACCTCACCTATACGTCCTCCTTGGCCTCTCCGTCAGAGAGCAGTCGTGCGTACTGGGCTGTGAGAACCTGTTGAACACCACAAGCACACACACTCTCTCTCTCCCATTCCTTATCCTTCCAATCACACGCTATCGCCTTAGGCCGTCGCAGGTCCGGCACACGACCACACTGCCGCCGCGCACCTGAGCCCCGGTCCCTCGGTATCGGCGTGTTTTCCCCTTTACACATCTTGCTTCCTCTTTTCCTCCCCACCACCAACCTCTTCCTTTGTGCGCTCAGTCATGGGTGTCATGGACATAATGGGCGTCGCCCAGACTGTCTTTGACGCGGGCTACCTCGCCGACTCGGTCAAGCCCAAGGCGCCGAAACCAAAGTACGTCATTCTCAACAAACGTTCTTGAGCACCATGCTGCTGATCGTTTGTGCTTGTGCTGACTTTGACAGCCCCCCGCCATTCCTTTTGAGGCACACCCTCTTCTTCCTGCCCATCCTCGTGATTTTGTCGTCTCTCTCGCTGCTGGCCCACTACCTCTGGCCCAAGCTTGTGCGGTTCGTCAAGGGCCGCCGTCAGCCCATCTTCCTCGACGACGATGACATCCCAGACGACGAGCCAGAGCCAGAGCCGCTCCCGCCAGCTGCCTACATGCCCACACAGGGCCTGTGGGCTGACCTTCGCGCCCACCTCTCCTCGCTTCGCGTGTACGGCACTGTCATTATCGCTCTCGACGTCCTGCGTACCTTGTGTCTGTGCGCACTTCTTGCTCTCAGCATCTACGCCACCATCCAGGCCGAGTCGCCCGAGGACTCGAAGGCTGGTGACGCCGACGGTGCCGAGAGCCTCCTGGACGCGCTCAAGAAGAAGAAGAAGAACAAGAAGAAGAACCGCAACACTGTCGGCGACTACTCGAGTCTCGAGTGGGGAGAGGCCGGCGCGTGTTTCTTTTATGTGGGTGGGGAATCCCTTCCAATCACTTACCCGCTCAGCTCTACAACCTTCTCTTCTCCTGCCTTCTGCTCCGTCTGAAGCGCGACAAGTTCCGTCGCCGCCTCACTCGCCACGTCGACATCCTCCTCCTCCTGGCCTTCTGCCTGTTTGCGTACCGCGACATCTGGCCCAAGCTCACCTACTACCTGCGCCCGTCCGACCTCGACAATGCCATCACCTGGTCGCGTATTGCCATTCTCGGCGTGGCGAGCATCATCATCCCCCTGCTCCGCCCGCGCACCTACGTCCCGGCCGACCCGCTCAACCCCACGCCGCCTGAGCTCGTCCACCCGGAGCAGACGGCCGCGCCCATCTTTTACATCTTTTACGAGTTCATGACCGGTCTCGTGTGGCGCGCGTGGAAGACCACCTCGCTCCCATATGAGGACTTGCACCCCATCGCAGACTATGACCGCGCCCAGTTCCTGTACGACAAGCACATCAACACCCTCGACCCTGTCCGTCGTCGCCAGGCCGGCAAGAAGCCCCTCCACCTCTTCTGGGGCATTGTCCGGACGTTCCGCTACGAGCTCTTCATTACTTGTGAGATTTGGCCCTTGTTTCTGCACTAACTCCCCAGGTACCATGTGTTTCTTCTCTGCCGTCTTTGAGATGATCCCCACCATCGCCATCAACCAGATCCTCACGTACATCCAGACCGGCGGCGAGGGTGCGCGCATCAAGCCCATTGTCTGGATCCTCTCGCTGTTCTTCAGCCCCACCATCTCGTCCCTCGCGATCCAGTACTATGTCTTTGTCATGACGCGCTGTCTCGTCCGCGCCGAGGCCCTCCTCACCCAGGTGCTCTTCGACCATGCCCTGCGTCTCCGCATGACCGACAAGGTTGGCGAGGAGGAGGAGGAAGACGAGATTCCCGACGTTCCCGCTATCCAGATTGACGACCATGACGTCAACGTCACCAACGACGTCGACCCCGAGGTCCAGGTCGAGGGCCATGAGGTGCCCGCGTCTGCCGACTCGGAGACCACGGCCGCTGCCGACGCTGATGCCAAGGAGGCTGCCGAGCCCGCCGCACCAGGCCAGGGTATCGCCGGCAAGATTAACGTGCTCATGGCTCAGGACATTGAGACTGTTATTGAGGGTGAGCTCCCGTTCGCACATTGTAGCTGACAACCAGGCCGTGACCTTCCCCTCACCCTCGTCTACGGCCCCACGCAGCTGATTCTCTGCATGGTCGTCCTGTACAAGGTTCTCAGCTGGAGTGCCCTCTTCGGTGTCGCGGTCATGCTCCTCACCTTCCCCATCCCGGGCCTCATCACCAAGCTCGCTACCGACCTCCAGCACAAGAAGATGACCGCTACCGACGCCCGTGTCGACGCCGTCACCGAGGCCGTTGGCGCGCTCCGCATCATCAAGATGTTTGGCTGGGAGGACCGCATCAAGGCCCGTATCTCGGTCAAGCGCGAAGTCGAGCTTGATCTCACTTGGAAGCGTCGCCTCATGAACCTGTAGGTTATGGCAGAAGGATCGTGCTAACCTGCCAGGCTCAACCTCATGGTCAACCTGTTCCTTCCCGTCCTCACCATGGCCGCCTCTTTCGCGTCGTACACTCTTATCCAGAAGAGGCCCCTCACCGCTGCCACGGTCTTCACCGCCATGGTCGTGTTTGAGATCCTCAAGAGCGTCATGGGTCTGATCATTTACATGATCAGCGCGTACGTGACTGCTGGCGTGTCGCTGTCGCGTCTCAACCAGTTCCTCCGCGAGAGCGACATGATCGACGAGTACTCGCAGGGTCAGCGCGCCACCGTCTCCACTCCGGAGAAGATTGAGGCCGAGAACAACGGTCTCGTCCGCTTCAAGGACGCCACGTTTGCGTGGGGCGAGGACACTGGCAACAAGAACATTATCAACTTCCGTCTCCGTGTCCCCGACGTCACGTTCGTCAAGGGCAAGGTCAACCTTATCACGGGTCCTACGGGCAGTGGCAAGAGTACGCTCCTCAAGGCCCTCTCTGGCGAACTTCACTTTGAGCCCAAGGACGAGACCTCGTTCTTCCACCTCCCCCGTGAAGGCGGTGTCGCGTACGCCGCCCAGGAGAGCTGGGTCCTGTCCGAGACTGTCAAGGAGAACATTATCTTTGGCAACCCGTACGACGAGGCCCGGTACAAGCAGGTCATCCACGACTGTGCCCTCGAGACTGACCTCACGCTCTTTGACGACGGCGACCAGACGGAAATTGGCGAGAAGGGCGTCACCCTCAGTGGCGGCCAGAAGGCCCGCATCACCCTTGCCAGGGCCATCTACTCGAACAGTGCCGTCGTTCTCCTTGACGGTGGGTGCCCTCAACCGGCGTATGTGCTGACCCAACAGACATCTTCTCTGCTCTTGACACGCTCACGTCGCGCTTCATCATTGACAACCTCTTCCGTGGCGACCTCGTCAAGGACCGTACCATCGCGCTCGTCACTCACCACCTGCATCTCGCTGCTCCCATTGCCGCCTTCGTCGTCACCCTCGGCGAGGATGGCTCCGTCGTGAGCTCGGGTTCGCTCGACTCCGCCGCCATCTCAACCGTCAACTCGTCCGTCGACATCCTCAAGGCTGCCGAGAACGGCACCTCGACACCCGCCGAGGCAGAGGACGGCAAGCCCGACGAGAAGGCTGCCACAAAGCTCATCAAGGACGAGGAGAAGGCCGAGGGCCGCATCTCGCGCCGCGCTCTGTACTCGTTCTTTGGCACGTTTGGTGGCCCCACCTACTGGTTCATCTACTTTGCTCTACTCGTCGGTGGACAGGCCCTGGCTGCGTTCCAGACGTTCTGGCTCGGTCTCTGGGCCAAGGCGTACGAAAGGGCTTCGGACCCGGCCGACGTGTCGCCCACCTTCTGGCTCGGCCTGTACGTCGTCTGGGTCACCCTCGGCCTCGCAACCACGGCCATCTCGGCGATCATCTACTACGTCGGTGCCACCAAGGCGTCGCGCGTCATCCACCGCCAGCTCGTTGACAGGATCTTTGGCTCGTTTATGCGCTTCCTCGACTCGACGCCCGTGGGCCGTATCATCGGCCGCTTCACAAAGGACATGAAGGCCATTGACGGCCAGTTTACCGACACGGCCTGCGTCGTCGCGGACATGACCGTCGCGCTGGTCGTCCGCTTCCTCTCTGCAGTCGCGTTCATTCCCCTCTTCTCCATCCCTGCCATCGTAAGTGAAAGCTGAGGTCATTACCGCGTAGGCCACAAGCTGACATTCAGGTCATCGGTGTCATTGGCGGTATCCTTGCCGAGCTCTACATGCACGGCCAGCTCAGTGTCAAGCGCGAGATGTCCAACGCCAAGTCACCCCTGTTCTCGCACTTTGCGTCGGCTATCAACGGCATCGTCTCGATCCGCGCGTACGGCGCCGAGGAGCAGATGAGGCTCGAGGCCCGTCGCAAGGCGGACAAGTACACTCGTGCCGCCACAGCCTTTTACAACCTCAACCGCTGGGTCACTATCCGTATCGACATGCTCGGCGGCCTGTTCTCATGCCTGCTCGCCATGTTCCTCGTGTACGGCCAGCACCTCGACGCCTCGACCTCTGGTTTCGCTCTCACCCAAGGAATCGCGTTCTCGGGCGCCATCCTCTGGTGGGTCCGCATGGTCAACGAGATGGAGGTGCAGGGCAACTCGGTCGAGCGTATCGAGGACTACCTCGTCATTGACCAGGAGCCCGCATATGTCGACTCGAAGAAGCCCGCCGAATCATGGCCCGCGTCCGGCTCCATCGTCCTCGACGCCCTCAGCGCAAAGTACTCGGCCGACGGCCCCACCGTCCTCGACTGCCTCTCGCTCAGCATCAAGGCGGGCGAGAAGATTGGTATCGTCGGCCGTACCGGTAGTGGCAAGTCCACTCTGGCCCTCGCGCTCCTGCGCATGATCCCCACTAGTGGCAGCGTGTGGATTGACGGCGTGCGTACCGACAAGATCAACCTGCACGACCTCCGCACACACGTCACCATCATCCCCCAGGACCCCATCCTGCTGTCGGGCACCCTCCGCTTCAACCTCGACCCATTCTCGGAACACGACGACGCGTGGCTCAACGAAAAGCTCCAGGCTTCGGGTCTTGGCCAGGTCCGCCGTTCCGAGACCGGCACCGCCACCCCCATGCGCATCACGCTCGACACGCAGATCACCGCCGGCGGCTCCAACCTGTCCCAGGGCCAGCGCCAGCTGGTCGCTCTGGCGCGCGCGCTCGTGCGCAACAGCAAGGTCCTCATCCTCGACGAGGCCACCGCCTCGGTCGACTTTGAGACGGACGCACTCATCCAGCAGTCGATCAACAGCCTGCCCCCCTCGACCACCGTCCTCACCGTTGCCCACCGTCTCGCCACAGTCATGAACTACTCCAAGATCCTGGTCTTGGGCGCAGGCAAGGTGCTCGAGTTTGACACCCCCGACGCGCTCAAGAGCAACCCCGACAGCTACTTCTCGAAGCTCGTCCAAGCCATGGACGGCTAGGCGGACCGTGGGTGTATCTTGGTGTAATATGTTCCAGAGAGGAGACATTATAGAGAGCATTTCTCCCCCCCCCACCAGTTTTTAGCGGCAAGGAGTTTGGTTCGGATTCAACTCGAGACTATGCCCCCAGGGTGTCTCCCCGCTCGCGCACGTCTTTTCTTTTTCGTGGCGCCGTGTCCCCGCCTACGTTCGGCGGGTTCAGTTTTGTTATTTGCTTGTCCACAGTAGTACCCACCGCCTCAGATGCATGAGTTTGGATTCTCACAGGACTGTTCGTAGGTTCTGCGCGCGAGTGATGGAGGAACTGGGCTGGCAAGTGATGCGAGGATGTCAGGTCCCATCAAAGTGGCAAAACCGTCCACATTCCGGCCTCGCCTTCCTACCCCACTTTCATCAATCCCCCTCCCTTTCCACCATCTTCCTTGTCCACCCATATCGCATCATGGCCCCCCAGCCCGCTGTCAAGACACCCAGAGGTAAACCACCTCGCGACAAGAGGGAAGCCGCCATCAAGTACAACGAACGCCGCAACTTCCGACGCCGCATGGCCCGCGTCGAGTCTGACAACCGCCGAGCCGCGGCCATGGAAGCGGCCAAAGTGGACCACATCACCAGCGCAAAACCACGTACACCACCCGTCCACATGGGCCGGGACTACTGGAAGAACAAGTCCAAGGTGAGCTGGTGGCGACTGACGCGACTGACCTGTCCACTTTCGTCGCTGATGTGTTCCAAAGCACCTGGAGAGCAAGCTCAAGGACAAGCACGTCTTCCCCATCATGTGCGATGGCTGTATCGAGAAGGGTGTGAGCGAGTGCTTCCGTGAGCGTGGTGGCAAAAAGCGCAAGTGCATGCTTTGCGGCAACAAGGCCTGTTCGCATCACATCAGAAAGTCTCAAATGTAATCATGACATCCATGTCATCCAATTGTAGAAGCAGAAGGCTTTCGTGTTTGGCGCGTACAGGCATAGTTGACCACATATAGGACCCTGCCTGCCACTACTGGTGGGTTATGCAATCCCCTGGCCGTGCTGTAGTATGTGGCTCACATGAACCCAACTGGGGATATGAGCCGATCACGATGCCGCTCAGCTCCAACGTGTAAGAATGGAACCGGCTACCTCTCCTGTGGTAGAGGGAACATACTCAATTGCCAGGTCCTGGCCATCATGGGTGTTAGGTCTCCGGTGAGATATCATTGGATGGTGGCGGGAATGCCTGTCCGGGGGGTTTTACGATCGAGAGCCCTCAAAAGCGAAAATGAAAACAAATCAGTTAAAACCCATTGTGAGCTGCCGTAGACTCAACGTAGAATCAACCAGTCCATTCATTAAAAGCCTATGCTGCTACTGGCCGGGACAACCTTGCTAACCAAACAACTACTCGACAACTTGGGAGAAACCCCTTTACTCTAAAATCTCCCAAACACCTAACCACCGCCCGTGTGATACAACCCAACCACGACTTTTTTACACCTCGGAAACCGTGACGTCGGTGAGGTCCTTCTCCTCGACGGGCGAGCGGCGGCGGAGCTCGCCGTTCTTGTCGGCCGCGCCGTCGCGCTGCCTGTTGACGCCTCCGGCGTACGTCTCGACCTCGTCCTGGGACCACTCCGCGAACTTGAGCCCCTTGTTCTCGAGGTAGCTGGTCTGCGGGAAGAAGCGGGCGAGGAGGTAGTACGTGAGGCCGGCACCGGTGCCCGATGTGATAAAGGCAAAGTAGAACGAGCGCTGGACGCCGATGCTCACGTCGAGCTTGCCCATGTTGTTAAGGAAACCGGCAAAGTTGATTCCGATGCCGACGAGGTAGGCGACGACGGCACGCCAGTTGATACCGTAAGTGTACCAGAACTTGCCGCTGCGGTCGGCCGTGTACAGCCACGCGAGGTCCATGCGGCCGCGGTTGATAATGTAGTAGTCGACAAGGAGAATGCCGGTGATGGCGAACAGGAAGATCTGGTACGAGGCGAGGAACGAGATGAAGACGCCGGCCGAGCCCAGGAGGTACCACGGGTTGATGGCGATGGTGAGGATCTGGCAGATGGCGAACGCACGCTTCATTGAGATGTACTTGGGGAGGATGGCCGAAATGTCGTTACCGGCAGGGAGGACGTTCTCGAACGCACACGAGAAGAGCGACGAGTAGGTGAAGCCGAGAGCGATGAAGAAGGCACCCGCACGGTACTTGGCAGAGTACGAGTCGGTGAGCATGCGGTCGAGGTAGGTGAGTGGGTTCCAGATGAGCTCGCCGTAGGTCTTCCTTGACGACGCGGCCACAATGTTGCCAAAGAGGGAAACAATAAAGTTGGACATGGGGAACCCGAAAAGCTGGCCAAAGATGGGGTCCGAGGGCTTGGTAGCGTTACGTTGCCAGTCGGAAGCGTTGGACGCAAAGGTTGAGCACGACGCCGCCGAGAGGAGGGTGAAGCGCGCAATGAGCCACACGCGCTCCGAGCCGTGAACAGTGGACTTCTCCTTGAGGATGTCGGACACACCGCCCGAGTGAACGATAGCCATGGCAAGCATGGCGCACGACGAGATCACGTAGGCAGCGAGCTTGATGTGGATCAAAATACGCCACTTGGGCACAGACAGGAAGAGGATGGCGGATAACAATGCCCAGAAGATGACAAAGCCCATCATGTTGGCCGTGTCGAGCGCTGATGAAGCGGGCATCTTGTTTGGGATCCTGGCAGCCGAGGGCCAGATGCAATGAATCATGATGTAGATACCTTGGCCACCGGTGACGCAGTTGACACCGTTCCACACGACGGCACTCATGGCACGGTTGAAGGCGGGCCAGAGACCACCAAAGACGCCCCAAGAGCTACGGGCGTAGACAGGGAAGGAGATGTGGTAGACAGCACCGGCACGACCATTGAGGACCATAAACATGGCGATAATCAAGTAGCCAAAGAAATTGACAAGGAGACCGTCCCAGATACTGAGACCGTACTGTTAAGTGTCAGCTACAAATTGAAGGGATGTTTTGAGTGGATTGGAAAAATGAACATTTCATGTCCTTTTTGTGTCCAACCATGTCCGCCACTCACACCAAGATAAGTTGCACCGCCCGTCCAGTTAGCTACTGTTCCGACAGCACTAAACCAGAATATCGTGAACGTCCAGAAGTCCCAAGTACTGATGTTGTGTGAGCACAAGGTCCGTCATGGGGGGACAGCATAACTCACCGGTTCTCAAGTGGGATCGGCAGCAGATCGTCGTTTTCCAAAGCTGCTTCACGCGACGGTGCGCCTTTGACTTCAAGGGACGGAAGACTGAACTTCTTCATTGTAGAGCTTGAGAGATGGGTTGTGCGAGGAGGGGGTGAGATGGGTGGTAATGGGCAGGACGAGACGTCCTTGACGGGTTGTGGGGGGGATGGGCGATATGATGTTCCTCTTCACCGCGGATGTGCCCAGACTTATATGCAGACAAGGAGCGCACTACCAAGCCAACCGTGCGGCAGGCGAGTGCGGGGCTGGCTGATCCGCTGGCCGGCCTGGCTGGGCGCGTACCGGGATATGGTGGCCTGCGCTGCCGAACTCTGTTCGCTGGCCAGAGCAGTGGCGCCGTCATTTGGGACCTTATCGCACCATGCTATCACTTGGTAAAAGGGTGCTGCGCCCGGGGTTGCCTACTCTTCCCTCTCGTGGATCCTAACATGTGCTCTTCACGAACGACACAGACTGGCTTACCGGGGAAATGGTTCATGACCTGCCGGGGATTGCCGAGCCACACACCGCCGGCAAATTGGGCACCGCGTGGTGCAAATGATAGCAGATGCCAAGCCCACTGCGGGTGCCCTGTTGACCCAGCAGGAGGCGTTGTGCTCGTCCCTTGCAGCAGCTCTCTTTTTTCGGTGCAGCACCGAGGTTTGGTTGGAAGGGCAGATGGGCTTGGCACGACTGCGGAGGGGGCCGAATCCTCAGCTGTCCGGCGGAAGTGATGGTGAGAGGGGCATAACAGCATCTGCTCTTGACATCTTCAGGACAGTATCACAAGATAAAATCGACCCAATGAGCAGGGGCCTGTCGTTGCCCCTGGTGATCGCCGAGCACTTGGTTGGTGGAAGACACAGACGGACTGAGACGACTCGACACGGGGCAGCGAGGAGATACATATCGAACAGAGCCGTGCCTCCTTCGTGATCCGTGCGACGTCTGCCACCTCCTCACGAATGCCTATCGCCAACAGTCACGGAGGGTGAGGGTGGAAGGCGGTTCGCATCCGCGGGCAGTACGAGGCACCATCCGCGACCCACAAGACACTAGGTTACAAGCTAGCCTTCCCGCGTGAGCCTGCCAACAGATATTTGGCATGCGAGCTCAGAGATGAATGACCTACACGGCATGACTCAAGCATGTGGCGGTCGACTTCTGCCACACGACTCACTCTGTGGCGCCTCGCACTACTCTAGTCACCTGCCCAGAATCTCTGCAGCACACCCACCGCAACATGCGTGATACGGCCGTCGGAATGCCACAAGATAAAACGGACCCCGAGATACTATTCAGCTATCAAGGACATGTATCGGCGATGTCGACGACGTTCAAGACCGTTCGGCGTACCCTTGGCGACGTCTGATCCGATGAGAACGGATCTCGAGGCAGTCTCCCCGGCTGTCTCCACAATCATCAGAACACCGACCGTTTGTTATCCTAGCATCTATGGAGGCCCCACGAACGTACAAAGCATTCTCCTGTCTGTCCCATGACGTGCTTATGGTACGGTGGTCCGACCCCATCGGACCTCCGCACCGCATGTGACATATCTGATCTCGAAGCGCACGGCGATGCTTCTACGAAAGCGGAGGTGCAGGCGGGTGCGAAGGTTCTCTTCGTATAAGGGGGTCATTGACAATTGGTCCTGCAGCGACTTGACACGCTCGCACCATGTACGCAGCATGCATGTGTTCACCTGTGAGTCGATGGTGATCGCCCATGGACAAGGATATTACAGTGTTTCGCCGAGAACCAGCAGCCTGCCACGGGGGGGGGGGGCCTTCCCTTGGCAGGGATCGCAGCACGCCTCGGCCCTTGTGGCGGCCGCATCACCTGGTCCCACCGACGATGGCAGCACGCTGCACCAGCATCAGCGCTTAACGAGATAGTGAGAATAGCCGCCGACACGTCTGCCGAGTCGAATCACGGCGCTCGTGCATGTCGTGGTTGGCCAGAGACAGGCAAGGGCCGCGGAACCCGTTCGGCTGGTCGACATGGGGTGGGCTATCCGTTCTTCCAAACCGCCGGCGTTGCGGTTCTTCTGGCACTGCAGACGGACGATCGGCCAGCACCGATCGGTGGTATCTGGTATGTGCTGTGTGTTGCTGTACATATGCGACACGACGTTTTCGTCCTTTTCTTCTCTTTTCCCTAAGCTCTTACTCTTCGAGTCCAGTTGCATACGCGCTGCATAGGGCATAAACACCCCACACTCACATTTTGTCCACCTCGTTATTCACAGCCCTCCCTCCCTCCCATCGCGTGTCTTGACCCCCCATCTCCAGCCAGGCATTAGCTACCACCCAACCAACCGCTATTTACAACAACAACAATCTCACTATGGCCGCCGTCATCAAGTTCACTCTCCCAACCGCGCGTCTCGACCACGACCCCGAGATCTACCTGACGTACGACCCGACCATCTCGCGCCCCACCGAAGACCTCAGCCTTTCGCTCACAGACCTGCGACCTGAGCTCGAGGGAGTCGTACCGGCTGTCGCCGTGGCCGACCAGCTCAACAAGCGCGGATTCGCAGTGGCCAAACATACGAGTGGACACCTCGATGGCCTGCCGCACGTGGAGGGGACCAAGCTGTATCTGGCGGAGACTGCAGAGTGAGTGTAACGTGCGAATACATCAGTGTGTAGGTGTTCTGGATATGGGCCCAAGGGTTCGGTCGGTGTCATCCATCCGAAGATAGCACTGCTGTTCACTCTGGTCCACCAGTCTGCGGTGTCACTGCCTCCTCCACATTCCATTCTTGGCCTTCTGCTCTCCCTACCACGTTCCCCGCAGCGCTGGGCGCAATGACGACGGCATCTGCGGACCGTATCTCTCGCGATGGCGGACCACATTCCTTCATGGCTCCACCCAACGACACAGCGTGCCTGTGTCACTTGGGAGACCACCCACCCACGTTGGTTGACAAGATCAGCGCCGAGGTGCTCGGCGCTGCGCAAGGCAGTGTACTTGCACAAGTGGACGCCGAGGCCTTATCTCGCGCTCCACTCCACTGCGGCCGCTATCAAGATCACATTCCTTGAATGTCAGGGAGAGGGATCCCCCAAGTCCTTCCCTGCGAGTCTTGACGGACCCCCTCCACCCACATCTCACACACGTGCCCCGACCGACCGACCCCACCCACCTCGCTGCTTAACTACGCCATCCCAATCCTAAGCTGACATGCGTGCAGGCTCCTGCGGACCCAACTCGGATGTACGCGCGTGATTGCGTGGAACTCTGTGTGCCGCAAAAACGACGCGAGCGTCGAGCTCAAGGACGTGCCCAAGCAGAAGGGGCCCGAGGAAGGGTTCGTCCCGACCGAGCGCAAGCAGCCCATTGCGGGCGTGGCGCATGTGGACCAGGACGAGGTGAGTGTGGGGGGGGGGGGGGGGGGGGGGACGGGAGGCGAATGGAGAAACGTAAGGTATCGGTGACTGTGGACTGACAAAACGCAGGTCTGGGGAGCCGAGCTCGTCGACAAGGCCACGGGCGGGACGGCGTACGTCCGCGCGCAGATTGTCAATATCTGGCGCCCGCTCAGCGGACCAGTGACCAACGCGCCGCTCGCCATGCTGGGCTTTGGGGATATTGGACCCGACGACCTCTCCAAGCACGCGAGCATGTTTGGTGTCGGCATGGACCTGCACCATTCACAGGGCCAGCAGTGGGCGTACATCCACCACCAGCTGCCTGACGAGGTCATCTACCTCAAGTGTTTCGACTCGTTCCAGGGCAGCGACGGCAGTGCGCTGTACTGCGGCCATGTGGCGGTCGAGATTGACGATACGCCAGGTGTGGACCCGGACAAGGTCGTGCCCAGGGAGAGTGTCGAGGTGCGCCTGGTCGCGCTGTGGGAGTAGGGAGTAGGACGAGTTCAACTGAACTCTTATTCGGTAGAATCCTAGATTGCGATGCAGCAGTACACTTGACCGACAGCGTGAACTATCGCTCGACTCGTCGCCACAATGATCCGTGCGTGCGAGGGGGGGGCAGGGTGGTTGAGACGGCTGTGCAGGGAGAGGGTTAGCTGATACAGAGGGAGGAGGAAACATGGGCGTCCACTCCTGCCTGCCACAATCGGGCCGCCGTCCATCTCTTTCTGGTTTCTGTGGACCGCGTCACCCAGTGTGAGGCAGCCCAACTGCAGGCTGCATGTACCAGGTGCCAGAAGGCTGACCGACCAGCCAACCGAGCTGGAGCACATGTACTGGAAGACGCACAATACACTCGCTGTGAAACACATCCACTCTGCGCGTGGTCTGTGGCGGCGGCACGGTCAGCTGTGTCAGATGTGGTTGTGGTTTCCAAGTTCCGGCGCGCGCCGCGCGGCGTCGGATGCTGCTGACAAAGGCTGGCTAATGAACGATGCCTCGCTGTGGCAACTGTGGCCTCTGCTGGGTCCAAAAAAAGTTGCACTCCACCCACACTAGTGCACCCACTTGTGGCGAGCCGGGGGGGCGAGGAGGCGCGTGCGTGCACGCCTCCGAGATGTGTGGCGTCCTCGCCGTGGCTGGCAGGCAACAACATAATGTTCCGGCCAACCGGACCGCAAGCACCAACGCAGCGTGGTGGCTGCGTAGGCTACGCCATCGTCCACAAGCCCCAGAAGCGGTGGGCGCCGGGAGGCGTAGTCATTTTGAACAGAAGACTGTGCGATTTCAGAACGCGAGGAACAGAAAAAAAAAGTTGAGAACGAGCAGTGGGTTGCGTTATGCCGAGGTGCGTCCACTGGGATGTTGCAGCTTCCGCCACCGTGTCTCTGACGTCTCTGACGTCTTGGCTCGATCGCTCTCGCTCATGCGCACCCGAGTAACAAGAGTCCTCTCGAGCCGTGTTTTACAGTCAGTTGCGCCTCTTTCGGTGCCATTGGGCGTTTTGGGCGTCCAGTCAGTCATTTGTGCGCGGTGTGTCAGAAAATACCTCACGCTTGAGGACACACGCAAACGCAGTTCGCAGCCTGTTGCAGGCACGACCCGCACAATGTTCGGTGCGGATTTGTGGAGTGCCATGCGCCATGGTCGACGGCACGGCGCCAGGAGGCGTTTTGTGGCAGGGGCCTGAGACGGGCCACACCAAGAGCAAAAAGCAAGATGTTGGAAAGGAAAGAATGAGCGGAACAACCCAGGCTGCGTCCATCTCTTTTACGCACCCGCAGCATACGCCAGCTGTGTGCCCACCGTCGGCAAGAGTGGGTGGTGCAATTGGCGGCGCGGGTCCTCCCAAGACGTTCCAACAGGGGTCAGCGGCCGTGGCCCCGTGGCCGGTCAGGTCCTCGCTCGTCTGTGTCGTCGGCATGTCCTCGTCGTGTGGCACGTGACGGCCTTCGGCATGAGGGTTTCGGCGCGCAAGCGTGTTCTTGTCTTTCTGGGACACGGCTGTGGACATGCGCCGTGCGGTTGCAGGACACACTGCGAGGCGAGGGGCTGGAGAGATTCGCCATCTGTGGTTCGTGGCGGGGTGGCGGTTGGTCACCTGGTTGGCGGTCCTCTTGCAAGAGTCAAGACCAGGCCAAGAGGCCAAGAGCAATGAACGATTCCGGCGCGCCTGTCCCCGCCATCTCCGTTCTATAACGTGGACGGCCTGATGTCATAGGGGCCTGCAAGAGACCCGTTCAGTGATCAGTAGGGCCTGGCCGCGGTGCTGGTTTCGCACTATGATATGCTGATGGTGCAATCGTGCATTCTTGTCCTGGGTGTCAGTCTGCTTTGCAACTGGGCCCTCAACCGCAGTTCTGAGATCTGATCTGGGCCTCTCGGCGTGGCAACAAGTCAACGCGTCGCGCCGTGCCGCACCATGCTCTAGCGGCAGCGGCAGCGGTAATGAGATACCTAGCGTGGGTCACTCACTTGCCTCTGCGATTATTCTGTCCAATGACGTTGGAAGCGTGGTCTCCGCAGTAAATGACGCACATTACACAATTGCACAAAGGGGGCTCTCTCCGCGCCGCCGCCAGCGGAGCGGAGCCGTTGTGTGCCGAGGAACCTGTTGGTGGGCCCGGAGCGAGGTATTGAGCATGTACGGCGGAGGAATGCGACAGGGAAGGACGGCGACTAACTCGGCATTGCGTTGTCGGTGGCTCTGACCCCCCACGGATGAGCTGGAGGTGCGAGACAACGGGAAACAGAAAGCAGTACGAAGGTACGCAGTGTGTACAAGAGTGATTGGGAGTCGTCGTTGCGCAGTAAGCAGCATGGGACGTTTTGGACAGAGTATCGTGAAGGAAGGCATGGAAGGTGGGGCTGGCGATCATTGTCGCAGCAAGAGCGGGTCTGTGCACCCAGTCGCCAGCGGCCAGCGGCCAGCGGAGCGAGTACGCCCCGGCCAACGGACCGCGCGGCTCACGGACCCGAATAGACTCTAGGGGAGGTGGGGGTGGGAGTGCCGACTGCAAGCGAGAGTGAGGCTATTGCTCTCTTGTGCTGGCGATCGCGCAATGAATATGATGCTCTCTCTCTCTCCGTTGTGCGGGGCGGGGGCCGGTTTGAAAGTATATATTCCAACGGCTGCTGGGTTATTTGAAAGAGCAGTGAAAGAGATGAGGTTTGGGTCCACATTCCCCCCCCCCCCCGGCGGCGGCGGTGGGGGGTGTGCGCTCGCAGTGACGTCGGTTGTGCCTCTGTGTGCCTGGGCGACAGCGTCTCTCTCCCTGTGTCTGAATGCGGGTCACGGGGCCAGAGTCTCTCTCTCGTTGCATTGTGTGTGGGTGGGTGCTCTGGGCAGAGAGCAAAGAGCACACAGTTGCCCGTAGAGGCAAATCCATGTTGCATGCTCCCCCCCCAACGGATCTGTACACTTGTGTCGCCTGCACACGGATGCACACAGATGGGGGGGCCAGACACAGACACTCATTTTGAGCCGGCCAAACCCTACAGAGCGTGGGCAGAGCCTGCAGCCTGGCCGCAGAGACTCGCTCTCTCTCGCCCTGGGACATTTCCCTGGTCTGCTCCTCCTCTCCCACAGCCCACAGCCCCCGCCCCCCATCCTGCCTCTCCTCTCTCTCCCATCCACCCTCCGCAATAGCCAATCTCCATCCACTCACCGCGCCTTGCACACCCCACCCCCGTCCTCTGCCTTATCCAACATCTCTCTCCATCACACCCACACCACCCCCTCTCCCCTCTCCACATCCTCGACGCGTCCATCCTCACCACCAAGCAAACACATACACATACAACACACCGTTTCTCTCCCTGCAAGTGAACGCCACCCAGCGCGCACTCACTTCGCACCACCTCCGTCGTTCCCACCAGCTCCGATCTTATTCCACCTCCTCGGGGGCCTCTACCTTCTCTCCCCTCCATTTGGCCACCGGCGCTCCCCTTTCAACCCTCTCCCCTCTCGTCACCCACACCTCACTCGCCCCATTCTCGCTCTCGACGTCTCCTGGAACGTCATCGACGCAACCGCCTGAGCTCTCTCCTTGACAATCACCGATCGAGCCGACAGAGCCCCCCAACCCATCCCCCGGCCCCCCTACCTTCCCTTGAACCCTCAGCCGCGACTCCACAACCCAGCCGGCCCAACCCACCCAATCCACACGTGCCGCTTGCTTCATCTCCAACCACCTCATTGTTGCAACCACCATCACCACCATGAACCCCCACAAGGCTGTGAGTACAAACTGCATGGCGGGGTGTACCTGTGCCCACCTGGTTGTTGCGATCATATTACATTGCCGGACCAACGCCGCGCGGAACTTGGGAGCTGACACACCGTCCAGAACAAGATTGACACCTCGGTGCGCCTTCCCTCCACATTCCCCCCTTCCCCCCCTTCCTCGCCTCCCCTCCCAGCCTTCCTCGTACTGACCATGCGACAGCAAATGAGCGAGCAGGAGCTGAAAGCGTTCAAGATGTACGGCAAGGTGCCCGCCAAGAACCTCCTCACCAAGATGCAGAAGGTGAGTCGCAATGGTCGCGTCGTCAGAGTCGTCAGCGGCGACAGGCGACAGTCGACAGGGCAAGATCGGTGCGACTGCGACTGCGCCGTCGTCGTCGACGACGACGGCTGTGCTTTGAGCTGCGAGGCGCGCGCTGACCCATTCACGCAGGAGAGGAAGTACTTTGACTCGGGCGACTACATGATGTCCAAGGCCGGTGTCTCCCCGCCCCAGCCTCTGGGCACTGCCATCCCGACGCCCGAAGGGTGAGTGTGTCCGTCGCAAGCGGCGATCATCGGCTTCTTCTTGTAAAAACGCGCTTCTGCAACGCCGAACACCGAAGAGCAGAGCTGACTCTCCCTCCCTACAGTGTCCCTCACGCCTCGCCGCCCCAGAACGGCCACCTGTCGTCGTCGCCCACCGGCCAGCCCATCCCTTTCCCCATGGGCGACCGCCGTCCCTCTGTCGCACTCGTCGGCGTGGGCATCAGCCCCGACAACACCAGCGACCCCATGGCCATCCCCAACAGCCACCAACGGCGAAGCTCCGAGAGGCGAGTGGACCATCATCACCCCCTAACCACTCCGCGTAACCTTCCTCTGACGGCCTTCAGCCACATGCGCATCTCCCCACCCGGTACCCTGCGCGAGCACGCCCAGCCCCCTTCCTCTTACCCTATCCAGCACGGCAGCTTTGGTTCGTCGCCAGTCAAGACGTCGGCCCTCGCCCGCCGTGTCGACGAGGACATCGAGGTCTAGATCCACCCGACCCCCTGCCGCTGAAGAAGCCCCCTCTCTCGCAAGAGAAAGTAGTAGGCTCTCGCAGCTGGTATTGGGGGGAGGGGAGGGCCCTAGACTACTCTTGGCGCAGCATACCGAACGGATATACATTGGCGAACATTGGCGGAAAGCGACTTGGCGAAAACGAGCTATGACGAAACGGGCGGACAGGGGCAAACGAAGCGATAACAACCCAACCCCCCCTCTCTCGATTGGGGGGTGACTGTTACTGCCACTCACCTGTCCCCCTCCACCCAGCCCTCCCCCGCGGTCCTTGTAGTTGAAGGGCTGCGGGGGAGGGAGGTGGAGCCCTTCGCGAGCCAGTGTCCCGGGCGGGGGAGGTGCATGGTGTCGTTGCCGAGGAGAGCAGGAGGGAAGTTGGGAGGTGGGAGCAACGATTGCTTCAAAACTGTCGAAAGCCCCAGAGGAGAAGCGTGTGTAGGAGAAGGCGTCCCAGAGTCTCAAGAACCTAGCATGGGAGGGATGGAGGAGAGGAGGGGTGACGGCCAGTACACGCGAACACGAGAGACGACGTGGGCTCTGTGTGTCCAGTGGAGTATGAGGGTGTGTATGGGGCCTGAGCATCGGGCATGCGGGGGAGAGTGAGAACGCGACAGCACCTCTTTCCCCCCGTCTTGTGCCCTTTGGTCTCTGGTTCCCCTTGTCTTTTTAATGTATCATCATGGAAGTGAACCCCACCCACACTCATGTTCGCAACTGACCAACGACGGAGCTGCCATTGGAGCTACCACTGACCATCTCACGCGGCGGCTCGTGGCTGCGACCATCAACGCCCGAGGTCGTCAACCGTACCCGCGTCCGCCACCAACATGCCACATCGGCAGCGCAGGCAGCGACGGTGCGACCCATGGGCTCGGAGCAGGACACAATGTGCATAGGGAACCCATACTCACGCGTGTATGGGGTGGGGGGGGGGGCAATGTACAAAACAAACAATAAACAGCGTTCACTTCTCGTCTTCTTTTATCTATCGTCATCAACAGCAGCGTCTCTCTTCGTTTCGCCAGGGTTCGCCCCAGTCGTCGTCATGTCTCAACAATGGCAGGATCTGGTCGTTTTGCGGTTTTGGGGGGTGGGTGGGGGTGGGATGGCGTGCATTGCGTTCGTGCGTGCGTGCTTACGTGCGTGGGCGGGTGCGTGGCAGAGCATGTCCGGCATGGCGGTGCTTGGGGGTCGTATATGGTACGTTTTGGTGGGCATGACGGGTGGTCGGTGGGCATGATGGGGGTCGGTGGGAAAACGCGCGGTGTTTAGGGGAATGTGTCACGCTGAGGCAGCACAGGCATGGTCACCGTCTCGACGACAGCGCCAGCGCCAGCCTCGACCTCGCTTCCGATGGGGACACCGCGCACACTCGCCGGAGCGCTGGTGGCGGTACTACCACCACCGCCACCGTTGCGAGACTGGGACTTGGGCGTGCGCGCACCGGGACCACCGCTCTTACGAACGGGGATGTGCGACTTGGAGCTCGCGCTCGCATTCGAGCCGGCACTGGAACCCAAGGTGGTCGTTGGCGACCTGGGTGAGTATGCGGCCGAGGGGACGTTCATGAACGACGAGTTGCGGGAAGGTGCAGGCGACAGCTTGGTGTTGCTGTTGCTGCGCGATCGCGACGAGACTGCGGTCGCTGACGCTGAGCCCCAGCTGTCCTCGTTGTGCTTGGACGACGGGGTGAGCGCCTTACTGCCGCCCACGGGGGCAGAATGGGGGAGGGCAGGAGTCTCGATGACCACCTTTGGCAGTGTCGGCTTGGACTTTGCCTTGTGAGGCGTGGGGCGCGGGATACGTGCCGAGGACACTTTGGCCGATGGTGTGGCGGGCCACTTGGACGATGTCGCAGCGGTGGGCGAAAGGGGAGACTTGGCCTTTAACGGCGTAGGCGATTCCATGGCCTGACTCCTGGTGAGAGGAGGGGGAGTCATCCTCTTGGGTCGCACACGCTTGTTCACGAGCATGGGCGACAGGCGCGACGGGAGGTTGGTAGGTTCAGAGGGCGAGCGCGCATGGCCTGGCGTCTGGCGTTTACCCGGAGTCGGGGGACGACGCGGGGTTGCTGGTCCACGACGAATGAGCTCCAGCTCAAGCTGCTTGCTCTCAAGTGCCGAGTTGAGGAGATCCCGGTCGCTAGACATGTTGGTGACCTTGGTATTGAGCTTCTGCAGCTCGAGGTGGTTACTGGCAACGGCACGACGGAGGTCGTCATTCTCAGCACTGAGCTTGGCGCGGGTGATGTTGAGGCTGTCAATCTCGGCCAGGTATGTCTGGCAGCGCGAGTAGTTGTCCGCAGCACGCTCGCGGTGACGTTCCTGCTCCACAACGGCCTGCCTGTGGTCCACCTTGATCTCGTTGTTGGTCGCCGTGAGCGTCTTGAGGTCCTCGCGCAGGCGGCAGAGTTCAGCTGTGCAGTCACGAGTGTGGCGCTCAAACTGCTTCTCGACGTCGCGGACCTCCTCGGTCTTGTCATCCAACGCGCGGCCGAGGTGGTTGATCTGCTCCTGCTGGCTGATGAGGGTGTGCGTAGACTCGATAGACTGAATGCTGAGGTCGGCCTCATCTTCCTTGGTCGCGGCCTGAAGCAGGTTCTTGAAAGTCTCGAGGTCCTCCTTGAGGCGAGGAATCTCGACCTGCTGGCAACGGTAAAGAGCAGTTTCAAGCTGAGAGTTAGCGTATATCCGAGAGGATGAGAAACTCACCTTGGATTGGTTGCCACTGGCAGACCAGACTTGGGCCGTGAGGCGGGCCACCTCCTCATCGAGCTTGACACGATCACGGCCCCAGTTGGCCCACCTCTCCTTGTTCTCGGCGTTGTTCTCGCGCTCAGAGTTCAAGAGCTGCTTATACTTGTCGGCCAGGGTGAACATGTCATCCTTTGTCTTGCTGGCCTCGCGGAGCTTGGCTTCGAGTTCGGCGGTCTTGCGCTTCTGGACTCCAAGCTCGCTCTGGAGGTCAATGACCACTTGGGCGGGCGCAGCCTCGGTCTGGACCTTGCACCGCAGCTCGTCCAACTCAAACGTGGCCTTGCTGACCTTGTCGCGCAGCAACGAGATGGTCTTGTCGCCCTTGTTAACCTCGCGGCGTAAACGCAAAATCTCGTCGTCGCGCTCCTGGAGGCCGACGTCCTTCTCCATGAGGGTGCCGTTCATCTGCTTGACAGCCTCGGTGGCATCGGCGGCCTTGGTTTGCGCAGTCATGACCATGTGACCAGCCGCCATCTCCAGCTCGTTAAGGCGCTCCTTGTACTCAGCCTCAATCGAGAGGCGAACCTGCTCCGGCAGCTCGCCATGGTGGAGAGCTACTGTCAGTTCCAAGTGCCACAGCAAGTGCTCAAAGAACTCACCATCCTGAAGCTGGATGACCTTGTCGTTCAAGTAATGCACGCGACTGTCCCGGTCCTTGAGGAGGAGCATGAGGTCGTCAAGCTCGTACTGTCTGACGCGGGCGCTGTGATCGGCATCGCGCTTGGCGACGACCAAGTTGTCAATCTTGGCATACGCAGCGGAAAGCTCGGCAGTGAGTAAAGGCGACTGGCTACGCTCATCGAGACGCTTGCCGGGCGAACCGTCGGCAGGGGCAGAATGCGTGCGTAGGTGGCCGGAGCTGCACCCCTGGGTCGTGTTCGGGGCGTCGAGAGACTGCGTGACACGGTGCTTGGTTGACGTCGTGGTCGGAGAGTTACTGATGGACTCGGTGACGAGGGCAGGCGAGGCAAAGGGAGGAGGTGAGACCATGATTGATGGGGTCTCGGAAGACGAGGTGGCCGCAATCTGGTGGGTGGCCGGTGTACTGTGTGAGGCCCAGACCTGGCTGACGGGCATATCAGGCGTGTGCTGTGGAGTAGTGGTGGACCGATGCGAGTGGTTAATGGATCCAGTACGCTGCGGCGTGGAGGGGGCAAGGCTGTTGCTGGCTGACCCAGTGACGCCGTGGCAGGTACTCGACTCCCTCGACGCTTCCTTGATGGTTGGAAGGATATGGCCACCACCAGGAGAGATGGGGTATGGGCAGCCAAACGACTCCTCCGATGTAATGGAAGCCATTGACTGGTTGGATCCCAAGGTGGAGAAGGATTCCGTGAACAGCTCCTCCATGCCCATGGGCTCGTCGACGGGGATGAAGTCGTCGTCCTCGAAATCGTCAAGGTCCATACGACCAAATGCCTGCCAGCGGGCCTGGTGGTCCTCGTCCACAATGGTGGGGGTCAGAGGGTTGACTGGCGACTCGGGGGTCGACGAGTCGAGGACCGAGTCGAACGGGATGCCCATCTCGAGGCTGGGCAGGTCGGGAGAACGAGCACGGCTCGAACCGTCAATGGCTTGAGGGACCCCATAGACGACGTTGTCCTTCTCGTAGTCGTCCGCAAACACAATGTTCTGGTAGTATCCGCTCACGTCCGAGTCGCGGTCGCGGCTGCGCTCTGTCTCCTTGGCCTCGTCTGCCTCGTGGTCCGAGTCTTCTTGCGAGTGGTCCGAGGCCTCGGCTGACTCGTTGTCGTCCAGCGTGTCGGTCGAGTCGGCGTGGCGGATACCACTAAGGCGCGGGGGGTTGATCTCGACGTTCACGTCAAAGGCCGCCCACGCATTGCGTGTAGGACTGGGAAGGCCATCATAGAGCAAAGGCTCGACTGAGGGTCAGGAACAGCCTCGCTTGCAAAGGCACTCACATTCCGATTCGACATCGTCCAGAGCGTCCTCCGGGGAGACGAGTGCGTCAACAGACATGTGTCCGCCGGGGGACATGTCGGTGTCGTACTCGACGGAGAGCTTCTTGGGGCTGGCGGGGTCCAGGGCCAGACTACTGGCGTCGGCATCTTCCAGCTCTTCGATAGAGTTGCCGATGGAAAGACAGTCATCGCGGTCCATGCCCTGAAGCCCGGCATTCTCGTGAGCCAACAGCTCGTCGAGGTAGTCGATGTTGTAGTTGGACGTGGACGATGCGGTCCGGGGGTCATCGCTGAGCTTGTTGATGTTGAAGGGGTGGCTACGAGGGACACGAGGGACGGGTGGGATGTCCTGGGTGTCGGCCTCAGAGGTGGACCCTTCGAAATCCCAAGCAAAGTGCCGTGACCCTGGTGTGCTCGAGGCCATGTCGGCGCTCTTGTGACGGCGGTGGTGGAGAGACGGTGTCTGAGCACGAGACTTGACACGGTCAGACTGGGGACTCGGTGTGTATCCCAGGTCTAAGCATACTTCCGTTGGGACCTTGTTCTTGTGGGTTCCTAACACGGAAGTGGTGCTGTCCGTGGCGTTTGTCATGGTGCGCGGAGGCGGTAACGACTTGGTGTTGGCCTTGGGCTTTGGTGGCGTCGAGGTGGTCGAAGCCCCCAAGGCCGATGCATCATGAATGGTCGTACGCGGGCTCCTGCTGAACGAGGCTGCCACAAGGAGGGGGCCGAACGACGGACCGAACGAGACGTCGAGCGGGGTGTGGTCCGGAGAATTGCTGGGTTCGTCGGAGGTGGTTGGGGGTTGGGCCATCTGAGCGGCCAGCTTGGTGGCAGCTGATGGAAGTGGAGGCACCGACTCGCGCTGGGACTGTGCCTGCAGAGCCTTGGCCATGGAGGGGTTGGAGCGCGCACGCTTGACCGTCTTGAGGCGCAACCGAGGAGTGAACGAACCCAGTGTACGCGGGGTGCTTGGAAGCAGACTGTGGCGGTGGTGGGAGCTCGAGTATGGGCTACGAGGCCTGTTGGGGGTGGCACCACTTGCACCAGAGGTGGATTTGGCCTTGTTCCGACGTGCCAGCTTTCCGATGGAGAACTTGCCGATCAGGCTGTTACTGCGCTTGAGCGTGGGCGTGCGAGATGTGTCACGTCCAGACGGAGTGGTAGGTGGCAATGGCGTGGCTGGCAGCGTAGGCGGGAGAGTGGCCCAGTTGCCCTCCATACTCATCCTAAGAGGAGTCTGAGACGTGCGGTAGTGCAAGGCTTCAAGCTGGGCCGCGGTGGGTCCGGCGGCTTGGGGGAGAGTAGTGGTCGAGCCATTGTTTGGTAGCAGGCCAGGTGCGCTTGCAGAGGCGATCATGGAAGTGGTGGTCGGTGCGCGCCTGGTGTTGACGGAGCTTGCAGGGCGGAGAGGAGCTGGGGAGCCGATTTGAGAGAGGGTGGCATGCGAGGAGCTGGGGGTGAGGCCGGTGGATGTCTGATGGCTGTCGATGCTGGGTCGGCGGGCGAGGAGGCCCAGCGTCATCTTGTGAAAGAAGTCCATGGCGACTGGAGGGTGGGATGACCGCTCGCCGCCGCCACGGGATGGGGATGGGATGCGTGCACTCATGGCCACCAACTGGCTGTGCTCGAGAGGCGAGCGAGAGCGTGGTATGGTGGTATGGCTGGGGGGAGGTGCAAGAGTGTATGGATGGAAGAAGGCAACAACTGTATGGGCGGTGTTGGTGATGAGAAACAGCTGCGTACGGCGTTGGGTGGAACTGGCCGCTGTGGGGGAGGGATATGAGAGACACGAGAAAAAGGTACCAAAGTTAGTCGCGTACGTCGGTGGCGAACGGCGAAAAGACACAACAAGCGCTGCGGGTCCAACATTCCTCTGGCCTCTGGCTGTGTCTCTCTCGCCAACACCCGCGCGCGCTGATGGAGCAGTGTCTCTGCATCAGAAGGGTGAGAGAACAATGCACACTCCGCCCTTTGTTGTTGGGGGGTCACCTGGCTCGTGCACCCGTAGAAGAAGCGTAAACATGCAGTAAACATGCAACGCTCCACGACGCCACCCGCGCACCGCGGTGGGCGCCATTGCTCAGGCAACGGGGCAACGGTTGGGGTACGGTGGGAAAATCCGTATCGTCATGTTCGTCGCATGCGTGACGTCGTCAACGGATCAAAGGCCCACAGACATGCACGAGGCTCTTGGCGGCGTCAACGTTGGCCGTCATCCGAGACCTTGGACATTCATAATGCCTGTTGCCCTCCATGCGAGTCCTGCCTCGTGGCCAAACAACTGCGTGATGCGGGAGTAACAATGCACAGGTGCATGCGATACAACATAGAACCCTATCCTATCCTCTCTACACAGGGTGTTTAAAACGTGCACACAATGGTTACACAATCACGCTCCCCATTTCACGCACAAAGGGAAATGCTAATCATCGCTCGGAGACGGCGACGACACATGCTCGACGCGCTCAGCTCTTGTTGCGCTTAGACCCCCAAGGGGCAGGACGACCCATGCCCAGGCGCTTGGTGCCTCGAGCCAACGGGATCCCCGGAACACCGGTCGAGCCGGATGCACCGAGCCCACCAACACCACCGTCACCACCACTACTAAGAGTCGGTGATGTGAATGCACTGCTAGTTCGGTTGCCGCCGATGGAGTTGGTGCCTGGTGCTTCGGACCTGCCCAGCGCCACCATGGCGGCCAACGACGAGTTGCTGTTGCTTGTGAAACGGGATAAACTTGCACCGGGCGACGGATCCGGTTTGCCAAGTGACTTCATGGCAGCCAAGCTCGAGCTGCTGTTGCTGGCGAAGCTAGCCAAGTTGGTTTGCGAGCCTGCACCAGACTTGGAGTCGGGCAGACCGAGAGATTTCATTGCAGCGAGTGCCGAATTGCTGTTACTCGTAAAGCTCGTCAAGTTCGCCTCGGGCCTGGGCCTGGACGAAGCGTCGAACGTGAATGGTAACGGTGCCGGCAAGTTTCGATTCGCAGACTTGATCGGGGCCGGCGGAGATTTCGGTGCTGCCGGCGCGGACATGGTCACGGGGCGACCTAGCGAGCGTGCACTCGCAAACGTCATGGACGAGGGTCGTCCAGATCCATTTGCCGAAGGGAGCGCGTACTCGTCCATGCCAGAGTTCCAATAGTCTGCTGCTCTGGACATTTGGCCAGGTCCCTCGCGACGCGCGAACCTGTTCTTGCCACGCGGCTCCGGTGCGTCCCAAGTCGACAATGGCGGGGCTGCACGGACGTGCTTCATAACAGCGTCCTTGGTCGCTGCCTCGTTGGGCAGTGGACGACCAAGCATAGTCGACATCTGGTGACGAACGTTGACGTCGATGGTGGGCAACGAGGACGAAAACAGGTTCTGCACGTCAGCTGGCTTCGGAAGTGGCCGCCTTACAGGGTCCTTTCTCATAGATTTAGCCACAAACTCGCTCAGGTCGCGGTCCTCGTCCTGGCCGGCCCACATGCGCGTTGCTGAGTGAGACAGAGACTAAGACCGTCAGCGTTACAGAGTGGGGGTGACTCACAAGGAAAGATTGCGCGCGAGTCATCGCCACGTAGAGCAAACGACGCTCCTCTGCAACCTCGTGTTCCTCTGTGCATCGGTGAAACGGGAAGGTGCCTTGCTCGACTGCAGAGGTAAGCGCTGAAACTGAGCTTGTCCACAAACCAGACGGTATGAACACCACTGGCCACTCGAGTCCCTTGGCAGCGTGTACAGTTGATATTGTAACCTTCTGAGAGGGTTAGCGAGGCCGTTCGTACCTAACGAACCCACCGGCACTTCAGCACCTTCCTCCTGAGACTCAGTGTCGGTGGAGAGCATCGACGTCTGCAGAAAAAAGCGCAGTGGTGTCAACCTGGTAGTCAGCAATCCGCAAGCTTGGCATTACACGCACCCTTCAGTCTCGCTAGACGGCGGGACGGAATCGCGCTTCACAGGCTTGATGTCGGGCTCGTCCAGCTCGTCTTCGCTCGAGAGAATCTCCACAACGTCATTCTCAATCTTGACGCGAACTTGCTTCTCAGCAGAGCGCCTGCGAGATGGACCCGAGGCTGCGGCGCCCTGGAACATGGGGTGCAGTCGCACGTCGCTAGCAAACGGTTTGGCCTCGACCTTGGGCTTGATGTCTTCCAACGGTAAGGCCAAGGCGGACGTGAACCCGCCCGCTTCGGCAACGTCTGCATCGGCAGCGTCCTGACGGCCCTGCTCATCCGAGACTACGACACTGTAGTTGATCTGCACAGTCAGCGGTAGTCAATGATGGAGAAACTAACAAGTTCTTGAACGTTCTCCCAACGTTGTTCGTAGTCTGGCTGCGAGCTGCGGAGGTACTCCTCGTACTCGGTCTTCTTGATAGCGAGGAGGATGATGTCTCCGACAGTAGAGCCCTGCTGGGTCAGCATGACTGAGGGAAGGTCCACCCACCTTCAAGGCAGCACGGCGCAGTTTGCGGACCACGCCAACAAACGAGGCCAAGTTTCTCTTCATAGCTGGCTTGATGCCTGTAGGAAGCTTGTCGCCATCAATGATACGCTCTGCGAGTTCCATGGGAGACACATCGGCCCTCTTCGCTGCGGCAACAAGATCCGAAACGGACTGAGTCGGTTAGTGACCCGTCGCGACGGCCAAACCCCACCTTGTCGCCAATACCGCGGCGAGGGACATTCACAACACGGAGGAAGGCGGGCTGCGGTGTCAACGATCAGCTCAAGAGTCGGCCACTTGCAGTAAAGTTTGGATTGTCCGCGAGCTGAAGGTATGCCAACAGGTCCTTGATCTCCATACGCTCAAAGAACTTGTGTCCGCCGATAATGCGGTTCGGGATTCCGTCCTTCTGGAGCGCAGACTCGATCACGCGGGAGAGGGCATTGTAGCGAACTGGTAGGTCAGAACAGAACACGTTTTGCGAGGCTCACGGAGGATGGAGAAGTCGTCATAGTTCAGGAGGCCCCCAGAGTACGCTATGAGGCGTTTGATTTCGGTCGAGATGAAGCTCGCTTCGATGACGGGAGTGGCAAACTGCTTGAGAATGGCGGGGGTGCTCTTCGGGTGAGAGGTGTAGAGGTTCTTTGGAATACGCTTGGCATCTGAAGCGTTAGATGGTACACCTCGGTAACGCACCTTGAGAAACAATTGAGTGGGAGGCGGCGAGGATGGCGCCGGTCGAGCGATAGTTGTGCTCGAGGTAAATGGCGTCGACACCTTTGAAATCCCTCTTCATGTTGTCGAGGTTCTCAATCTCAGCGGAGCGCCAGCCGTAAATCGACTGGTCTGGGTCGCCGACAACGCTAACGCCACCATTCGCCCTGGCAAAGCACTTCATGAGCTCGTACTGCGTCGTGTTGGTATCCTGGAACTCATCGACCAGAATGTGCAGACACTTGACGAGAATGTCTGGGTGCTCCTTGAAAAGGCGCAGACCAAACACAAGGAGGTCGTCAAAGTCGAGAGCGCCAGCGTCGCGGAGTGCGAGTTCGTACTCTTTGTACAGCTGGGCAATAACTGCTAGAACGTTTGAGCCGACCTCTTGTTTCGCGGCGCGCACAGCCATGCCTTCAGGCGACTCGCCCTTGGCCTTGGCTTTGGAGATGTCGTTGAGCACTACGCCTTCTTTCAAGCTGATGTGGGCTTGTGCGAGCTCCTCTGCCCGGGCCTTCAGGAGGCGTGACATGATCTTCTTGCTGCAAGGTCAGAGCTGGCACAGCCGTTTCAACTCACCAGTCATCGGCGTCAGAAATGGCAAAGTTGTTGTCGAGATCGATGCGCGAGCCATGACGGCGCAGATATCGCGCACACGTTGCGTGGAAGGTACCTGGGGCGTCAGCTCTCCCGTACGTCAGATCCACGTCTACTGCACATACCAAGCACCAACTGGCCAGCCTCCTTCTCGCCCAACAGCACCTTGAGACGCTTGCGCATCTCATTTGCCGCCTTGTTCGTAAACGTCACGGCGGTGATCTCGTATGGCTTGTACTTGTGCTTCTTGACAAGATGCGCAACGCGGGAGGTGAGCACACGGGTCTTGCCAGAGCCCGGTCCAGCGAGGATCTGGAGTGGTGTACCAGGAGGTGCGGTCACCGCTGCGAGCGTCAGTCGAGGGAACCTTGCCACCGTAACTCACCCCGTAGCTGTGCAGCATTGAGAGACGAGAGGTATGGGTACCTCTCGCTGTCGCCGTCGTCACGCATGGTCGGTGATTGCTTATAGGGCTTGTTGCAAGGCGGTGTGTGTTGATGTATGATGGAGGAGGGTTGGTTGTGCGAACGAAAACAAACTGGTTGACGGTGTTGCCGGCGGAAAATACTCGGATAATTGCGGGGAAGTGGGGTTCGGAAGGGGAGGGGACATCGGTTTCAACGAGGACGAGATTTGACGAGACCACCATCTTGCTATCTCTCCATCTCTCTCCCCATCTAGACACGATGCCGGTTCGCGTCCTCTCTCTGTGCGGATTCACGCAAAACTCGACCATCTACTCCAAGCAGGTATGCATCACGGTGATACTGCCAGATCCCGCGGGTGTGGTGCTGACAAACCCCTTTTCTTTCCCCAGCTCGGCGCGATCCGCAAGACATGTAAGAACGCCGAGTTCGTCTTCCTCGAGCCTCCTATCATCGTCCAGAAGGCGGACATGCCATGGGCCCAGACTTCCCTGGACGATTTTGCGTCCAACGCTACCACCGAGACCGAGCAGCAAACCCCCGAGACAACTCCGCGTGCTTGGTGGCTTACTGGCGGCGACAAGAGCGTCTACAAGAGTGAGCATGCCGAGGTACACCGTCTACGCCGTCCAGCTGACTTGTACAGGGTTTGACGAGACCCTCACTTATATTCATGACTTTATGGTTAAGAACGGCCCCTTTGACGGTATCATGGGTTTCAGCCAGGGCGCCTGCATGGCCTCGATCCTTGCTGCTCTCGTGGGTTACATGCTACATGCTCTAATTGACCCATCGCAGCTTGAGCAACCCGGCCTTCACCCCAACTGGCCTGCAGAGCCAGCCATTCCCAAGTTCAAGTGTGAGCAAAGCCACTGCGGCGTGGTTGAGCTCACTTGCAGTCGTCATTGCCGTCGGTGGCTTCCTTCCTCAGCCCAATGTGCCATCGTTTGAAGGATGGTTCCCCCTCCCTGCCTCCCTCCCCGTTCTACACGTCATCGGCCGTACCGACGTCGTCGTCCCCGAGGAGCGTAGCAAGACTCTGATCGAGGGCTGCAAGAACTCGCGTGTCGAATACCACACTGGAGGTGAGCTTCGGCTGTGTTGCGGACCAAGCTGACTGTCAGGCCACTTCACCCCGTCCAAGGCTTCCTGGCGCCACTTTTTCAAGTGAGTAACGGCCTGCACAAAACTCCTGTAGCTGACATTCAGTGCGTACATCACTGGTGTCTCCGCCGGCGAGGACCAGAACGATATCGCCCCCGTCAACTCGTTCGGCCCCTCGGGTACCAACACGCCCGCCAGCACCAGTGGGGCCGGAACCCCTCGTCCGGCCTCGCCCGCCGTGCCCTCCATGTCCGCTCCCTCTCCCCTTGCCACCACTTCCAGTACAACTGCCGACCCGGTGGCGGCTGCGGTCAGCGCCATTGACCTGAACGGCACCAAGACGGAGGAGGATGGCCAGACCAAGGCCAAGGTTTAGAGCAGCGTGGCGTGTAAGTTATTAGTTGTTCTGCTAATTAGTCATAGATGCAAGCCTGAATATCTTCCGCTTACTACTCACGCACCAGTTTGTGCACATGGTGGAACACTGTATAATCACGACGTCACTAATTCATTCTTTTTTTGGCTTTTCTATTTTTCTAGACACTCAGGTTTTAGCTTGCTCGATTTCTCACAGCATCGCTAGCGAGACGACCGGCCTGCAGCCGTCGCGCAATGAGGATTTCACCCTGCTTAGTAGTAGCAGCCCGAGATGGTGACGCCGGCGTAAGGTCCAAGGTGGACCGAGGTGCCAGTGGCGGCAGCAAGGCTGTCCTGGCAAGCCTTGTTCTCCTGGCCGGGGCAGGCAATGTACTTGGTGCCAGCAGCGTTGGCGATCCAGATCTCGTTACTGCTCTGCTGGAAGCCCATGGCCTGCGAAGGGGACTGGGGGACGGCATCGTTGTAGTTGACAATGTGCTGGGCGCGGGTGCCGAGCTGCGTGTGTGTGAGCCAAGCTATTGAGCAAGTTGTCGGTGACTTACGGTGCTGTCGACGTAGTCGGCCCAGGCCTGGTTACCAACACGAGGCGACGCGAAGAGACGGCCGTACACGGTGGCGCTGGTGAACTTCTGCTGGAGGTAGGTAGCGAGCTGGTGTCCGATGGCGCCACCTAGGAACAGGTTAGCTAGTGTCCACCCGATGGGTTTTAATAAATTTCCAGTACCAACCGAGCGAGTGACCAATGACAATCACGTCCGTGATACCGGCGTCGAGGCCAGACTGGACGCCAGTGGCGACGCCGGGCGCGATGCGGGTGAAAGCCGAGTAGAAGCCGTGGTGAAGCTTGGCGCCGCTGAGGTTGGGGAAGTAAGTCGAGTCGGGAGCGGTGGGCGTGTAGTCCATGTCGACGGCGATGCTTGCGTACGACAGAGCGTTGGTGCCACAGACGGAGACGATAATGGCGCTACCGTTGTTGAGAACGTACCCTGGTGAAAGTAAGCATATGCCCAGGTCAACGCCGCGGTCGGTCTCCCGTGGGGTCGCCGATGGCCACCGGGGGATGACAGTGGTACCCTGGCGCAGGGTGTGTACGTACAGTACGGAGTCTGGGCATTGTCGCCGCCGGTGGCGTACACGGTCTGCGGGGTGGCGAGGTTCTTGCATGCTGTACCACACGACCAGCTCTTGATCTTTGAGCTCGCGCAGTAGGCAGCGCTAAAGAAAGCTTGTCAGTGCAATGTTCCTCTGGTTCCAAGGCCCAAGCATGTACGTACGAGGCATAGTATGCCAGGTTCTTCCAAGGTGCGATCTGCTCGGAGGTCAGAGTGACGACACTGTCGCGACGCTCCGGCGTGGGCGTGGCGAAGGCAGTCGTGGCAGCGAGAGCGAGGGTGAGGAGCTGGAGCATCTTGTAAAGCTGTAGCTGAGTGTTGTCTTGCGAAGAAAGTGGTCTTGTCGGCTCAGTCCTGCCTGTTTATATAGCTTGCATTTGCGACCCAGCTACGTCGCCAGTGTGCCACTTTACCACTGCGCCACTGCTCATGCTCGGCAACATTCCTGCGTTGGTTGCTTAACCGGTCGGCTCGATACTTTTGGGGAGACGACCGACAATCTCAAACACGTTGGAACACAGTTGGACCACCGGGCGTGTAGGCTCAACGCATCGGGGTTGAGTGAAACCGCACGTCAAGCACCTGCAAAACGCACTAGTGTTTGACCTTCCTTACCTTGACCTCACCAATGTCCCAATGGTAGCCGAGAACCGACATGCCCCGACCCTGGTATTTGGGGTTTACACTGCTCGTCTTCGCGACGGTTTGAGCATGAATGAAGTCCTGGATGGCTTGAATGCCGCACACAGCCTGTTCAACATACCTTCAACCCCACTACCCCACTTGCCAAGCTTTGTGTGGCGGCATTAGGCGCAAAGCATGCCACAAACGATGCATGGAGGCACGGAGGTGAGACGAGGCACTCCGGAACTCCGGCGTTGTGCCATGCGTGTTGAATCGCCCGCACGCGTCTTGTGCGTACCAGTGTTCAATATCCATCCAGAGAACGGTGAATGCGGAAAGTAACCGGTCGACGCCATGTCCGCGAGAAGGCCAGTTTCAGAAGCTCATCCACCACACATTCCATGCTTGCCCGCTCGGCCACACGCGTCATGTGCGCATACCGATGTTCGATATCCACTCATTGCCACTCATAGAATGGTGGATCCGGAAAGTAACCGGTCGACGCCTTGTTGGTGAACAGGTCAGTTTCAGAAGCTCCTGCAACTCGGCCTGGACCTTTTGCAAAGCCCCGGTTACTGGGAGGCTGGGAGGCTAAGTGGAATGAAAGGAACGGTGAACCGTGCAGCACAGACCATTTAGTCTCGTCCTGGAGCAGTCTCTGGATCTCTGGTCTGGCGTCTGGCGCGTCTGGGCACAGACTGGTCAATGTGCTGAGTCAGAGAAAGGTGATGGCCATGGTCGAAACGTTGGGGCAATTGGGGGACACGTGACAACGGGGGTAAGCCATGAACCCTCGATTCCCTCAAAAGACCCTCGGAGATCCTCGAAGATCCTCAGAAACCGGTAACTTGGACCACGGTTGGTCCGGAGGCGGTGGTCGCCCTCACTTGCCATGAACAATCTCGATATGCTGGACGCCGCCATGCTGCAACGGTTCTTCCCCTCCTGTTGTCAAAGAATAAAAGTACACCTCGTCTGCCAAATCGACCACCACCTGCGTCGCCACACTGCGTGGCCAGCTGCCAATCTTGCCACCTGGCAAGCTATCGCCAACTGCCACCTCTTTTGGGATCGACGGGAGCAGATAGGTGGAGGAAGGATCGACCATTTGCCAACGGAACCAGATAGGAATGCCAACCAAAATAGGCGTGCGCTGGCGTGCCTTTGGTGTTGATTGAATCTGATCAGGCGAGCGGACTTTGTCCTCTAAATCAACAACATCCCCTTCCTTTTCGCATATACCACTTGAACCTAGACCCTTGACGATAATGGTGAGCTAAGCGGATATGAGGTCGCCAAGCTAACATGTCAGAGCTCCCTCGCGACCGCCCGCCTCACCGAGGAGCGCAAGCAGTGGCGCAAGGACCACCCCTTTGTAAGTGTCATGTCGCGTGGACGAGGTCTTCTGTGGCGACAGCAGCGCTGCCCAGGTTGCGTAGCCTGAAAGGCGGCGGTCGTGCGCCGCCAGGAAGGTTATTGCGTTACCGCAATACCTTCCTGGTGCTATGTGGGTCACTCGGATGGACATCTGCGAGCTGCCCGTCCCATTTGCTTGTGTCCCACCTCTTGATAGTTAATCCTGCTGATGAACAAGGGTTTCTACGCCAAGCCCATGAAGAATGACGATGGCACACTCAACATGATGAAGTGGGAGGTGGGAATTCCCGGCAAGGAGGAGGTGGGTATAGCTCTGCCAAACGAACGAGCTGACAAGCAGACCGACTGGGAGGGCGGCGTCTACGTCGTCAAGATGGAGTTCCCGACTGGTGAGTGGCGAAGACGGTGCAGCGTGTGAACGTCCGCGGGGGCGTGGGACTGTCCAGTAGTCCAGTGATGAGAGGCGAAAACTGTGTGGGAACGACGGGACGCAGCTGACACTGTACAGAGTACCCCACCAAGCCCCCCAAGTGCAAGTTCGACCCTCCCCTTTTCCACCCCAACGTCTACCCCTCCGGCACCATCTGTCTCTCGATCCTGGACGAGGAGAAGTCGTGGAAGCCCGCTATTACCATCAAGCAGGTGTGTACCTGGCTGTCGATGTTTTCGCTCCTAACACATCCAGATTGTTCTCGGCATCCAGGACTTGCTTGACAACGCCAACATTGGCGACCCCGCGCAGATTGACGCCTACCAGATGTTCAAGTGAGTGCTAGCAGCTTCGCGGTACCGACTTGCAGCTGCGACGGCGCTGACATGTTTGCAGGAACGACCGCCCCGCGTATAACAAGCGCATTAAGATTCAGGCCATCGAGCGCAGGCAGAAGTAAAGCTGGCGCCTGTTGGTATGAGCCTAGACCATCCGTCCCGTTTTTGGTTGTCCCCAGCATAGTTCCGTACCGGCTCAGAGGGGCCGTCACCATGTCACTGTAGTATAATACTCTCATGTGTGGCACGGTGGATACTGACGTGAGAGGGGAGGGGGGCTCAGCGCCGAAGAACCGTTTCCAACGGGCTATGCCTATACGCTGCATCATGCCTGTCTAGTCCTTACTGCGGACCGAATAGTAGTCTCTTTGGTAGTGAATGAGCGAGTCTTCGCCCTTTGATTTTATTGCGTCCACGACTCTGCAGATGAACAGCTCGCTGCCCTCTGCGGTGCTTGTCGTGTCCTTGCCGCCGACATGACGGAGGGGCACCGAGTAACACACCTCGCAGCGGAGACAGCCCACTGCGCTCGTGAGCGCTGGTGGGTCCCCGTCATCCCAACACTCCTGAACCGCAAAGATGGGTGCTTGGTCCTGACCCGGACGAGCGAGGGCGTCGGCCACGGGCTGGTTGGCGCCAGACAGCAATGACACTGTGACAGGTGTGGGGGCCGTCTGGTCCGGCTGCGGGCGGAGATAGTCTGCCATGCGGGAAGGGAGGCGGAGAGAAAAGGCGACAAGGGGGTGAGGCTCGAGTGTCAAGCTCGCAAACGACGTGAGCGTCGCGCCGTGGTATTTTGACGACGATGCCGCTGGTGGGAGAGATCCGGGCGTGATGGATGCGGAGGAAGACGGAACGTCTCGTGTCCGCGCCACGGCAACAACAACGGGCTGCCAGTCAGTAAAAAAAAAAAAGTTGACTACCCCTCTACTACAGCGATCCTGTTGTCTTATCGCTCACCTGGGCAAAGCTGCGGAGCACCTCGCGCATCTGCACGCCGACCTCCGCCTCGGACGGCGCCACCTGTCGGGCCGTCGTGGTCGACATTGGCTTTGCGGCACCCGCCGTCGTCGACGAGAGCACGCGCACGCCGCGCGACACGATTCGTCCTCCGCGGACGAGCATGGCGGCGTGAGGCGGGGATGCGAGGCTTGCGATGGACGCGGTGAAGCGGCGGTGGGAGAGAGATGTTGTTCGGCAATGTCCCAAACCCAAAGTCAACTCGGCAATGGAAAGCGTGGCCTAAAACACGGACTTGAAGTCGAATCTCCGTTTTCCCCGCATGTTTTTGCAGTCGCACGCGACGTCAAGTGGATCATCGACCTGTTCAGCTTGTCCATCTAGACCACGTCCCACCCCGCAACCATGTCTTGTGAGTGCTGGCCGTGCTGCCTCCCTACAGTTCTTTTACTGACATCCAGCCGCCATGAAGGAGCAGATCTCGGCGCTTGCTGCACGCAAGGCGACCGTGCAGACCCACCCTGGCCAGCAGAATGCGCTCGTGCCAGCGGCCAAGCTCGCCAAGAACAAGCGTCTCCCCGCTACCATGATCACCCCGGCGGGCAAGATCGAGGTGTCCAAGAAGATCAAGTCGAACGGCGACAGCTCGAAGAAGAAGAAGCGTTCCGAGGCCGGCAAGGAGAAGGCTCTCGAGCGCATGGAGCGCCTCCAGGTCAAGGTCCAGCACAGCGAGGACAAGAAGGTGAGTGGCGAGCGGGAGTGCAGCTATCGGATCATCGGTGGACAGCGTAGCTAGTGTATTTCCATCTCTCGCCATGGGTGTGCTGTCGTCGACGGTGCGCTGACTCTATCAGGCCAAGAGGAAACGCGCCAAGCTCGCCTGGGAGTAGACACTTCCTTGACCTTTGTTTCCCCTCTTGATCCCCACCACCCACCGACACCGCCGCCCACGCGTTACGACCGCCGCTGTATGTATTTGATAACCAGTAGACTGCATGGATGTGTCTGGAGTAGAAGACTGTGGCTACGAGGCCATCGGCTACAGGTCCGCTGCGAGGCGAGCGCAGGTGTGCGGCCAGAAAGCCGACAGCAGCGAGGTACATGACCGGGCCACACGTGCCACACCACGGGACCTCGAGATCCCCATGTACTGTACACAGATCACCCACAGCTGTTGCTTTGCGGAGACTGGACAAGTGTCAGAGGCAGCGAGCGGTTCACGCGTTTGCCGCTGTAGTGGCCACAATGTGTGGCAACCGGAACATGCCGTGTCGGGATTTCTTTTCAGCAGACCCCCTTGACCATTCTTTGATTCCAAGCAACACGAGGCTGGCGACTGCATATGACTAAGGCCCTCTTCTGCACGCTGCCTTTGAACTCGGATGCATGCATGGGATGGACACATTGCCGAGTGGCCAAAGCAGTGGCAACGACGGCCCAATCCCTCTGCTCCGATTAGTCCGACCAAATGCGACTCCCCCGTTGCCCCTGTGCTTACAGAGTGACTGACCCCGCCGCCGCCTCCCACCACACAACTCCACTCGCAACAGACACACAAATATAATCTCCTCTTCCACCTCGTTCGTCATCTGTCCAACCAAAACACCCACTGTCCCACCATGCGTTCAGCAATCGCCTCGTCATCTCGCTCGGCCCTCGCCGCCGCCCGCCCCACTGCGCGCCCGCTCGCCCGTGCCGCCGTGCGCACCCTCGCCACCTCGGCGCCTGCTTACGCACCCCGTCTTGCGCTGTCGCGCAGCGTCGTTGCGCCCATGCCTCGTCTCGCTGTGGGCCAGCAAGGTGGGTAGTCTTTCTTTTTTTTTCGTGCAGCTATTCTACCCGCAAACCACTGACTGTCCCAGCGCGCACAATGTTCATCCAGACCGAGACGACCCCCAACGAGGCTTCGCTCAAGTTTATCCCCGGTGTGCCCGTCATGGAGAGCGGCGGCACGCACGAGTTCCTCGACCTGCGGTCTGCGCTGCCGTCGCCCTTGGCCACGCGCCTGCTGTCTATTGAGGGCCTTGTCGGTGTCTTTTTCGGCCCCGACTTTGTCACCTGCTCCAAGGACGAGGCGTACAACTGGTCGATCCTCAAGCCCGAGGTGTTTGCCATTCTCATGGAACACTTTTCGTCGGGCGCCCCCCTGTTCAAGGAGGGCCAGGAGAGCTCGGGTGCCGAGGACACGCGCGTGCTCGACACGGACTCGGAGGTGGTCGCCATGATCAAGGAGCTGCTCGAGACGCGCGTCCGCCCCGCCATCATGGAGGACGGCGGCGACATTGAGTACAAGGGTTTCATCGAGGACACGGGTCTCGTCATGCTCAAGCTCAAGGGCTCGTGCCGTGGCTGCTCGTCGTCGAGCGTCACCCTCAAGAACGGTATTGAGCGCATGCTCATGCACTACATCCCCGAGGTGCAGGGCGTGGAGCAGTTTATCGACGAGGAGGAGCGTATCGCCCTTGACGAGTTCAACAAGCTCGAGGCCAGGCTGGCCAAGGAGAACGGCGGAGAGAAGAAGGCCGAGTAAGTCGTCTACCTCCTCCCGAGAGCTCGAGGCATAGCCGACGGCGCTGACACCAACACCAGCATGAGCCAGTACATGTCCCACTAGTAGTATGCATAGAACCCCATCTCATCGGAAACACATGTCGGCGGCTGCAGCTTTACACTGAGAGGTGCTTGCTTTTCTTTCTTTCTTTCTTTTTGATTGGAAAAAATGCTCAAGTCCATGCAGAATGGCTACATACGAGATTACACAGTCCAGCTCCAGCTCCAACAATGCACCGTCTCACGACTCTGGCAATGTCGCTAGTGGCCAGACCATCCGGGCGGCGCAGGGCCAAACACCATCTCCGCGACCGACTCGATCGTCTTGATCGTCGCCTCGTCGGTCCAGATCGTGAGGAGGATGCGCTCCTCGTTCTCGTCCTCGACCGGGTAGACGATACGTGGGGGAGGCGGGGCGGGAGTGCTGCGAGACGACGATGACGAGCCGGCGATGGGCGGGTCGACGACGGTGTTGAAGGACGGTGGGCGGGCGGACGCAGACGACGACGACGACGGCTCTGGCTGGTCGGCGCGCTCGTCGTCGTCGTCACCGTCATCGTGCTCTCCCTCTGCGTCTCCGTCTGCTGTCGCCGCCGAAGCTGAAGCCGCCGCTGCTGGCTTCTTCTTTTTCTTCTTGTTCTTCTTCTTCTTGGGCTTGCGCTTGGGCTCCTCGAGCGTCTTTGTGAAATAGTGTGTCTGCACGCCGGCGCGCAGGGCGAGGATCGAGTCTGGCGTCATGGGAACGCGCGTGTGCAGTTGGGGGAGGAAGCAGTCGATGATACTCTCGCCCGTCACGTTGGTCGGCGGACGGCGGAGGTTGATGAAGAAGGCGTACGAGTCGCGGTCGTACTGTTTTCCCAGTTTGTAGCTGTTCCCTGTCAGTGACAAAGTCGCAAATGGCCATATTCCCTCACCTGTCATCCACGCCAACGTCAATGGTCACCATGGTACCCAGCCCGGCAAGTCGGAAGGGGTGCACGTCCGTCTCCTCGGGCACGCCGCAGCGCGCCTTGACAGCCTGGGCGGCGGCCATGAGTTCCCCGCGGTCGATATCCTTTGACCCGTCCGCGTCGGGCAGGATACGCGTGAGCGTCGCTGTCCGCAGGGACGCCCGGTCGAGCTCGGCGAGCGTATCGCGCGGCGACCAGCATGCTTGCCCCTCGCACCCGCCCCAGCCGCCCCACGCCTCTGCCGGCGACACGGCGTTGGGCTCAGACTTGAACACGCCCATGTCCTGGCGGTCGCGGTGGATCTCGCCTCCGCCGCCCAAGATGAGGTCCAGCGTGGCCATGAACCGCAGCGCAGCGGCGCGCGCGGCGGGCGGGTGCGCAGCCTGCCGCTGGAGTGTGCCCGGCGACACGCGCGGAAAGCGTTTGTTGGCCGCAGCAGGGTTACGGCTCGGCCCGGCCGTCGCTGCCTCTTGCGCAATGGCCTCGTCGTTCGAGTCGTACCCGCCATCCTCGCCCGAGCCGGACCCGCCGCCCTCGCCCTCGGCGGACGGGTCGCGTTCCATCAGGCCGCGCCGGCCGAGGCTCAACGACCATGTCTTGGATGCCGGCGGCTCCTTGTCGGGAACGGCAGCGTGCCGCAGGTCCGTGAATGCCGCCCAGAGGTGCGCCTGCATGGCCGGCGTGAGCGTGCTCGACGCCCGGAACGACCAGTATTTGGGTTCCATGGCGAAGCGGCCGGGACGGTAAGGTCGTGTGGTGGTGGTGCTTTTGATTGAAGAGTTTGGAGGGACGAAGTTCATTTCAGTCGAAAACGTCATAAACAAAACATGGCAAAGTGGTGGCGAAGTGATAGGCGCGGGCAAAAATATCTAGGCTTGCCATGGAACATTGCTGTTTCGTGGCAACTTTCAAGTGTATGAAAGCCCTGCCCCCATGCATATCCTATGCAGGGAGCGGGTGTTGAGGCTAACTGTTCGCTGGCAGATGCATAGTGGCTCGGGCTCTTTGGTTTCAGCAGTAACTCGGCAGGGAAGGCGCAAACGTGAGCATAAATGTGGCCAAACGGCAAACCATTTTTCACCATTTTTCTCGTCCGCTCCTTGACACACCAACACACAGAAGACGTAAATGCCTAGATGTCGAGGGACGAATATAACTCTATATGTACATCTACTTGAACCTCGCCTCGGCAGCCCTGGCACGCCTCTCACGCTCAATCTGCATCCTCATCTCGGGACTGAGGCCCGAAAGACCGCCCTCGGAACCGCCAGGACGTCCTCCGAGCTTTTGCGGACCAGACGGCACGCCGAGGTTTTGGAAACTGGCCGCAGGCTTGGGTGCAGCGGCGGCGGCGGCGGCGTCTGCAGCCTCTTGTGCTTCGCGCTCGGCGTCACGCGCCTTTTCCTTTTCCCTCATCTTGTCCCTCAGGCCACGACGGCGCTCGGCCTTTTTGGCGCCTTGCTCCGCCTCGGCCTCCTCGGACAGGCCGGAGGGGACGTGCGCGGCGGTCCAGTCACACCAGTCCGGGTGATCAAAGGCGACACGGCGGAAGATGTTGCGCACACCCTTGGTGGACGCGAGGTCGTAGGGGCGCTTGCCGTCGAGGTCGGCTGCCGGGTCCAGGCGCACCTCGGTAAGGAAGTAGCGCACGACGTCCTCTTGGCCCGCCGCGGCAGCTGTACCGAGGGCAGCGGGGGTGACCTCGTCGCTGTACTTGGTGACAAAGGGACGGAGCGCGTCGAGGCGGCCCTTTTTGATCATGTCAGCCAGACGACGTTGGCGGTCGAGCTTGGCCTCTTCCTCGGGAGAGAGCTTGGGCACCACTGGAGCGGCCACGGGTGCAGGCGCGGCCACGGGTGCGGCCTTGGCCTGCTTTTTGGGCTGGATGGATGCAATGTATGCGTCGTCCTGGGCCTGCAGCGCCTCTTCGGACAGGTGCGACACCTTGACGCGAGTGAGTTCGTGCCAGCAGCGGAGGAGCTCCTGCTGAGTCGGCCGACGAGTAGGGAAGGGAAAGGAGACGACGCGTTCGTCATTCTTCTCCAACACGGCGCCATCATAACCCCAAAAGCTCTTCTTGCCGTGCGTGCTTGCACGCAGGAAGATGCGCTCGGACATGTTCAGGTCCTCCTCCCACTCGGCCATGAGGGCGCGGATCTCCTCCATCAGCGCCTGCTCGCCGTAGCGACGCAGCATGGCACCGGCCGACACGGCCTTGGACTTTGCATTGTCGTTCAAGGCCTGCGAACCACCTTGCTTGCGACGAGTAGTGTAACGGTGGAACGTCTTGTGCTTGAGGATCTTGACCTCGCCGGCACCCTTGACATCCTGCCTGTCGCGCGGACCGCGAGGGCGCAAGCTCACGACCATGCCGGCAAAGTGACCGCCAGCGACCATGAGAAGCGTGATGCGTCGCTCCTCCTCTTCTGGGACGGGTGGGCCCAGCTGGAGTCGCCTCAGTTCGCCAAGGTAGTCGCCTGCAGTATCCAAGGTGCGGAAGAGGGCGCGGATGACACCGAACTGGGTGTTGGCTGGGAGGCCAAGAGAAGCGGGGGCGTTGGGGGCAGTGAACCAGATAACCGCAGTGCGGAGCTGGGCACGCCTGCGCAAGTCGGCGAGCTCGGCCTCCTCGTCCGAGTCGATCTCGTCGTTGGCATTGGCGTTGGCATTTGTGTCGTTCACCTTGGCCTTGGCAAGTAGACGGGTGATGCGGGAGCGCGACGACTCGCCCGACGAGCTCGATGATGCTGAGCCAGAGATACTGGAGACGCCTGCGTCGCGTCAGCATCATGCTTTCCGTCTCCCAATGACATCATGGCTACTCACCCTCGACCATGCCCTCCCACTCGTCAGCGGTGACCGGCTTGCCTTGCAACCTGGCCTTTGCGTTGTATCGGTGCCAGTCCGACTTGAAGTGGGCACGCTGGTCTTCTGGTGTCTCAAAGGATGCGCCGGGACATGCCTGGCACCCGAGGCCAGAAGACGAGGCTGGAATGGGGTCTGCTGGCACTGGCTCAATGGTGGCCGTGACTTCTGCTGTTTGTTCATCCTGGGCCTGGATAGAGCGGACTGTGAGGGCGGCGAGGAGCTCTGGAGGGATGGCGTATACGCTCAACGCTGAGCGCAGAAGAGACATTGCGAAAACGGATGATGCGTGAGGTAGTGGATTATGGGATGAAGAGTATCGAGGCAAGGCGAGAGGCTATATACTCGCTGGCGTCCTTGAAGAAGTCCTTTCTGCCGTGCTCGAGTCGAAGATATGTGGCCAAAAGTCCAAAGCAAGAGAGTAAGCAAAACGAGGCGGCGCGTACGTCACTTTCCGTCGTAAATTACACTTACGTAACCTGATTTCTCGGATCCGAGACCACCCCCTACCCGCGGCGGGCCGCTAGAGCTCTGCACGCTTCCACGCCATACCCCCCCTGTGTGCGCACCGCCTGTGCTCGCCCCCGTGCGCGTCGTCGTTCCACACCGCTCCATCGTCCTCACTCACCTCTCCAATCTACTACTCCTTTATCCCACTACACACAATCCAACATGGCTGAGCAGCTTGTAAGTGTCGCCCGCCAGGTCCTGCAGCCAGGCTCCCTCCAATCGTCTCTTGAGGCGCCGATGCGCCGCGCTTGTTGTGGCAATGACGCGCAGTTGGCTACTCTATAGTCCGCAGGCGCGAGTGCTGTCGTCGCGTCCTCGTTTGCCATCAATGCAGTGCGCTGACCTTTACAGACCAAGGGTGTGTAACCCTGGACATGACGAGTGTTGCCCGAGGACTCTAACTGACATGATCCCCCGCCTACAGAGCAGATTGCCGGTGCGTACTTTGCTGGCGAGCAACCTGAGAAAGCAAACTGACGCGCCGCAGAGTTCAAGGAGGCCTTCTCCCTGTTCGACAAGGGTGTGTAGCTCATCACTGATGGCATGTTGGAAGCGAGCTGACACGTGCTCCTCTCTCTCTCTTTGTTTCCATCGGTCTCCTCTCGCACCCGTTTACTCTCCATCTCTCTCGCCTTCGCCCACCCTCCACCATGATCCTTTGTCGTTGGCACGTGGTTGTTACCTGCAGACGGCGATGGAACCATCACCACCAAGGAGCTCGGCACTGTCATGCGCTCGCTTGGCCAGAACCCCACCCAGGCCGAGCTCGAGGACATGATCAACGAGGTGCGTTTGGTGTCTTGTCGTTGCTCTTGCGTTCTCTCGCATCCAGTCGTTCGTTCCCTGGCGCTGACGGACCGTGCCCTTTCCTTTGTTCCCGTTTTATCTTTGGCATGTCCTTTTACGGTGCTCTCTCCACTGCGCATCTGGTGGCCTCCTCGTTCCCCCTTGTGACTTGACCTTGTGCTCCACCATGCCATGACGACAGGTTGACGCCGACGGCAACAACTCGATCGACTTTGCCGAGTTCATGACCCTCATGGCTCGCAAGATGCACGACACGGACTCGGAGGAGGAGATCCGCGAGGCCTTCAAGGTGGGTCTGGTTTTATTTTAGATTTGCTGTGCCACGGTGGTATAGACTAACGCCTCAGGTCTTTGACAAGAACAACGACGGCCACATCTCGGCCGCTGAGCTCAAGCACGTCATGAGTGAGTACCGATTGCTGGGTGTCTGTCAACAAAGGTATCAGTCAACTGACACATGCCAGCCAACCTCGGCGAGAAGCTCTCGGACGACGAGATCACCCAGATGATCCGTGAGGCCGACAAGGACGGTGACGGCATGATCGACTACAACGAGTTTGTGTCCATGATGATGGCCAAGGTAAGTGCTGCTTTACATAGAACCGCGCCCACCCCACACCCACATCACATACCCCCCCCGGATTTTGGTGGCTTGACCGCACCCGTCATTATTGCTGTGCAATGGTGCTGCTGGTCGGATAACATCGGTCTTGCGGTGGGGTGTGCGGCGTGTGCCAAGTGAACCCTTACTGACACTCTTGGCAGTAAACATGCTTCCTTTCGTCGTCGCGGGTGGTCGTCCCATCAAATCAGTCGTCCGATATCCCGGTGTCTTTTGTGTGCGCCTGGTGTCAAGTAGTAGCCGTGTGAACGATAAAGCAGATGTAAAAAGCTTGCGTGGAGCATGCCCAGTTCCAGCGTGCGGACCTGCCAACAGTGTGTGCGATCCGCGATCCGGGGTGCGCGCCAAGGTGACGCCAGATGCCTAATCTGTTAAAGGGCGTATTCTGATACACGAGACGAAGTGACCACGCCACCGATGTTGTCTGCGTGGCCCCCCCTTGCCGGCCTGTCCATCGCTCCAACACACATGTGCCCGCCGCAGCCGCACGACGCATAGCAACGATGCATGATTGGGCGACCCGGTGAGCTGGCCGGGAGAGCGGTGGTGCACATATCAATGACCCCACTTGCAACTCGGGTTGGGAGGCGTGGGCGGCTTGGGCGGCTTTCGGGGCTGTGGGTTTCAGGGGCGCGGCTGGCGCGGTGTGAGCGAGATGGGATACTACGTCATTGTGAATCCCACAGGCTCTGTGCATCTCTTGCATCCGACACCTTGCCCAAGGTATGCAGTCCCCAGCTCGCTCTAGCTCTGTCCATGTCATACTGCTACTGCATCTGCGAAGTCTAGGAACACTCCGGTCGTCGTGCATCATATCATGCTGGCGGGACAAGTCTCATGACTCGGGGCATGGAAGTAAGTCGCCAAGTGGCCCGCCGGCAAGTGGGGCCTCTTTATCCTGCTGTTTGATACGCGCGCGGCAGACGAGGAACGATGGGTGCCCATTCTCTGCCCTCCCCTCGGAGCGGCCCCCCGTGGTGTCTCATGCAACGGCGCATGCACCTGGCGTTCCTCGCAACCTCACATGCGTTTTGGTGCGGCAATGCTCCGTCGTGACCCTCTCTCCCTCCCCCCCACCCCACTGCGGGCACCACACTTGGCACCCCCGCTTCGCCCACCAGCCCCCCGCGCGGGCGACTCTGTCTTGTCCCCTGTGCGTATCATGGCTCCCCCCCTCTCTGCCGCGGCACATCTCTCGCTCTGCCTACTTACTACTTAAGACCCACTGGCACTCACTCACACCCCCCATCTCCACGTCGTTCCATTCTGTTCTTCTTGAACCATCAAAGTCATCCACCCAGACCCTCTACCTCACACATTCTACCCCACACTACACCCACAGTGCGTACCACAGCCACCACTATCTCCATCTCTCCCCCCCCCCCCTTGTCCCAACCCCACATCTCCGTGACCCTCAATCTTCCCCGCGCCGTCATGTATCCCCTTATCCCCTGCCACCACCAGCTCACACAAGCAGTCTCAAAATGGTCTCTGGTACTATGAAGGCTCTCGTCTACGACGAGGTGAGTACTCTCGAGCTCGTGTCGCGCGTCCTCGCGGATCGCGTTAAGCATGGTGCCGTGGCACACCGGGATCCCGGGCGGCGTCCACGCCGTCCCAGCGCCCCACATGTGCCCAATCTGTCCCACCACTTGCCGCCGGCGAAAGCCATTGCACCCACCCACCTACCCGCACCCACGCAACTGACATTTTCGCCTTGCAGCCCCGCAAGTTCTCGGTCAAGCAGGTGCCCATCCCCCAGATCAACGACGATGAGATCCTCCTCAAGATCCTCATCTGTGGTTTCTGCGGCACGGACGTGAGTGGCTTGCAGGACACTGATAACATACGCGGCATTTATGCTGACGTCTCCGACAGGGCCACATCCACGAGGTGAGCCGCCGTGGCGGTGGCGCGCAATGTGTTTATGCTGACGCTGGAAAAGGGTGACTTCAACCCCAAGTTCCCCCTCATCCCTGGCCACGAGGGTGTCGGCACCGTCGTCGAGATGGGCAAGAACGTCGAGGGCTTCAAGATTGGCGACCGTGTCGCTGCCGATGTCGGAAGTGAGTGAAACCCCAGGACATACTCGAGACCTTGCACTGACTTTGCTAGCCAACTGCGGTCACTGCCACTACTGCCGCCGTGGCGAGCCCCTGCTCTGCACCAACTTTGAGGCTGCCGGTGTGCGCCTTGACGGCGCGTTTGCCGAGTACATCAAGTACCCCTTCTCCAAGTGTTCGGTCATCACCAAGCTGTCGGACGAGGACGCCACACTGCTCGAGCCGGCCTCGTGCGCCGTGCACGGCATGGACAAGCTCAAGATGCCCTTTGGCTCCAAGTGTCTGCTCATCGGCGCCGGTCCCACGGGTCTCATTCTCGCCCAGCTGATGAAGATTGGCGGAGCGTCGTCGGTCACCATCGCCGCCAACGCGGGCCTCAAGATGGACCTGGCGCGCAAGATTGGCGCCGCCGACCACTACATTGACTTGGACCGCACCAACGCCACGTCGCAGTGGGCCCAGATCAAAAAGGACAACCCGTACGGCTTTGACGTCGTGGCCGAGTGCACCGGTGTCGAGAGCATCATCAACGACTCTATCAACTATGTCGCGCGTGGCGGCACGCTCCTCGTGTACGGCGTGTACGAGGACGACGCGAGGGTCAAGTGGAGCCCGTCGCAGATCTTTGGCAACGAGCTGCGCATCATCGGCTCGTTCTCCCAGGTCTACTGCTTCCCGCGCGCCGTCGAGCTCCTCGAGTCGGGCAAGGTCAACGTCAAGGGCATGGTCACGGACGTCTACACCATCGACCAGTGGCAGGAGGCCCTGGACAAGATGAACTCGCGCAAGGCGCTCAAGATTGCCATCCGTCCCAACTAGGTGGGCAACAAAAGGCGCAACGTGAAGAAGCAAGGACGACGTGAAACAGGATCAATATTGTATTAGATCATGCGTAGTGGAGATGTAGCCAGTTGTGAAGTCACCTGCAGAGCTGACTGGGTCTTCTGACTGAGCCTGAGCCTTCTGACGCCTGACACTCACACAAGGACTCTGGAGAAGGGACGTAGGGTGAGGCCGGCGTGACGTGCCAGAAGCTTCAGAAGCGGCCCCGGACAACGAGGCACAGAGGCGTACCATGACACACAGTAGAAGGTTACACGCGAACGAAACCGGCTAAGCAGTCAAACGACGACATACACGCCAAGAGTGTGTGGGGAGGGGAGGGGAGTGGGCGAAGAAGACAAGAGGACATGAGATGGACGAGTACACAGCAACCAGACGGAAATGGAAGCTGCATCCCGGTGGAGCATGGGCCAATCCCCCACCTCCCACCCCCGGCCCCCAGCCTGCTCGCTCATCGCTCGCGGTCCTCGTTGGCTGACATGCTCGCCCAACCATGTCCGGCTATAGCGCGGCGTCTGCCTGTGATCCGATGAGCGCTCCGCGCAGTGCCGGCGGTACCTGCCGGGTGCGAGAGGGCCCTCGTTCAAGCAGCAGGCAAAGGACCTAGGACCTAGGACCTAGGACAATACGACCTGGCGCATGGGTTTGGCTCGTTCGGCGATCCGCGGGTCGGCGGTCGGCGGCACCCGATGTCCCGCGAGGCCGCGAGTGTGCGTGGGGGGGTTCGGTACTGCGGTGGCACTGAGCGCCGGGAGGGGAGATGTGTCTGTCCTCGCTTGCGTCGACGTGTTCTCCAGAACGTAGAACACACACAACAGGCGCGTTTCTCGTCGCTTGTGCTCAGCAGTAGTGTGTAGCTCTATGATGGACGTGTCTATTCATGCCTGGCTATCCTGATACTCGTCGCCACGCACTGTCATATACCCAACCTCCCAGAGAGGCATCTCACGCGACTCGCACGACGCGGCCCACCCACCACCACCCACGGCCACGACATTGGCCCATGGCCCACACTGTTGCGCCCATTCTCGCAGGGCCGACACGGACCGGACCGTTGTGCCCGACCGAGGAGCGCCGAGAGACACACACCCGCGGGGGGGGGGGGGCAGACGCCGAAGTGTGGCGGCGCCACAGGGTGGGTTCCGCAGGGCAAGAGGCCCGACTGCGCGTCTCTTATCGCGGCAGTGGTCGCCCCAGCCCCCGCATCTCCGGTCACCCCGGGGGGCAGAGCATGAGAGCGAGGACGAGGCCACGCGGGCCTCCCTGTTGGCCTCGTGGCTCGCACCAAAGGGGCGGGGCATTAAGGGGGGGGGGGACATGGTTGCAGTGTGCGCACCATCAAAAAGTACAGGTGTCTTTCTGCTGGGGCGTGCTTTTGGGTGCGTCTGCGTGCTGATACTGGGCCCGAGATTAGATCGTGTAAACAAGGTTCTCATGCATATGTGTATGCTCTACTGCTGACAGGGGGGCTGGGTTGAGAAAGGTAACCAACCCCCCCTTCTCGGGTCGATGGGCTGTGATGATGGTCGCTCACTGATCACTGAAACCGCGTGCTCGCGGCCCAGCCTTTTTTTTACTTGTTGTGCTTGGCCATCTCCTCGGCGCTGAGCACAATCTCCTTGCCGCCGACAGTACCCGTCCTGCCCGAGACGCCAAACGTGAGCGCGTACCCGGGGGGCAGCTCAGAGCCCACAGGGGGCAGCTCGAGGACGGGCCACGACGCCGCAGCAGGCTTTTGCAGCGTAATGTCCACCTTGGTGCCGAGGATACGGTACGCCGACTTTTCGGGGTCGATGGGCCCGTACAGCGTCAGGTCCTTGACGACGCGCTTGTTGCCCGGCAGGTGCAGGTCGAGGTGGACCAGCTGGGTCTCGAACGTGACCTTGGACTTTTCCTTGTCGCAGCTGCAGGCGTCAGTTGGGCTATCCTCGGACTTTCAACTCACCCCTTGGCATAGGCGCTGACGTGGACCTGGAGAGGTGTCTGGTAGTGGTCGACACGGCAGTCGACGCGCTCCTCCGTGGTCTCGTCCTTCTTGGCACCGACAAAGAGGTGGCGGCCGTCCTTGCAGCCGGCAATGTTGAGGAACTCGTCAAACTCGAGCACGCGGCGCTTGCAGCAGAGGTAGCCCTTGGAACCCTCGTGGAAGACGGGCTGGGGGGAGTGAGCACAAAGCTGCGAGCGCCATGCCCACGGGCACAGTTGTCCATACTCACGGCCATGGGGTGGTAGTGACACACGGCCTCGGGGCCATCACCACGGCTGACGGCCTCGCCCTTCCAGTCGGCACCGCAACCCAGGCGCTTGCACTTGGCGCCCTCGGGAACAGGGACCGAGAGGTCATCCTCCTCCTCAACCTCCTTCTGAGGAGCTGGAGCCGGGGTCGGGGTGTGAATGGGGGCTTCGTTAGCAGCAGCAGCAACGGCCGCGGGCTTGGGCTTGGCCGAGCCATACGTCTCGACGCCGCCAGCGACAGTCGAGGGAGCCTCAGTCTTGACAGCAACAGGGGCAGGAGCGACGATGGGGGCCACATCGGTATGCTTGCCCTTCGTGCAGCCCTAGGAAGTTAGCGAGGAACCGTTGCGTCATAGGCAGCGGCGTCCAGCGACAGCGTCGAGCTCGTCAAGCCTGTCGTTGAGCTCGACAGCGAGCCGCGAGCCGCGCCTCGACTTACGGGAAGGGCCATGAACTGGTCAAACTCGAGCACGGGCTTGTTCACGTCCTTGCAACAGGCTAAAGTCAGCAGAGGATAGCTCCGGGATAGCTCAACATACACCACGACTTGAGACCCTCGTGGAACACCTATGAAAGCCGTCAGCACAAGCACCCAAGCAAGCTTCGTGCGGGAACGTACCGGGCCACCACTGTGGTACGAGCAGCTGTCCTCGGCATTGGTCGCCTCGTCGTAGTCCTTTCCACAGCCCTTGTGCGTGCAGCGAGGCATCGTGAGTTGGTTGTTGTTGTTTCTAAGCTGGCGCGCGTTCGAGATGGATATTGCGTCGATGACTTTCTGGAAGGGTTCGCGCCAGACCACGTGACCTCCACCGGGCGGGCGCCGGCCTCTGTGTCCGCGACGAGCCGATCTGTATGGGCGGGCGATCTGCGACATTCTACGACATGCATGCGGTAAGCTGGCTGTATGCAGTCCGATCCCGGTGCCATTCTGCGGCTCTCGGTCTTGCTTGGAGAGCTATAGCACCCGGTTATCAGCCGACACGCTGTGAATCGTGATTACGACTTGCAAATAGTCAAACTGCTAATAAACACCATTTTTCTTATATAAGCTACCTATACTACCTAATTGTGGCGGCCTTTCTAATTGACCGCTTGAGGAAATGAGCTTGTCAACGGTTGTCCGGGTCAGCAATCGACCACGTTGTTGACTGGAGACGCTGAGGGAGAGGTGGAGGGGGGTGATTAATTACTGCTTGCTACGCTGTCTTGTAACTGCATGCGAGGCCCACAATGTCTACAGATATGATATAATAATATATTCTTGTCGGAACTCCAACGTACTTTAATCGTTGTTTGCAACTGGTCATGATGCAGCAGCTGGAGAATTATTTTTGCCTCCAGCAACACCATATCCATCAACAAGTTGCTCAGATGCTCCAGCACGTTGCAGGACGTGCACCGATTACTCGAGCGTGTGGAGTGGCACTTATCGGTGGGATCGCTCTCCGCCAAGCCCGAGTTTTCTCCGTACAATCGCTGATGAGAGCAACCTCGGCGTCTACCCCATCAATACACACTGTTCCTGCCCATTGTAGATAATCTCGTTGTGCCCTCTGCGATGCTGGAGAACACACATCACGCCTCATCTAGCTCCCCGAGATCAACGGCTGCTGCGACCGTTGTCCCCCGTTGACCAATAGGGTGTCGCCAATTGTCCGAACGCCTCTTGCTCGCCCAGCCTCGCCGCGTATCCCCTCATGCCGGCGGCATTTGTCCCAGCACAGACTTGATGAATTCCGCTGCCCCTGATCCCCCCCATTTTGACAGGCAACTTGGTTCAGGCCAGACACGGCTTGGGGCCTCATGCATGACGCTGGCATAATGCAGCCCAGTTGTACAGTCTGTAACACACTTGGTCCATCCACCAACGTCTCTCTCCCTCCACTCATGGTTCTTACACCCCCCCGCAGCCCTCGAATCACACGCGGTGTGAACCTTGGATGCTAAAACGAAGTGCCTACCAGTGCCAGCGAGGTCACTATCTGTGACGTTGGAGCCAATGAGGCTCTGAATGCTGGGGCAGAAGCAGCCCATTCGTCCATGGCGGCATGTTGCGGTCCATTTTTTACAGGGCACCAGAACAGAAAGGCCTTTTCTTTTGCCTGACTCGCTGGAGGCCCCGCGGCAAACTTCCGGCACCACGCGGCAGGCGGAGCCAGTCGTCCGCGTCTCGCCCGCCTCATCCGCCGGAACGGTCGGTCGACCTGTGTCGGCCGTGGCCGGCGTGCTGGCGTGTGCTGCCTGGAGAGGCACAAGCTCGAGGCAGAAGCTGGAGGATTTGCGGGGCCAACGGCAGGGATGCGGGGCGGGCCGACCACGGCGGCAATGCGTTTTTCATTGCGTCGGCCCTGCAACGCCGCACCTGCTCTCCTGACCGTCCAAAGCCGCGAGAACAGGCCATGATTGGTGGGTTTTGCAGCTCGCTCCCCATTCGCTGGCGGTGGGCAGCTGATAACGCTGCTGCAGCGCTATCGGTGTGCGTTATTGGGTGGAGCCGTTCAGCGTGCCGCTGGTGCGTCGGGCCTAGTTCGTCCGAATGAAGCCGGGGGCGCCGGTGGGACCGTGGATCGCAAGACGTATAACTACAGCTCCATCCCGCTGCTCTTGGCTTTTTTCTCATCCCATTCTCTCCCCGCAAAAACACCTAGTCAACATGTCCAACCTCCCCTCCGAGCCCGAGTTCCAGCAGGTGAGTGGCCGCGACACACACACACACACATCCGGCTATACGGGCCGGATGAAACATAAAAAAGGCCTTTTGGCTGACTTTTTTCTTCCCAGGCCGTCAACGAGATTGCCTCGACCATCGAGCCTTTCCTCGCCAAGAACCCCGAGTACCGCCGTGCTTTCGAGGTCGTCCAGATCCCCGAGCGTATCATCCAGTTCCGTGTCACCTGGGAGCGCGATGACGGCTCCATCGCCGTGAACCGCGGTTACCGTGTCCAGTTCAACTCGGCCCTCGGCCCCTACAAGGGCGGTCTTCGTCTCCACCCGACCGTCAACCTCTCGGTCCTCAAGTTCCTCGGCTTCGAGCAGATCTTCAAGAACGCTCTCACCGGCCTCTCCATGGGTGGTGGTAAGGGTGGTTCGGACTTTGACCCCAAGGGCAAGACCGACGCCGAGATCCGCCGCTTCTGCTACGCCTTCATGCTCGAGCTTTCGCGTCACATCGGTGCCGACACCGACATTCCCGCTGGTGACATCGGCACTGGTGGTCGTGAGATCGGTTTCCTCTTCGGCGCCTACAAGCGCTACCAGAACGAGTTCTCTGGTATCCTGACCGGCAAGGGTGCCGACTGGGGAGGTTCGTTCATCCGCCCCGAGGCCACTGGTTACGGTCTCGTCTACTACGTCACCGAGATGCTCCGCGACCTCGACAACACCGACTGGCAGGGCAAGCGCGTCCTCATCTCGGGTGCCGGCAACGTCGCCCAGTACGCCGCCCTCAAGGTCATCGAGCTCGGCGGCCACGTCCTCACCCTCTCGGACTCGACCGGTGCCCTCGTCGCCAAGGACGCTACCGGCTTCACCCCCGCCGACATTGCTGCCATCGCCGACATCAAGCTCCGCCGTGAGCCCCTCACCACCCTCCAGTCGGAGGGCCGCTTCGAGTGGCACGCCGGTGCCCGCCCCTGGACTCTTGTCGAGAAGGCCGACGTCGCTCTTCCCTCCGCGACCCAGAACGAGGTCTCCGCCGACGAGGCCAAGGCCCTCATCGCTGCTGGTGTCCGCTACGTCGCCGAGGGCTCTAACATGGGCTGCACCCAGGAGGCTATCGACATTTTCGAGTCCACTCGCTCGGGCGTCGCTTCGCTCTCGTCGTCGCAGGGTGTCTGCTACTACGCTCCCGGCAAGGCCGCCAACTGTGGTGGTGTCGCCGTCTCTGGCCTGGAGATGGGTCAGAACTCGCAGCGTCTCAAGTGGAGCTCGGAGGAGGTCGACCAGAAGCTTAAGAACATCATGGTGACTGCGTACGAGAACTGCCGTAAGTGTTTTAAAGATCGGCGTTTTCTTTTGCTGACGTGATCAGGTGACACCGCCAAGGCTCACGTCGCCGACTCCGCTGTCCCCTCGCTCGTTGCTGGAGCCAACATTGCCGGCTTCAAGAAGGTCGTTGACGCCATGCGCGACCAGGGTGACTGGTGGTAGAGCACCACCTTCAATTCTTGTTCTCAAGAGCCAGTTTAGACCTCTTGGGACGATAGACCGCGGGAACACAGGTGTGCCCCGTGTGATTAGCATTTTTAGCCGGTTTGCCAGTTTCATGCAACTGTTTGTAAATATCAACTATTGTCCGAGCTTCAGCAGTTGCAGGAGAGCTGGGAGAGCGAAAGAATCGAGGCAGAACGTCGTTGCAGATGGAGATTGTTGTTGAGGACACGGACGTTGAACATCAGGGATGGATCGACGAGTGGAGTGGAGTGCCACTCCCGGTTAAACCGGATAAATTGTATTTGGTCCCGTCGATGTGTTGTCTTGATCTGGATTCATGGAACGTCTTGCATCGCGCATCGTCAACAACAGCAACAACAACAACGAGCACCACCTGGAACATACACAAAATGTGACGTTGATCATCTCAGGATCCCAGGATGGCTAGGATTCCCAGAACAGCACTGGGTACGATAAGGTGGCACACAAAATAGACAGCCGCATGGCCGTGCGATGATAAGCCCCGACCGTCCTGAGGAAGATGATAAGGACATGGACCCCCATGGGCTCAAGGCCCAGGGAGAGCAAGTTCCCAGGTCCTCAGTGAGAGTTAGAGCTGAGCGATGAGGCAGTGACTATCGGGAAATGCTGGGTCACGAGTTCAGCGCGGACCGGGAAATTCACCTGAATTCATGTGTTTTTCGGAAATTGTTTGGTTCGGGACGTCGATGGAAATCCCCACACACTATTAGCAAGAAAGCCAGTAGTAGTATCTCCCCGCGCAGGAAAGGGACAAACAGGACAGATAAACAAGACAGCCGATGCCCGTCTCATGCGCGTGCTGGTGTGGAGGATACAGGATATATGCCCTCCTCGCCTCCTGCCTCCTGGCTGCGCCCAGGTCACGTGACGAGACCCCACCCACACACCTGTGGCGCTAGTCCAAACACAGCAGTGGTTTAGATGCCAATGGGTGCACACAGCTGAATACCGCATGAGGATCTACAACGTTACGAGGGAGAACTCTACTGTCTCTATCCGACTACGACCAGTCACCCTGTTATGGCAGCAACCTAACCTAAACAATGTCCTTTGCTTGATCTTTTCACAGCATTCGCAACCTTTGGAGTTAGGACGCACTGCTGCGCGCGGTAAAGCAATGATGATGGTGCTGAAGCTAATCACATGACAATCATTTCACTTCTGACGTTACTACTTGAAACAGACTTATGAGGCGGACGGACTACAAACGGGGAAGTGGCAAAGAGGCGTAACCTGGTTCTTGGACAGGCGAATGAATGGCACAGAATGTTCCACAGACGAGAACGATTTGACGAGAGGGGCCCCTTTCGGCCAGGCAAACATTCCGAAGGCATGTGTTTACACCCGTGGAAGGGAAGCGAGCATCTCCTCGAGGCGGGGACGCAGAGCCGCACAGTCCATGGTGAGCCACCGGTTCTGGTGCTTCTCGATGATGGTGTGGATCTGGGCGACAGTGAGGTCGGGCATGAGATTCTGGATGACTGGGAGAAAGCCGCGGAAGCTGCCCCGGGTCACCCATACCATGTCCAAAATCTCCCACTCGAGGGGCTGGAGAGGCCGCGACATGCGAGGGGGGATGCGTTCGAGTTCGGTGTGCGCCGTGGCAAGGTGGCGAGGGAGGACCGAGGTGCGTGCGCCGCACAGCGGCACGGTGCAATCCACATGAGGCCTGCCCTCGTGCTTGGCGATGGTGGCAACGGGGCCGACCCTGTCGCATCCGTCGTGGCGACACTCGCGGGTTTCAACAATGACGGCGCCCTGGGCAGGCAACGAAAGCGGAGGAGGGGTCGGAGTAGATGACGACGACGGAGTGGCGTAGTCCGTCGTACCAGCAAGATCGACGTCCGGAGCTTGGTCGCGGAACTTTGGGACCGTCTCCGCTGTGTACCCGAGAGCAGGGAGCACCTCTTCAAACGACTTGCAGTGGGTCTCGCCCAGGTCGATTTCGCGGTCCTCGGCCTCGGCGAGCAAGAGTCTCATGAGCTCGGCAGAGGTCAGGGGGATCTGGATGTCAGACGACGGAGCTGCCGACTTCAACTCACCCTGATTTCCAGCAGCTCGGCCATCTTGTCCATCTCGTTCATCCCATACATCTCATCCATGTTGGAAATCTCGCCCATATCGTTGATAGTCTCGGTCGATGTGGGCATCTTGACGTTTGGGGAGCTTTCACAAAGGTGGAGAAGGTGCGCCAGGTCGAACTCGGTGACGGTTTGAGCGAGCACCGGCGAATCTGCTGTCAGATAGCACTCGTCTTATACACGAACAGTAGGTGGTGGGCAGAAAATGAGCAGGAGCCTTGAAGAAGGAAGACATGTTGCACAAGTGCTGTGTGCTGAAAGAGATGGTAGTGAGACAAGTGGTGAGAACAGAATGAAATGTTGTCCGTGTGTTGACATGTTTGGGCGGAACCGTTTATATTGATATTTTGTCCCGTTATTCTCCCTTTGTGTGTGTGTGTCGGGTCGTGTCGAGTCCAGTCACCCTCTTCTCTAGCTTCCCCTTTTACTAATTCACACAGCGGCCGTGTCCGAATACCCAAATACCCATGCACCATCAGGCTCATGCTTACTCTCAGCGACTGCTTCAACAACCATCTGACCCTGTTTGCCGTATTAGATGGTTAGCTGATGGTGGCGGATTGCAGACCCCGATATCACTGTATCACTGTGTCCAGCATACCCAGAACACCACCAAACGACGAGGAAAATAAAGTCTTCCGGTCGTGGGGCGTGTGCAACTCAAGGCTGCCACAGACCTTCCCAGCCCCGCTTGCTTCTGATCTTGCGGCCTCCTTTTGCGCAAGGGCCAGCAGTTCGTCATACTGGACGCCCTCACATCGGAAGCCCCGGGGCGTAGCCCCTCTTGTCGTGCTGGAGGGTGTTGGGTTGTCGTCGTCGTCTCACCTTTCAGTTCACACAGTCTCTACAACAGAACACTTTATCTCGAACCAATGCCTTCTACGCACAAACGCAGGGCTTCTTCTCCTGACGCAGCAACTGCCAATGCTAGCAAGGTCACAAAGGTCGTCCATGCAGAGACTACGTGAGTACAGAAACTAAGCGTCGGTTGTTTGCAGCTGACAATCCAGCGGCGACAAGGTGAACGACGACCTTGCCGTATCGCCATCCACTCGCATCCGTCTGGACACCGATCACCCTGGGGGTTCCTCTGAGAATAAAGACCTCGATGGCAGTAACGACCTCGAGGATGAAACCACTCTCCAGCTGCACATGGAGGGCGACCATCCTCCTCCTCCCCCTACCGACATGGAAGAGCGTTGCAAAAAGGCCTGGATCGCCCTCTTCCACTACTACAACGAATGCGTGGCGAACTGGAGGAAGGGCCGATTTGCACGTCCTGGAGCTTTGGAGCTGCCTCTGCAGGCCACCTCGTTGCGTGAGTGTCACTGTCCCCCAAACAGGTGTCACCTTCACCGCTAAGGGTTTCTAACCTACAGCCCAAATGATTTCCAGCCGTATCATCAAGGTCTTCCAGGACTCTGCTCTGTTGAAGGGCGGCGACCCCAAGGAGGAGACGGCCGAGCTGCTCTATTGGATGTTCCGTCTGAAACCGATTGTCCGCAACGACGAACTGGTGCAAATGCCACTGTTCGACAAGGTTCGCGACGCAATACTCACATACCGCATTCCGGGTTCTGCTTTTCTCCCCGATGTGAGTGGCCTTTCAGGCATCAAATGGTTGACAATCAGAACCATGAGCGCGGCGCCAAGGCGATGCTGGACATCAAGTCACCTTGGATGATTGAATGCGAGGGAGGTATTGTCGATGACCCCTCCCAGCACCACGAGCCAAGCAAACTCACCCTTGGCGACGGAATCTCCAAAAGGTCACCCGAGGAAGAAATAGAGCTGGCTCGCGAGATTCTATCGCTGGCACTGTACATTAAAGACCTTCCTCCCAACTAGTCACCACATATCGTGTTCACGATGTATAGCATGTTGATGGACGTGTTATGGAAGTTTGCTCGGGCAGTCACAGCCACAAGATCGGGTGCATGTGCATGTGGACAGTAGTACATATGTACATCTCAGTCAGTCCGCTTCCATCGATCCTTAATGGGTAACGAGACCTGTTTTCACTGAGGAGTACCGTGGAAAGTCAGGGGGCTTGGGTCGACCTGTTGGTTCCTCCTCGGGTGAAGAGACTCTCCTCGCATGTACGCGTGTTTACGCGCTTGGTGGCATACCTATAATTCCACATTGTGTCACTCAAGCGCCCGTAGTTGGTGCCCGAATTTGTTGGTCTCGAAGTTGTTGCTCTTGGCTCGCTTGAAAGCGTGTATCACAGTTCACAGTCGTCGACATTGACACGACAAGGCGAATGTATGGACAGATGGGGCTAAGTCGATGAAAGGAGGGTGAGACGTCACATCTGAATGTTGTCAATGGCGGAGCAACGGTGTGAGCATTGGCACGTACCTTGCCGGGCTTGCGCAACGATTCTTCAAGAGAAGCAACACGCCGCTCGCGGTCAGACATGTTATTTCTCTGGTCTTGTACATCGTTCTCCAACTTTGTGATCGCCGTCTCGATTTCGTTGGTCGGGACCACGGCCAACCGAAGCACTCCAGAGTAGTCGATAGGCTCATATTGGCTCGGGCCACTGTCCTCCTCAGGTTCGTCGGTGGCGCCAACCAGTGACCTGGCGTTGGCCTCGCGCCTCCTCAAAGTCCTGTCCATTGAGTCCAACGCTCCGGCTTGCAGTGCCACGTCTGTAAGGCGAGTCCACTGCTCTGACGTGAATGTCAGAATCGGGTCTGAGGCGACGGTTTCGTCAGGTGACATGGCATAGGCTGGGAACCGTCAGCATCCACGGTGTTGTAGGCAGAGCTCATGGGTTCCCTTCAAGGGCTGGTAGTGGGGAGAGGGGGAACCGTTCAGAACGCTAGGTTGCCTACGCACTGTTCTCCTGGTTGTTCTTAGTCTGCTTGGCCTCCTTGGGTGGTTTCGACTCCCGATCGCCGAGCGTCATGCCAGCGGGCAACTTGATGTTTCCTTCGCGGACAGCGGCATCATTGCGGCGCTGGCCGAGAACGGCCTCCCTCCCCATGAGCTGGAGGAGACGTTGGATGGTAGTCTCCTTGAGGGTGACTTGAGAAGCGGGATTGACGGAGGAATTGGTCTCTGCAGAGACGCCTGTCAGGTACGGACGAGTGAACACTGCCCGACCGCCATGGCACTTACGAGTATACGTGTAGTTGGTTTGGTCCGGCTGGGACGTAGAGGCAGTTGGGAGCAGCTTGGGTGGTGGGCGATGGCTAGTGGGCACTCTTCCATGGAGTTGCTCCCCCCAACAGTCCAAATCCTGCTCCTCTTTCGTAACGGCCTCCCCTCCCTCTTGAAGTCCCTGCTCACGCTCGGCGAGTAGCGCATTGACGTCGTCACCCTCATCCAAGTGAAGGACGGCCTTGATGCGTGTGGCCATCGGGGATTCCGGGACTCCTTGAGGTCCAGCAGCAGGAGGAGGATGGTTGTCGCTCATGGTGAGGAGTGGTGTTGTGGAAAGTGTTGAAAGCGGTGCCGAAGGAGGTGACGAGAGAAGACGGACAGTTGACGACCTTGCGCCCATTTCCATCGAGTTCCACGATGGCCCAAGTGACGTGGGTACGCGAGGGTGTTGCGCCCGCTTCCGTCGAGCTGCACGTCACCACCTCTCCTCAGTCTTCTCACGTCCCCTTTCCCATTCTCACAACAACCCTATCCTCTGACTCACCCACGTCCTTCCCACCCAAGACATACCACCATGAGCGACAGCGAAGACATAGGCGATGAGATCGACAACGTTATCATGAACATAGGAAGCTATACACTCGACGAGCTCAAACTGATTACCGACGAGTTCGACGAACGACTGGAGGCCCAAAGGCAGCGCCTGGATGTCCAGCTCGCTGCAGACGCCGAATACTTGAAGAGTACGACGGCGCAGCTGTCTGCCATGGGCGCTGGCTTTCAGCAGCCACGTACCGAGCCCTTGGTGCCAGCGGATCTTGGGCCTATTGTCAAGCCACGTCGCATTGGCCGCCATCGCTCCAAGAAGAGGTCAAAGAAGGGACCTGTACGTGTAACTACGTTGACAATGGCGATTGATCTTCCCTTTCAGACCTCTGTCGTTTCTGCAGGCATGGATGGCCGGAAGTACATCGGTCTGAACAAGTGGGTAGCCCTGCAAGACGGCAAGTTCAAGGTTAGTATCGTCCACCTGTTGACCTGGGCTGACAACACAAGAGCAACATCTCAGCTCCTGTCTCCAGCGTCCCTATCGGCCGTGACAACGGCCAGATCGTCTACCTGCCCCTCCTCCACCAGGCTGCCAGCAGCGTCCGCCTCCGTATTGTGGACCACGACGAGAACATTACTCCCGGCTCAGCCAAGATCGCGGTAATTGATGACAAGACGAACACCCAGCTCTACCAGATGAAACGCTCTGACTTCGATGACAAGACCAAGGACCTCGGGACTCCCAAGGAGCAATGGGATGACTCGTGCAGAGTGCTGCGCAGACTCCTGTTCAAGGCCCGTTACACATTCCTTTGAGAACTCGATACGTGCAGAATGACCTCAAGACGCCTGTTTTCTTGTACATTCATCTATGCAATCATGTAATTGTTTCCCTTGGCCATTAGAAACCAAGGAGAATGGATACATGACCCGCCGCTGAGAGATCCAAATGTGCTGGCATGTCTTGGTGGCTGGGATGCCCCAAATCAGTTCACACAACCACCACATCACCGCCCTGCGGCCCCTGGCCCAACCACTCACGAATTCACGCATACCGTCGCGAACGAGGGCGTAACCTTGGCTTCTAGCATGCTTCTGTTGCTTCTAGCGAACTCTTGGCCACACGCGCCAGTGTGCCCCAAGTGGCCAAGTGTGGAGGGTTGAGCTCGCGAGGGCGAGGCTATGCCCGGAGCTCTCCGTCCCCCCAGACCCTGAACGTGCTAACACTCGTACATACAATCCGCCTTTCGGTGGATCTTCTTTTTCGGCCTTTTGCTAAATCCTCTTTGCATAAGGGGCCTGAATATCCGGTGCGAGATGCATGATTCGGTAGGCATGTAAGTGACAATGCTCTTGTTCAAGACCCCAGGCTCGCGGCCAGCCGGTGCTGAATCCGCCACATCCTGTTCTCCCGGGGCAGAAGGTTGGAGGCCGCCGCCGACCGCGTTACGTGGCAAGCTGGGTGGCAGACCATCGCGCCCCCATTTATATGCAAGTCACCTCCACCTCCACCCCACCATCCTGCCTTCTCTCCCCATCCCACTCACCACCTTCAAAATTCTCGCCATCAAGGCACCCCTCCCCTCCCTCTGACAATGGGAGCAATTCCATGTGAGTGTTGGGCATGTCGTACCCAGTTCTGAACCCCCTTAGGGCTACGGACTTCTCTTCTGACGACATCAGCGTCGTCACCATCGACGCGACCAACATCGTCCAGCTCGAGAAGATCGACATGACCATGACCATGGCAGAACTGGGCCGAGCCGACGAGTTGGCGGCCGCTGTTGATGAGTGGAACAAGGCGTGGGTGAACAAGGCGTACGATGGCTGCCATCAGGACATCAAGAACGTGGTAAGTGGAACAGATTCCGTTTTAGTGGCCATCACCTTAGTCTCATCGCTGACTGAAACAGGCTTTCTCCGTCCTTCCCCGCATCAAGCTCTTTCTTTCGGAGGACTCGCGCGGTTTGTTCGTCTTCGACGCTGCCACAGGATTCGTCAAGAAGTCGTTCCCGTTCGGCTCGTCGATGCGCGACGTGTTCCTCAAGACCACGCATGTGGGCCATGACGGTCAAGAGCACCAGCTGCTCGACAAGTCCTACACGATCATGCTCCACGCCGGAGGTGCGGCTGTCCGCAAGGACCACGAGACGTTGCGTGACGACCCCACACGCAACGCCCTCCCCTTCAACAACGTTATCGCAGCTGCCAGGCGTGCCAGGGGCCTGCATGCTGTCGGTCTGTACCTCCGCGTGTACGAGTTCTTTGGAATGCTTCTGCTGTATCTGGGTCTCTCCATCGACATGGGGACACGCCAGTACAGCCATGACCGCGATGGCGTCAACGAACTCATCCGTGAGTTCTGCGCGGCCCAGGGCGTCAGCGGTGCCGACTGGAGCGCCATTGTGTATTGCCACTTTGGCAACCGCAACTTCACGGACATGCCCCCACCTGTTCTGGCATCCATGGAGAACCTCGTTGTTGGCGGCGGTCGCTTCACTAGCCGTCTGAACAAGATGCAAGTCAACGTGGTGAACACGTACTTCCGTCTCCTCCCCCGCGCCCTCACATCGACCAGCGGACTCACCGCCCCGCGTAGGGACGACCTCCTCGCCACTTGGAGTATCCTGTTCCACGAGTACAAGGATATGGGCCAGCAGTGGCGCGACGCAAACGTGTTCGGGGCGGTGCCCAGCTCCCACTAGTGGCCACTGCCTCGCCACAGCCAGTGAGCCACCGGCTCCTCACCTCTTGCCCCCCCCCCCCCCCCCCTCGTAGCAGGCCACACCAAGCCCAGGGTCCGCGCCGCTGCCCTTATACGCGACCTGTTCGGCACGAGGGCACAGGTGGTCGACGAGCGCTACTAACAGAAGCTCAAGGACCTGCGCAACGAAAAGCCCCATCCTGACTTTGCCGTTTCCTGTGGTCATTACCACGGACAACAAGAGGCCATACGCTTGGTGGACACAGGTCACCCTCATTTTTCTTGGAAGCATGTCCCTGTACCCGGAGCCGACAACCCCCGAGGCCCGTGGAGCACGTCCTCGGGGTCAATACATATTGGCCGTATCGTGCTTCACCGCACCAGACTGTAACTTTGTACACTTGCTTTTACCTGCAGCAATTGATTCGTTGGACGATTGACCTCTCCCAGGAATGAACAACTTTGACTTCGGTGGTTTGCTGTAAAGTGGGGTAATGCGGGGATTTTCGATTATTGCTGAATTTTGCGATATTTTCCGAATGGTTTAACGATGTGACTTGTGGTGTGTCTTCAGCGATCAGCGAGTTAGGGAGCCACGTCTTGAACACTCCACCCAGGAGGCGCATAGGGTAGTGTAGGAACATATTTTTATTTACATTTGTCACATTACATACAGTATGGCTAGTCGAGGGGAATAATCAAGTAGTCTTTGCTTTGCCCTTGCCCTTCTCATCCTTCTCATCATCGGCGTTCTCTGAGTCTTCAGCAACAGCCGTCCTACGAAGGGCTCCATATCCCATACCCATTACCTGCTCCCTTGTCAACATGCGCCCCTCATCTTCCATCGTCTGATACATTTGCGCCAGACGCGGACGAAGTACTTCCACGTTCATACGCCGCCAGCGGTCAAGATTGGTGTTGATGAGGTGCTTCAACGTTTCGGGATGGTACTGGGGCAGTAAATTGTGAATGAATCCGAGCCGTCCTTCGAAGGCTGTTGGTCCAAGCTCAATGTAGAATGCATCGAGAAGCTGGAGCTCGTGTTCGCTGAAGCCACTGCATGGGTCAGTACTAGAAGTACATGGCTCGCTGACAGCTGGTCGTGGGAAGGGGCGGTACCATGGTGGCTGGAGAGATGGTCCTCTTGCTCGTGGAGGTCGCTCGTGCTGTTAAGGCTACAGTCTCTGCAAGCTGTGTGTGGTTGGCGTTCATGTTGCTCCATCCACTGTCTGTTATGATGGGTGACAGGGCAGTCAACATGACGGCAGGTTATGGATGGCGGAGGTTGTTGAGTACTCTTGCGGGAGACAAGGCCTGACAGGTCGTTGGGCATGACGCCATCTTTACAGATGTGACGAAGAGAGTGTTGCTGGACAAGGTGGCCCATCAATGCCGTCGGAGAGAGGTCGTGCTCATTGCAGGATGTGAAAGGGCATGATACGGTCTTGTCGTCCTCCATAACGGCAATGTGTTGGGCGGTGTGCAGGCCTTGTTCCTTCTGGTCGGAACTGCCGGTCAACTTGGCGCCCAAAGGGAGTCATTATGAAGCGGCTAAGCAGCCTGAGACTCACAAGGTGCGAAGGCGATCAAAAGCAAAGAGCGTCGTATCCCCCAGACAGAAGGGACAGAGTCGCCTCATGGGGATAGACCCGTCACAGCACTGGGAGTCTTGAAGCAGGGTCGGCACAAGAGGAAGATGAGAGCGCATGTGATCGTTTTGCAAGGCGGTGGAACGACCAAATACCCTGCACGTCAGTACGCAACCAACGCTATGGGAGATAACATACCACTGGTGGCAGAACTCGCAGTACCGGACCACCGTCAAGGGCATGTCGTGACCTGTGTAGGACAGGAATCCATGAGAGCGCTCGAGGTGCTGCTCAGCCAAGGGCCGTTCGTGCAGTCTAGCAAATGAGTTAATCGTCATTGAGCACTGACTGTAGAACATACTGAACACCGAAAACTCCATGAATTGTCTTGATGCCACAGACAAAGCCATTCTTGCTCGTAGCGGTGGCACAGTGCTTCGCAAGGTGCCATGCTAGATCGTCGACATTCTGGAAGGGTCCGTCTTCGCAGTCGACAAATGGGCAACGAGACACATTGGTAATCTTGGTGTACTCGATGTGGAAGAGCGCGGCCAGGTTGCGGCGTGCATGGAGGAGGATGTGGCCTGGGTTGGCCGCCGCACCTTTCAAAGGACAGCCCCTCAATGGGCACCGACCGATGTTGGGGTGTAGTCCAACCCGTGAGCCGGCTGGTGGAAGTCCAACCGGGAATTGCGGTGGCGGTAGGAGCTCGGGGACCAAGCCCATCGTGCGCACTCGCTCGTAAGGCTTGCACTGACAGGTGATTTCCATTTGAAGGGGAGTAAGGAGGAGGCAGGTGAATGGGTTGAGTGTGAGTGCAAAAGGAAGTTATGTTGTGGACGTCGTGGAGTTGTTGTGTGTGGGCTAGCCATACCCGCCACCCGCTGCGCACCCTCCCACTTCTTGTGCGCCCTTTGAACTCCACACGCTCCACTTCTCACACCTCCTTTGCCCCTTGCTGTCCCCTGTTCCACAGCTCCACACTTCTGCTCTTCTTTTCACACTTCTGCTCTTCTTTTCACATTTCACACGCCCTTGGTGTCCTTTGTCGTTCCGCTCGACCTGCTTTTTCGCCACTTCCTACCCTCGTCCCATCGACCACGACAATGGTTAGCCCCAGCCCTTAGGGTAGTCAAGTACGAGCTGAACGCCCCGTGGCGGTGCAAAGATGCAGATAACAGAAGGCGCTTGTGTGAGCGCCCCAACACGCGCCCGTCGTGGAGACACGCGACACGAGTGGGCACCGCGCACCGCACAGGCGCACAGGCGCACAGAGATGCAAGAACGAGACTTATGCCCGCTGCTGTGACCACTGCCAGTCTGACAAGCACCTGCTCGATGACGACCCCTGTGGTTGCGACCCCACTTTTGTTTGGTACAGCGCTCCCTCCTACAGCCTGAACAGGACGGTACCCACTTTGACAACCTTTGCCGCTACTCAAGACAGACATACCAGCCGAGGACAACAACGCGCAGACTCAGACTTTGAACGGCCGAATGTGACAACGACTCCATTAATAACAGCTTGCGCGCGATTGTGACATCCAGACTGTGTACAGCTATGCATCAAGCAGACCCGTGCTGCCATTGAGATCCATTGTTCTATGGACATATACTACCTGCTTCGTTTCTTTTGGCCTGGCCTGTCAAGGAGGGAGCGCGACGCTCAAGATGCTGGCCTGCTTGTTGCGTTCGCCTACTGAGGCTTGCTGGTTGGCGAAAGTGCCGCTGTGTCGTTCACATCGGGCCCACTCGTCGTAGGCTCGCTTAGATCTGCAGATTGTGCCGCCTGTCTCCGGAAGTCCGCCAAGGAGGGCAAGCTGCCTAAGCAGATTGACAGCGTATCCTGGGCAGCATTCACCACGGCCACCTGCGAATCCGACAGCCGCTGGCATCCAGGGGGCCTGGGAATGTCGGGCGTGTCATTCTTGGGAGACTGGGGAGCCGGAAGCGCAGCATTGGGAGCCGGGAGCGCAGCGTTGGGAGCCGGCAGCGCAGCATTGGGAGCCAGCAGCGCAGCATTGGGAGCTGGAAGAGGAGCGTTGGGAGCCGGAAGAGGAGCGTTGGGTACTGAAGGGTCGCCCAATTGCTTCATGTACTGGACGGCACTGTCAAAGCGGCCCATGTTCACTGATCCCTGGAAGTCCGTCCTGGGCATGGTGTACAGGAAGCCGTTTTCGCCGTCACAGGGACAGGAATCCTGGCAGTGGCACTCCTGCGTTTGGGTTGACGGGCCCGCACAAGTCGAGGAAATACACAAGCACGATGAGGCGCCACCATGGACGCTGATGTGGAAGACGACGCTTTCAGGGGAAAAGTCATCATCGACCTCAGCGACCTTGAGCAGGATGTGCCCACGATCTTCGGTGGCTTGGTGCAGGAGAGGGAGGTGAGGTCGGTGCCGTTCACGGTTCCGAGCCGTTCATGATTTTTGCGAGCTGCGTTTCCTGTTGAGGTAAGCCTAGCTGTCATTGTTCTCCGACACATCCTCATGTCTACCTTCTGCGACTTGCGGGTCCTCTTCCGTTTCCACACGCGTTGAGGTCGGGCAGGAGGGATGGCGTCGATCAGCCTCTTTTGTTGCTCCAGTTGCTGTTCTTGGTACTGGACACGAGCCCTGAGACCAGCTACCCTCATAAAAGCTACCATGACTTCTATAGACACCTTTACCGTCGTGGGTGGTCGCTGATCACACCATACGGGTGGCCACGGTTGGGGTCGGGAGCCACTTGCGGCGTCGTCTGTCACTTGCGACTGGGGGGGTTCGGCGGGAGGGTGCTGGCTGTCTGTTTCCATAGTGAATGATGATTGGTGGAGATATTAGAGGTGAAAACAAGATGAAGACGTTGAGGTAGTGGGCGAGGAAGAGAAAGAGAAAAGCTGATCGCTGAGTCTGGCCAAGCGGCGGGGGGCGCCTGTTGGCCTGTTGAGCCGCACACAAAACTACGCCCACTCATCCGCACTGACGGCACCTGCTCTTCCCACCTGGCCACCTTCTGTCCAATGCTCCAAGGACTGCGCAGTTCGTCTGGACGCCCTTTCGTCGTGCTGGCCGTCGTCATGCTCCAAGCTCGACGTCTTATGTGCTATCGTCATCGCCATCTGGAAACAGGTGGGCCTGGTCCATCTTGGCTAGAGCTAGCAGCTAGCTAGCAACTCGTTGTGCCTTGTGTTGGGCCTGGGAAGCGGGCGTACAGAGGAAGCCATCATGCGACATGCGCAGGGGACGCCGTAACCAGTACATACCTCCTTGCTCGTGAGTGTCGCGGAGAGGTTTGGTCTTCACCTACTCTCCCATTCGTTTCGCCACCTGCCAACACTACTCCCTTTCTTTCACCATGACCATGAACGCCTCTGACCTTATCGACTGCATGGCTGTCCTGAACGCAGAACAAATGCAGCCTGTGATCGACGCTTTCAGGAAACAGCTCGAACCTGAAGCTGCCGACCTGGACCGTCGTCAGCAAGTTCTCGACGAGCGTGCGCACTCCAACGCCCACCACCACCGTGTCTTGTCTGATCCTGGACCCTCTCAGAGTATCCATGGCACGTCTGCAAGCATTCCCCACAAGACCGAAATCGCGTTCGTCGTGTAACGTGCACCTAAGACTACCTAGTGACAAGGTCTCCATCGCGATGAGGATTGGACGAGGTTGGTCATGAAACTTGCGGTTTCCAAAGTGCGCAAACACAACGGCCTTCCAAGCCGGGTGGTGTTCATCGTTGAGGGCACGCACCAGATGCACAGATGGTTGACGCCTTTGGGGCTGTGGCCGGTTTGACGTCCTGCAATGTCGACCGAGATTCCGAGATACTTGTACAGGATACCGTTGATAATGACCCAGCGAATGTAGAGGCCTGTGACGTTTCGGGCAAGCTTAGCAGCCGAACCCTTTGACAAAATCTCGTCCAGGGGCAGACAGTCCAATCCGTTGTCGACCATTTTCTGGTATGCTTGACATACGACAGCAGGGGCATTGTCGAGCAATATAGCGTGCACCGCAACTAAGAGCTGCATTGGTTTTTCCCCAAGTCGATGTACTTGTCCAAAAACATGTCCCGGAGCGAAGAACCAAAGCGGCTCGTCTTGCGGAGGAAGTTGTTGTCATCGAGGGCAAAAATGCCATTACCATCGGCCACAAGAAATTTGAAGATCATAGCGGAGGAGAGGACAGCCTGTCGGTGAGCTGGCTGTATGTACTATATGGACGCACCAGATTGATGATGGCATCTTGGCACCTCTCGAGACGGTCCTTGATGTAGTCTTCGCAGTGGCGGTCCATTAGGGTCGCGACCGTCGGCGTCGCCGCAGCCGGCTGTTCGTCGACTGGACACATGTCGGCAATGTTGCTTTTGTTCAGAGGCACCTCATCATCTTCGTCGTCGTCGTCCAAGTGCATCTGCAGAACGGTTTCGGGCTCTTCATCTTCATCAAAGTTGTCGGAAAGAACGGACAAGGACGATGACGGGGTGCGCTCCTTCTTCGCAGGGTTGGGTTCAGCCAGGGAGAGCTTGGTCGGCTTGATGTCACCCCCTTCATTGGATCATTGGAGGAGGAAGACAGCTTTCGCTTGTGGGTAGCAGACATGATTTAGGCAAACGTATATGTTTGTGTGTGAACTGCAACGGCAAGAGAACGTCAACCAAATGCATCCAGCACGACGTCGACGACGACGACCAACAAGGTCCATCAACCACCAGGGGGCACACGGCGAACACTCCACGAGGACAGAAGCAAGCAGGAGGTCTGTGAGTCCAAGCAGGAGGTCTGTGAGTCGGTGGTCCGTGATGAGGAGGCTCAACCGTGAAAGAGTCAAGCTACCGCACGAGTGTTTCCCGGATCGGGAACGTGGTATTGGGGGACGCGATGCGCTGTTGGCGTTGTTACATGGCATGCGCAGCGTAGTGACGGAAGTACGCCGTCCTTTGGGATACTGTCGCCTGTGTTCTTTTGGGTACAATGCGAGAGACGTAGGAGACTGTGGTATGACGATGACTTTGGCCGCCTACCCGTTTTGTGTGGCAGAAGGTGCTTGGGCACGCAAGTGACCCATGCGTGCTCGACTAGACTGTCCAGACCTGTGGAGCGGGCGCACTCGTGAATTCTAGCTGCTTCACAACCTGCCAGAGGCCATAGGGCGCAGCTGTTGCTTCTCATCCGCCAAGTGTGCGGCGTGGCATGTAAGTGCTGCCCGCGTCCCCATCGATCTCCCCATCTCCCTGGAACGCTCTTCCCCCTCCGTACTTGTCCTCCATCATAATCCTTCACGAATCATGAACTATGAGTAGAACAACAGCGTCTAGTTCACAGTTCATTGGTTTCAGTTTGTCTGTGGGTCGCTCAACCCAAGACAGCCGTGGTGCGCTTGTATTTACATGGGCTGACGGATAGTCATCTCAAATAATCAGTCCCGCCAACCTAGCTCACGTAAAAGACATTATGGTGTTGGCCCAAACGGATCAAAAGCTCTCCGACCGCGAGAGGGACATTGAGCGCCGCGAGGCTCTGCACGCTGCACGTGTTGCCAAGCTCCCTACACCCCCATTACTCCAGCGAGTCTCACGGTATCCCCAACGACAGCAGCGCCGCCCCCCAACATCACCAGAACAGCCCAAACCAACCTTCCCGTCGGTACCTCAACGTCGGCTCGTGTTATCGGTCAGAGTGTGAGTCTCCTCACTGGGTTTGAGTAAGAGCTGACTTTCTAGTCTGCCCCCATTGTCTAGTGGCAGTCATGGGTGAACACGGCCGTTGAGGTATGTGAATGTCACACGTCTTGTGCTGACCGACAGCGCGTGGTCGCGCAAGGCAGCTACGTCTGCCGGATCGTGGCTGAGGAGGGACAGGATCGGATCAACTTCCCACTGCGCCACAAGGGTGCAGGAGAAACACTGATGTTTGGCCTCAAAACCTACAAAGTGCCCCTCGCAGCGGAGACCACCACTTTCCACGTCCACAAGAAAGACGGCGACAACATGACGTACCTATACGACGTGTCCCGCGGAGACTTCCAGGCTACCACCACCACTACTGGCACCGACATGAGGGTCGTGTTCGATACCCTGGTCAACTACTTGAATGATTTGCGCAACGCAATCCAAGCTACCAGCACAGCCCGGCCACCTCCCTTCATCGCCTCTGCCTTTGGAACGGCCCCGCATGAACCTTCCAGGCGCAAGAGGGCCGCCTTGAATCAGGCTTCACAGCAGGTGTTGCCGCCCCCCACCCCTCCTCCACAAGCTAGCTCGACTCCCCCCTCTGGCTACCGTTGCTCGACGAGGGCCGCGAGCAAGCAAGCAAGGAGTCAAATTGGTACATATCCTGTATAACACGTCCCACTCTGACGAGGAATAGGTATCATCCTTGTATACAGCTTCTGACATTATCATGACGTCGCTGGCGGTGGCTCGTGTGCTGGCTGGATATGTCTTTTGTCTTTACAAAGATCTTTTCCCAGGCCCCCTGTACTGTACTGCATATAGTGGTCTGCACATATGTATCTGGGTCTGTACAAAGATGACCCTGAAGCAACATCATCCCATTGTAACATTGGGAAGAGCTATTCGCTACTGGCTGGGACACCTGCACATGATCACACAGCAACTCTTTGATCTGGTATCTGATATCGAACGGCATCGTGTGTGCATATCATGTCGCTAAATCTCTATCAACAGCCACGTTTTAACTTGTCTCGCAGCCACCATGGGCGCCGAGCCAACAACCATGCTGCAGCGCCACATCCTAATCTCATTCGGTATTCTGAGGAACAAGCACAGCTACAACAGACCCATTCGGCCCATGCAACCCAATAGAGAGCGCAAACGGCGCTGGCGAGCTGTCGCGGACAATTTCAGGTTTCGGAGACCCGGAATGGCCCAAGGGTGAGCTCGTGCGTGGCACTGGTGAGCCGGTACGGTCGCCGAGGGAAGGAGGCGTCTCGCCCATCGGCCCAATGTCCTCGTTGGTGAGGGGCTCCCGGATATCAGCGGAGACACGCAAAGGAGTGGGGGAGAAACTTACAGCTGTAAACGAAAGCTCGGGGATGGGGTTGGTTCGCTTGGCCTCTGCAAGCCGGTCATAGGGGCTGGCAAGCACCTCGGTCCCGTCCAGGCTCATGCGGGGTTGGTGGAGAAAGAGGTGGGCTGCGAGGCGCTGCATCTCCTCGGGAGCGGTGGCACTAGGGACTTCGGCCACTTGACCGCCATCTGCAAAACGTTTGCTCAGCAAAGCTGCCTGCTATGAAAGACTTACTGCTCGTTCGGGACCACATAAGCCCAACGTCCTGGTCACCCGATACCTGGATGCGCTGCAGCGCATCCCACGCAGACAGGAGCTGGTCCTCAAACTCGACCACGGACGCCGTGTGTCCGTCAAACCCGCGGATAGCGTCGATGCGATAGCCGTTGAAGACGTCAAAGTAGCCTCCGTCAGAGGAAATGTAGGAATCGAGACTGCTGCTGTGTTGTGATGAATAGACCGAGTCCAAGCTCTGTGCGACGCTGTCACGAGGCTCGTGGTGGGGGTAGTTGTAGTGGATGTGTTGCTGCTCTGTGGGAGACTCGACAACTTGGGATGGCGCATGGCAGTTGTAGCAGTAGGGATCGGGACAGTGCTCGCGGTCATGAAAAGTCTCGACGTGCTGGTGGCCGTGATCGTGCTGGCAGTCTCGCGCGTTGACCCGTTGTTGGTACGCGCGGTACTCTTCCGCGTGATATGGGTAATGCTTGTGAATGGTTTCGTGGATTGGGCGGTGGCAGGTACATTCGCAAGGCCGACCGTCACGCGTAATCGAGGGCGTGGTGCGGGGGGCCAGTCCCGATGGCGGCGGTTGGACCGGGGACGGCGAGGGGCGCTGCGGGGATCGGGGCGGAAGGGGTGGGGGAACCGAAGGCTGGGGCGTGTGTGTAATTCCTTGGGAAGCCCGACAGTCCGACTTGAGCAAGTCAAGGACACCATTGGGAGTCGGGTGAGGAGTCGGAGCGTGAACTGTTTGGTATGGCGGTGTGTACTTGGGAGCCTGGACCGGTGGGGTGAGAGCAGGAGGGAGTGATGGCGGGATAGGCGTAGGGGTACGCGGGGGGTCGTCGTACCGCAGGCGAGGGAGAGTCTCGTCCTCCTCCCAATCATAGGTGCTGTCACGAGTGGGAGTGCGGCCTGGCTTGCAAGGTGGAGGCGAGCTGGCGACGTCCATAGAGGGTGGACTCTGCGTCCTGAGAGGCGGGGGTGAAGGCAGGAACTGTGCCAGGTGAGCCGGGTCCATCGGTACAGATGGTGAGTAGAACATGGTACCGAGGGTGAGTGGTCGATGGGAAAATGGGGCAAGACAGTTATATGTCACCCCAACAACGCGCCCCTGCACACTCATGATGTCAGTATTGGTCAGTCGTTCCCCCTCCTCTCTACGGCAGATTGTGCATGATATAACCCCTCTACTCGCCACGGCCGTCTCGGGCGTCTGCGGCGCCTCGGTGCCACACGCCGTGGCGTTCTCAAAGATCCTCGTCGAGACAATGTCTCGTCTCAGGACAAAAACACTACCACTCTAGAGGCGCTGCTTGAGGTACTCGACGACCTTGTCAATCTCGACCTCCTCGCCGTTGTCCTGGCCGGCCTCGCGCTCGACACCCTGCTCCTTGATGCGAACGATACCCTTGGCGAGCTCGGCGGGGGCAAGGATGGCGACGTAGCGAACCTGGTCGTTGTCGGCGACAGCCCACTGGGCGGGGGCCTTGGGCTTGGCCTTGTACATGAACTCGGCCTTGATGCCGGCGTCCCAGAGCTGCTTGGCAAACTTCATGCGCTCGGGGAGGAGACCACCACCGAGAGCCATGACGTACACCTGGGTCTCCTTGGAGCGGGGCTTGGCGGCCTCGGCGCGACGGCGCTGCTCGAGGATGGCGTACACGCGCTCGACACCGATCGAGACGCCGACACAGGGGACGAGCTCGGAACGCTTCGAACCAGCAGCCTCGGCGAACATGTTGACGAGGTTGTCGTAGCGACCACCGGCGGCGATCGAGCCGACACCCACGGCGCTCTCGTCGACACCGTCCTCGTTGACGACCTTGGCGGCCTTCTTGCCCTTGGTCTTGGCGTCGCCCTCGGCGGCAGCGGCAGCAGGCGCGGCGGGGGCCGAGCCGTCGGTGACAGCCTCGTAGATGATACCAGTGTAGTAGTCCAGACCACGAGCGAGGGACATGTCAAAGCTAAAGCGGCCGAGGATGCCGTAGCAGTTCTCAAGGTAGTCGAAGAGGATGGCCATGTCGTCGAGACCGGCCTTGGCCGAGGGGATAGAGTTGAGCTTCTCGTCGCCCTGGAGCCTGGCAAGGACCTCGCGGCCCTCACCCTTGATGCCGACGTACTCGCCAATGCGGTCGGCGATGACGGGGTCCAGACCCTTCTCGACGGTCATCTCCTTCTTGACGTCGGCCCACGGCAGCTTGTCGAGCTTGTCAACAGCCGACGAAATGGCACGAATCTTGTCGGCGGGGACACCAGCGAGCTCAAAGATACCGTCAAGGATCTTGCGGTGGTTGATCTTGATGGTAAAGTCACCAATCTCGAGCTGCTCGAGGCACTCGGTCAGGATGAGCATGATCTCGGCGTCGGGGACCATGGCGTCGTAGTTGCCGGCAATGTCAAAGTCGCACTGGTAGAATTCACGCATGCGGCCCTTGGACATGACGGGCTGGTCGCGACGGTACACCTTGGCAATGTGGTAACGCTTCATCGAGGTGATACCGTTCATGGCGACGTAACGGGCAAAGGGAACAGTCAGGTCGTAGCGGAGCGAGCAGAGCTCGCCGCCCTGGTCCTGGAGGTCGTAAATGAGCTTGGAGTCCTCGCCGTACTTGCCGGCGAGAATGTCCTTGAGCTCAAAGACGGGAGTGTCGATGGTCTCAGCGCCGTGGGTGGTGAAGATGTTCTCAAGGGTGTTAAAGATCTTCTTGCGGAGCAGAGCGGCAGCGGGCTTGTGGTCGAGGGTACCCTTTGGCACCTTGAGCTGGAAGCCGGCAGGACCGTCCTTCTTGTCCTTGGTCTGCTGAGCCTTGAGGGCCTTCATCTCGTCAACCTCCTTGCTGGCATCCTGCTTGGCGACCTTGAGGGCCTTGATCTTCTCCTGCAGCTCCTTGATACGGTCGTCGACGGGGGACATGGTGGGAGTGGATGTGGGTGTGGTGTAGAGCCGAAGGCGTGGAAGGGTGGTGGGAGCGAGCGAGAAAGGCAGAGAGGTGGTTAAAAGTCGTCTAGAGCTTCGCACAAGCATACAGCTGCCCTAGTGATGGCCGAGGTTTGCGCGTTGTGTGTGTATGTTGTTGTTCGAGTCAAATGATGCTCTCTTGGCCCAGTGATCGTCAGAAAACTCGGAAGATGACCCAACCTTTGGGTGTGGGTGTAATTTTGCTTCCGTCGTTCCTTTCCACCCCTCACACTCGGATCCGCCTGTACAGGTTAGAAGAAAGTCGTCGACGAGAGGGCCTCTTGTAACAATCCCTCTCCCCCACACAATCACCATGACAGCCATTGCGAGGGACATTGTGGGTCAAATACAACGTCGTGCTTCCGCTGACCACCTTTTAGCGCAAAACCTTCCCTGGTACCGACGATGTGGTCGTGAGCTACATCGCTGGTCTGGCGGACGACGAGGACGAGGAGGTCGATGACATTGTCGAGATGACCCGCGGCATGCTCCAGGCTGGACCATCCAGCAGCGACAACAAGGCCCTGGACGATTTTATGAACCGTCTTGTCGAGTACCTCGAGTCGCAGTCGTCCAAGCGCGTTCGCCGCACGACCCAGGCCACTCGTCTCGACAAGACTGTCCACATGCGCTCCCAGCAAATGTCGGCCACCATTGCCATGTCTGGTACGGTCGACCTCGACTCGGTCAACAAGGGCCAGGCTTCGCGTGTCGACATGGCCAAGCTGGCCAAGGCTGAGGCCAAGCTCAAGGCCAAACTCGAGAAGCGTGCCCGCCGTTCGCTTTACGAAGGCTCCAAGCTTATCGAGGCCCAGAAGAAGCAGCAGACGTACGAGGAAATGTTCATGAAGGTCAACCCGCTCGACCTGTCGGGTGCTGCCAAGGGCAAGTCCAAGGACATCCACCTCACCAACATCGACGTCTCGTTTGCTTCCAACCGTATCCTCGCCGGTGCTACCCTTACCATGGCCCACGGCCGCAGGTACGGTCTCATTGGTCGTAACGGTGTGGGTAAGTCGACCCTTCTGCGTCACATTGCGCTCCGTGAGGTGCCCATCCCCACGCACATTTCGGTTCTCTATGTCGAGCAGGAGATTGTCGGTGACGACACCACGGCCATCAACACGGTCCTCAAGGCCGACGTCTGGCGTCACAAGTTGATGCAGGACGAGATCGAGGTCAACGCCAGGCTCCAGCAGATGGAGAAGGAGCCCCTCCCTGCCGACGCCCCCGAGGCTGTCAAGACCGAGTTTGCACGCGAGCAGGACGACCTGTCGGTTCGTCTTGGTGACATTCAAAAGAACTTGGTCGACATGGAGGCCGAGACGGGTCCTGCCCGTGCCGGTGCCCTTCTTGCCGGTCTCGGTTTCTCCGAGGAGGACCAGCAGCGTCCTACTTCGTCATTCTCTGGTGGTTGGCGTATGCGTCTCGCGCTCGCCCGTGCGCTCTTTGTCAAGCCCGACCTTCTCATGCTCGACGAGCCTTCCAACATGTTGGATCTCAACGCCATTGCGTGGCTCGAAGACTACCTCCAGACGTGGCCTGGTACCATTCTCGTTGTCTCGCACGACCGCGCGTTCCTCGACGCCGTCGCGACCGACATTGTGCACCAGCACTCGCAGCGCCTCGACTACTACAAGGGCAACTTTACCAACTTTTACGCCACCAAGCAGGAGCGTGCGCTTGCCCAGAAGAAGGAGTACGAGACCCAGCTCGCCTACCGCCAGCACCTGCAGGCGTACATCGACCGTTGGCGTTACAACGCCAACCGTGCCCCACAGGCCCAGTCGCGTATCAAGATTCTCGAAAAGCTCCCCGAGCTCGAGCCTCCCGAGGAGGAAGACGCCAGCGAGCGTTTCCGTTTCCCCGACCCGGAGAAGATTTCGCCCCCTCTCCTGCAGCTCGACGAGGTTACCTTTGGATACACTCCCCAGAAGATCATCCTTGGCGGCGTCAACGTCGATGTTGGCCTCGACTCGCGCATGGCCATCATCGGTCCCAACGGTGCGGGTAAGTCGACGCTCATCAAGCTCCTCACCGGCAACATCCAGCCGCAGAAGGGTACCGCGACGCACAACTCGCGCTGTCGCATTGCCTACTTTACCCAGCACCACGTCGACCAGCTCGACCTGACCATGACCTCGGTGCAGTTCCTGCAGCAAAAGTTCCCCGGAAAGACCGAGCAAGAGTACCGCTCCCACCTGGGCCAGTTTGGTATCACGGGTCTCACTGGTCTGCAGCGTATCGGCACCTTGTCCGGAGGTCAAAAGTCGCGTGTGTCGTTTGCCGTCCTGTCCATGCTCCGCCCGCATATCCTGCTCCTCGACGAGCCCACGAACCACCTCGACGCAGAGGGTCTCGATGGCCTCGCCGAGGCCGTCAAGGCGTTCAAGGGCGGTGTCATCCTCATCTCGCACGACGAGCGCTTCATCAACGCCACCGCCGACCAGCTCTGGGTGTGTGCCGAGGGCACGCTCTCAAAGTTCAAGGGCGACGTCGCCGCGTACAAGAGTCTTATTGTCAACCAGCTCAGGGCAAAGCTCAGGCCGTGAGCGTGAGCGTGACTGTGGAGTTGGATTTAGTCGTGTCTGCAGCATCTTATTGGATCAATCTGGCGTAGATGGTGGCATGTGTCTATGGTACTGGTACTGACTCCTTCTGACGAGTGGTGGGGGTTCCGTTCCGACGGGATTGGTTGTTGGTTATTTTGGCTATCCGTTCTTCGTCTACTGTTTTACAGACTAATCCGTTGTTGCCTCTCCTGCCAGCTGCGAGACGCACTTCACAGGCATCATCACAGCGCTCGTTTCTGCGAGGCAACGAACCGCCTAGCGCTTCCTGGCTGCAGCCTTGGCGTACCGCTGCGCCCCGCCCGCAGCGGCCCAGTTGGCCGCCGCAGTGGACACGAGAAACTCGTCCATGCTGTGTCCCCAGCCACTGGTCCAGAGCGCAGACTCGGCATCCTGGAGCCTGGCCTGGTGGGACTTGGCCTGGGTCTTGGTGGTTTTGGTCCTGCTGTACTGGTGCTGTGCGGCGTAGCGTGCAGGTGTGGGCGTGAGTGGTTCGTCGTCCAGCTCGTCCGCCTGCTGCCTGGGCTGTGGCTCAGGGGACAGCGAGGGCGTGTTGGAGGCCGACGACGAAGGGTACTGGGCGTATCCGTACGGCAGGGGGTGGTTCTGATACTTTGCCCTTTTGGACGGAGGGAGGAGGCTGGCATGCGTGTTGTCCGGCTCCAGCTCCTGGGTACGCTTGACTGGTGGGGAGAAGAGCATTGCCTGTGGTGGACACGTGAGCCAAGAGCTGAAGGGCAATGAGAGGTGTGAGTCACTTACGCTGACCTGACTCCGCTCTTCCGGGTTGAACATGCTCAAGATGGCCTCAATGTCCACATCGCCTGCGCCCACGCCCACGCCCACGTCGCCACCCGGCGCACCAAGGCCCATCCTTCCGAGCTCCGAGGACATGTGCGCGTCCATCTCCTCGTCCGCCTCGATGCCCATTTCCGACGCGAGGCTCGAACACGTCTCGCTCATACTGTCCTCGGACGTCAGGTCGCCCTCGAGCGGGTCATACAGGCGGTCGGTGTAGAATGCCGAACCGTATGGGCCGTTGTGTGTGCCCTCGATGGGCGAGCCGTTACGGGATCCAGGCATGCCGAGCAGGCCGAGACCCATGGCAACCCCGAGGCTGAGGTTGACGCCGTCGGCCGTTCCGGCGGCACCCGGCCCAGATCCACATCCAGATGCCACACTGCCGCTGCCGCCATACCCGACCATTGGCACGATACCGGCGAGATCAGCCTTCGTGATCCCCAAGTGGGCCGGGACGTTGAGCCACCGCTGCTCGTCCTCGTCCCACACCAGAGTGCGCTGGTATTCGGGGGGGATACGCGCCGCGCCCCATGCGGGCTTGATGGTCTCGTGGAAGGAGGCGTGGCCGACCTCGTGGTGTGTCGAGGCCGTGTGGATCGTGGGGCGGAGGCCGCGGACCATGATGCGTGTGTGGGGGAGGTGTGGGCGGTGTACGTGATGTATGTGTGTCGGTGGTATGCGATGCGCCTGATCTTCTTGGCTTCTTGCTTCTTGCTTCGCTCGAGTCTGGGTCTGGAGAAGCATAAGCCACTTGCGAGTCGGCTCGAATTTTGTACTCGCATTGCCACAACGCGGCCAACACAATGATGGACACACCCCTGCCACCAGGGGCCTGCGCTTGCCCCCGCCCCCATCGCTGCACACTGCAACGGGACCACTGATGCGGTGAGGCATGCTGAACGGTCCTGGCGACGTGTGCGCGCACACATTGTCTGGATCTGGGCCAGAGGGTCACATCCGGAGGTCGCGGACGAGGTGTCATCAGCCAAAAACGTAACAGTGAACGGGTGGGTGCCACGGGGCCACAACGAGCGGACGGTCTGATCCGACTGATCGAGATCCAGCCCCCCCGAGGCCAAACCGCAGTCGCAAAGGGTTAATGTCAAACGCGCTGGGTCCTCTAGTTGTCCAAGCGTCGACTGTCACGACTGGTAATGCCACCCGGGGCCACGGAATGAGAGTCCCAACGGGGCAGTTGGTGCAGCTGGTGATGGGCACTGTCCTATATACTTGCTTCATGTAAATACCTCAAAACCAGACACCTGACGTCGCACGCTGCAACCGCCCATCACCCACCCAAGCACCACGCCGCCGTTGATGCGGTGGCTCCCTATCCCGATCTGTTCGCAGGCATTTGACTGCATCAAAGGACTATCAAGAAAGGCCACTTCCAAAACGAGTGTGAGCGAAAAAGGAAAGTTTACGGAAACCTTGAGGGACCGGGGTCCTACCAGACACGAGTGTCAAGGAGGAGGTCGGCCGAGTGCTCGAGACCAAGGCAGGCCTTGAGGAACTGGTCGAGGCCGTTGCGCTGGCGGTTGAGCGAGTTGACGACGTCGGTGCCAGGCTTGACGAGGGGGGCCTTGAGCATGTAGCTGAGGAGCGAGAGGACCGAGTACAGGGGCTGGAACTCGGGGGCCTCGCCCTCCTTGGGGACCTCGCGGTAGGTGACGCGGGTGAGAAGGTCGGCAAGGATGGCCAGGTCGAAGATGAGCGGCGTGGCAAGGAGCGAGTCCTCGCACTCGTTGAAGATGTTCATGACGTTGCGGCCGCCCATGAGGAGCTCCGAGTAGTACTCGTCAATGGCGCGCTTCGAGTCACCGACAGCGGGGACGTGCTTGATGACGACAATGTGGTCGGGGTGCTCGCCCTTCTTGACAACCTCGCCAGTCTCAGCCGAGAGGTCGGCGGCGGTCTTGAAGAGGACGGGGTTGGCAGCGACCATGTCGTCGACGACCGACGACTTGGAAATCTCCTTGGAGCGGAACTGCCTGGCCGACGAGAGGTTCTTGCCGTCGTTGTTGCCCAGGTGGTTGTACGACGAGATCGAGAGGGGCTTGATACCGGCGTTGACGAGGAACTCGGCAAGGACCGACTTGACCTTGGTCTGGCCCGACTTGAAGTCGTCACCACCGATGAAGGCCTTGTGCTGCTCGGCGAGCTCAATGCAGCCGGGAACAAAGGTGTTCTGGGGCGAGCCGTTGATGAAGGGGTAGCCCTCAAGGATGGTAGCGACGGCAAAGATGGTCGAGGGCGAAACCTCCTCGTGCGAGTTCTTGATGGCGTTGAGGAGGTTCTCGGCCGTGTCGTTGACGCCGGGAATAATGTCGGCGTAACGCTCAGTGTTGGCGGTCCAGAGGACAACAACGTTGTCGAGCTGGTTGGCCTCCTTGAAGTCACGAATGTCCTTGCGGATCTGCTCGAGGTGAGCGAGCTTGTCGTCGCCAGGGATGAGGTTGTCGGCGCGGTCGGCCTGGTTGGCGGCAATAAAGTCCGGGTAGTAGATGGACGGGAGGGGCTTCATGCCCTCCATGTAGGGGACAAGCTGACGCTGGAGGTCATAGTCGAGAACCTTGCCGCGAGCCATGGCCTTGTCAAGGGCAACACCCGAAATGTCCCAACCACCAATGACAAAGTCGTTGGGGTGGACCATGGGGAGCATGTCCGAGATGGGGACGTGGACCTGCTTGCCGGTCTCGGGGTCGACACCAAGCGACACGGTCGAAGCACGGACGAGCGAGCCAATGTAGTTGGGCTGCTGCTCGCCGTTCTTCGTGTGCCACGAGATACCGTGCTTGTTGGCGAGGTTGGTGGCCACGACGGTCGTACCGTTGTTGCCGCCAATGCCAACGAGCATGAGGCTGTTTTCCCTGTCAGCGGAGAAAAACAAACGTGTGTGGGGGTGGCCCTGAGAGATGCTGGGCGCACGGTAGGACTTACCCGACGCGGCCGACGGTGCTCTTGGTGAAGAACTCAAAGTTCTTCTCGGTCTTCTTGACCGTCAACTTCCCATCCGCGGTCTCTGGAGAGGGTGGTCAGCTATTGCATGAAAGAAAGGTCGTATAGCTGGTTGTTTTGTTACTCACTGACCACGTCCGCGCCACGGTCGGTGAACCTAGCCTTGATGCCACCATCCACGTAGGAAGTAGAGTCCGACTCGACCTTGATGAGGCCGCCGGCAGGAGCACGGCGGGCACTCGGGTGCACCTTGGACTGGTCGGCCGACCCGTTAGGGAGGGCAAACGAGTCGTGGTGACCGTTGACGTGAAGAGCAGTCGGGGACATTGTTGGAGAGATTTGAGATTGAGAGGTTCCTGGGGTGGATGATGGCAATTACTGGGATATGAGAGTGGGCGCGGCGGTGTGGGTGATGCCGCTGGGGAGAATCAGCAGTGTTCACGGTGGTTGAGGTGGGTCGAGGGCGCTGCTGGCACGCGACCAGCAGCAGTGAAAGAGAGAGACACGCACCGGTGGGAGTTGTGAGCGCTGCAAAGAGAGTTCGAGAACATAAATTCCTTGCCGTGGGCGAAGGTGAAAGTGGTAGTATGCGCAACGGGTAGAGGTGCGCTGGATGCTTGGGTGCTATAGGAGTGTGTTGGTGGGGAACAACAAAAGAGATGACGGATCGGAGTCCTTTTAAAGACGCAGACTGTGTGGGCCGTACGAGAGCGATGAATGCCAAGGCTGGGGCGGGCGGACGGGCGGACACCCGCGTCTTTGCGCATTCCCTGCGCTGGCCACGACGATGCAGCGGGGGCTATCTTTCTGTGCGCGTGTGCGTGCAATGAGATAGAATATTGCCTGTACGGGATGCATGTGTTCCACCCATCCTGCGCGAGACCACCGCCGCCACCACCCACCCACCCAAACCCACTCGCCGCCTGCCTTGTTCGGGACATGCCGCGTCAGAGAGTGGACCGCGTCGCCCGCGCGCGCTGTATGGGTGGGTGGGCCCTGTTGAACCCTTTGCCCGTCCACGCTGCCCCCCCGCCTACGGCCGCATCTCCCTCTCCCCCAAGGCCTAATACCCACAACCACCACGGTTATCGCGCGCACGCAACATCCATGGGGCCATGAACACAGATATCCTAATGCTGCCAAATACAGTTCTGCCATGGCTCCATGATTTCAAGGCTGACGCGTCGACCTTACGGCATCCCCATCGCGCACCGCTTTTGTTGACACCCAGGTCCCAGGACATGTGATTGTGTGATTTTGGCTCCAGCGGCCAGTGGGATCTGATAATCGTAATCTCTCTCCAGTCCATCATTGATCCAATTCTTCTGTCCTGCTTCCTGGCCCCCCCATACGCCACATAGGGCAACACCGAGCCCCGAGCCCGAGGCAGAGAGGGCTTTCCAGGTGCTGTGGAGCCCTCGAGCCGCGGAGCACCGCCGCAACATCGGGCTCACCACATCAACGTCCGCCGGCCGCCGACGGCCAGTACACGCCGCCCGCTTGTTCGTCGCCGCGCGTCGCCGTGGCCAACGCAACGTGGAAGACGGAGGATGGAGGATGGCGCGCATGGCTCTTCTTTTTTTGGCGGCGTGTATATGCGTGCTCTGGCGTCAGGAGCTGGTCCTGCTAGTCCTGATCTGGGCGCGCCTCGTAAGGAAACCTAGGATCCTAAGCCTGGCCGTTGGGCCTTGGCCACCCCTGCTTCCCCACACTGTTCTGCGATGTTATCTCCGGTAATCGGGGATCGCGAGAGAGTCAGGCGGAGCACCCACGCAATAGCTTTTTTTGACGGATGACGGAACGCAGACGCGTTCCAGGAGGCGGTGTGTCTCAGCGGCAGCCAGTGTCCGCGCGCTGTAACGACCGGCCCACAGGACGGGGGTAGGTTTCGTGGCGAACGAGGCTGGATGGCGCCGCCGAGAGGCGTGCAGGCGAGCCAACTGCAGCTGGACATGGCCGTTTCGGCGACAGGAATGCAAACGCCAGAGAGGATTGTGTGACAAGGTGAACGCATGGGCCAGCCGGCTGGGACAGAACCGCGGCACAGGCTGATACTTTGGTCAAAGCGCCGGCACACTGGCTGCTCGAATGCGATGTAGGTCGTTGCGTCGTCCGGGAAGACGCGTGATACCACTGGTCACTTTGGGCGACGTTGGCCAAAGCCGGTCAGGTAAGCGGCGGCGGTGACTGCGCAGCCTGGAGTAGGCTGGAGTGTGCGGAGAAGAGACCTGGGGCCGACGGAGGCGGGATAGCCCCTGGTTGTGGCCCGGTGGGGGTTGATTCAATGGATGTCTGCTGCATGAGCTGGTGCTTGCCATCCCTGGAACTGGAGCGGTGCCGGCGGTCCGCTCAAGTCAGCAGCTCAGCAGTCCGCCGGGTGGCTGAGAGATCAATATCGACAGCCTTGGGTTGGGGTTGAGCATGAGGGCCAGATGGAAGCATCTAGCGTGTGGGCATGAACGTTCGGACATTGGTGGGTTCCTTCGCCTCATCGCCTGCGTCCAACATCAGATTCTCGTGGTCGTCCTGTGGTCGTCCAAAGTTCAGAAGGAACAGCAGACAACTCGTATCTGGGAGGTTCATCGTTCGTCCCTGGCGCAAGAGCGTGCATTGAAATCAGCCAGAGCGTTCGTTCCAATGTCACCAGCGTCCTGGCACCAAAGCTCGTTGCAAAGCTTCTTAACCCACGTCTCTGTGTACTGGCGAGTTCGTGGACGTCCAGTGCGTGTCTGACACCGCTGGACTATATGAAGCAGTATGGCTTCTTGCCGCAGCATCTTTTGGACGAAACATGGTGTGGAAAGGAGGAAGGTGGACGGCAGGTGTTTTACGAAACCGATTGTTGTGCTGGACCGTGGTACCGTGAGCCGCTGATATGTTTCGTTGTGCTACTCAATTTGCGTCTTCCTTCTCACCATCCAAGTCACTTATCGCGCATCCTTTACGGCCGCATATACAACCCATCTCCATCGCCGCCGCGTATGGCCCCAGTCACAATGGCGCCAGGACTCGACGGCGATGAGCCCTCATTGTGCCGTGCATCCACCAACCCGTCCCTGCCGGCCGATCACAGCAACCAACACACCGCGTACATCACCTTGAGCGATGCATCCAACTCGGACACGATACCCACCACATGGTTCTCGCCAGACATCGCCATCCTGATCGATGACATACGCGCCGAGCGCACGAAACTCGATGACCAAGCTACCTTCCTCGTCGACAGCATGCACTCAATGTGGGTAGCGGTGGATCAAGTGGAGAAGACCCCGACGCGTCCCAAGGTCCAGATCACCCGTCGAGAAGACAATCTCCGCCCTGGTCGTTCACCCTTGGCCGCCAGTCGCTACGAGATCGCGCTCAAGATGCGTGTCATTGCCACTCTGGTCGTCATTGTCGCCACCGCGGGTTCCAGTCGCCACCGTGGTATCGAGACCAAGTGCTGGAAGTCAAGACTTGCAAAGCTACCACCTGGGACTGTGACGCGTATTCTTGAACTCCTCCTTTCGGCCATCACCAGTCTCGATCCGGTATGAGCGTGTGTTGCGCGGTTGTGGACGTTGATCGTCCGTCCGCGGCCGCCTTCTCCCGTCGGCATACCTCTCGCACCGACTGTATCTGCGCTCTCCCGACCTCCTCTCTCCCTCTCCGAACACATAACATTGTCACCTAGCCCTGTCACTCCCACCTAGTTCCTTGTAGACTCTAAACATAGCCTGTCCACGATATACGATGTATCCTGCCTTGCCCACGACCGCCACCACGCCGCGCATCTCCGATCTCCGCCGCTTTTGAATCCTCCTGACGTCACAGTCCCAAACCGCAGCAACATCCACCTTCCCTTCCACTCTCTTCCTCATCTACCTTCTCCGCCATGCCCACACGCGTCGACAAGCTGGAATTTCTCGTCCTCGTCGACAACAGCATTGAGCGCCTCCAAAAGCTGCCGCCGGGCTTCATCCACGAGCTCCCACAACACATCCATGCTCCTGGAGCTGAACGCGACGAGCTGACGGGGCTGCCGCTCACGCGGTTCGCAAACTTCTGCTGTGGCGCGCATGGTCTGAGCATCCTGCTGGTGGGTGTTGCAGCTTAGCTGTGCGGATCCGAGCAATCTCTAAGCTACATCGTGCTGACACCTGACTTTGCAGACCACCACGATCGGGGACAAGTCCTACAAGGTGCTCTTCGATGCCGGGCCAGAACACCTCAGCATCGACCGGAACGTCCAGGCGATGAAGACGGACCTCACGGACGTGGAAGCTATCGTGCTGAGCCACTGGCACGTAGATCGTGAGCTGCGGGTGCTGTGCAGATTAGCTGACACTACGCAGACTCTGGCGGCATTGTGCGCGCACTCGAGATGCGCCAGGAGCAGGCCGCGCGCGCCGGCAAGGCCCTCCCGCCCCTCCCGGTCGACGTCCACCCGGCCAGACCTATTCGGCGCGGCCTCGCCCCGCCGCCCAAGTACATACCCATCACAAACTGGACTGCCGACCCGACGTATGCCGAAATGGCCGCGGCCAACGGCGTGGCCGTGCCCAACGACCAGGCGCACGAGGTCACGAGCGCGGCGGGGGACAGCACGGGAGTCCACGTCTCGGGCGAGATCCCGCGTGTGCACCCGTACGAGCGCGGCCTCGTGGGCGCCGTTACGTGGATGGAAGGAGAGGACGGAGGCGCCGGCGAGTGGATGACCGACGAGCAGATCCGGGACGAGCGATACGTCGCCGTGGACGTAAAGGGCAAGGGCCTGGTCCTGTTCAGCGCCTGCTCCCACGCCGGGATCAGCAATGTCGTCACCGACGCGATGGAACGCTTTGACAGGCCAGTACACATGGTCGTCGGCGGCCTGCACCTCGTCCCCGTGGAAGTGCAGCCCGTGGACGAGACGGTCGATTTCCTCGTGCGCAGGGTGCAGCCGCGTCCGGACTGGGTCCTCCCCTTGCACTGCACGGGTATGGCGCCGCGGGCAAAGCTGGTCAATGCGTTTGGGGAGAAATGCGTGCCTGCTGGAGTGGGTATGAAGGTGGTTGTGGACGGAGATGACGCCCGAGAGGCGGCACTGGACGATGTGGATGTCGGGGTGGTGGCCTAGGTGATGGGGGAGGGGTTGCGGCAGACCTCGTGGGTTGTCTAGGGGAGCAAGCTGTGTACTTCATGCATTGGACTGCTCACTTGCGAAACTACACCAGTCAATCGGCACCAGCAATGGGTAAGGCTTGGCGGCAACTGCCCGCCCCTGTCGGCGTATAACGCAAGTCGGCCTCCACTTGACCGCAGGAGAACGACCGTGCACGCGAGAACACTGCTAAAGCAAAGCACGCAGCTTGGAAGGGTGTGACTCTCTTGGGCATGCTTGCTGACAAACTTGGGGATGCACTTGCTACGCATCAACTGCTGACTCGAGAGCCCGGGTCGACGACGACGACGGCTGCGTCGCTGCTTCGGCGCCACTTTTGCGGGGAAAATGCGTAAATGACTGCGCGGTCTTGACCGACAACGTAACTACGGTAACTTTGTCAGAACCCAACATTAACACCGCCTCTCACCAACCATTCAATGACCATCTAAATCCCCCCATCATCCTCCTGGCCATGCTTGCCAAGCTGAAGAAACGATCGTCGATGTCGGCTGCCCCGGCCGCGCCGCCGCCCCCGCCGCCGCGCCGTGCGGGGACGGTAGGGGCGGTTGGTAGCAGTAGCCCTGCTGGATTATCTGGATCAGGACCGACCTCGACGCGGTCATCTACGGCTCCGACTCCGGCACAGTCTCCTGCTCCACTGCGAGTTCCCTACGCCGCTCGACCAAGCAAGGCATCTGCTCCTCCTGCTCCTTCCACACCTTCTGCACCGCCCTCGCTTCCGCCCAGACGCACCAACACTGTCACCGCTCGTGGGTCAGCGGCATTCCCACCTCCACCACGTGCACCGCAGCTGCCGGCTCGCGCGTCGTCTGTGTCCAGCAGCACCAGGAGCACCCCGCCGCTTCGTGCGGCTGGGTACGAGGCGAGGTCCAAGATGGGATCGGGTTACGAGGCTCGTGAACCACGATTACGGGTTGCGTACCAGACTCGAGACGTCGTTCTCGCTGCTCCCCAGTTGATTCTTCCCACACCATCACCTGGTCTCGAGGCGAGGGAAGACCCGTTCACACCGCCATACACACCCACCGAGTCGCCGTTCGTTCCCCCAACGCCGCCAGGTCGCCCGACACCACCCGAATCGTTGTCCACCATGGCCCCCACACCCGGACGCTCGCCATTCCCCCCTGTTGGCGAGAACCCGGAGGACCAGCTAGAGATTCCGCCACTACGCAGTGTCCACCAGCCGCCGCCGCTGCCTTCTCGCCCGCAACAGGTGGACACGCAGTATCCTCTCTCGCCTTATTCCGAGGAAGAGGAGCCAGACGCGCCGAGCCGTCCACAGCGAGTGCTCAACTTGCCACAGCCATACAACATGACCGAGTCGCTCCGCCGGTTCCAGTTTGCCCTCACGACGGCTTATGACGGCGACGAGCTCGCCGAGTTGCTGCTCAGCACCAAGCCTGCGCAAGTGGGCGACATCCACACGCTGTACGCGGCCGCAGCGTACGCGAACGTGTGGATCGTGCTCGACCGCGAGTTTCTGGAAACCATGCGCCGCGCCGAGAAGCGGTACAATACCGATTTCTGCACCGTCGTCGCCATGATCCATCTGGTGCTCCACCGCCTGGTAAGTTAAGACCGCTTTGCCGACACTAACTTTACAGCCAGTGTACGAGTTTATCGAGACGGAAGAAGACGACGGGTACGATGTCGACCGGCCCGTGTTCCGTGAAGAGCTCGAGGAACGGCCGCACCGTATCCAGAGCACGGCCCGGCGCGGGGGTAAACATATGACAAAGGCAATCTCCAAGCTGCACCGGTCCAGCACGCTCATGGTCCCCCGTGGTGGCGGTTCTGGCGGTTCTGGCGGGGAACTGTCCCATGCGGCCAGTGCGATGGCTACGACGGCGGGAAAGTGGCGCAAGGGCCTCAAAGCCAAGGTCGCGGCGATGTGAGCGAATGGGAGAGGTGTGTGCAGGGAGACGGTAGATGTGTAGAGGACACTGTGGCGATTTATAATCTGGCGTCGTGGCTGTGGCGCGGTGTAAATAACAAATCCCAAACATATAACAATGTACGCATCTGACTCGCATTGGTACCGGGCGAGCAGGCATGACATTGCCGCTACCTGTGGGTAAAGGGCATTGGGCCACTGGTGGGTGAGAGAACGGTAGACGATGAGCACAATGGGTATGACCTTGCCTCTCTCAATTAGATAGAGGATCACCTGCGATCCCATCTTTCTCGGTCCATTTCTCGGTCCATTTTGATGCTGGAGCTATGCAATGTGCACCGTTGGATAGCCTTTCAAAACGTTCACCGTCATCACTGGTGAATACAGAGGACACACCTAAGCGCTTTTAAAAGCACCTCAGTTGCATTTTAGGTAGGCACATCCGTATAGCCGTGCGCCTACCACCCCGCGTAAATAGGCCGGATGGGTCATATACGGCACGTCGACACGGGGGTGTGGTTGGCCATTGGGTGGGACAACTGCCGCGCGTTTACCTCAGTTACATTCACACTCCCTTTCATACTTTCGCCCGTACTGTCTGCAGCAGTATCAGTGCACCTTCGTCGGCCTGCGCTCGTTATGCTCACAGGTGGAGATTCGCAGCCACAACTCGCATCCGCGTTTGTGTCTCGCTCTCGACACAATACTCAGCACAACCAGATCTTGTCCAACATGCAGCGCTTGCACAACGCCCGAGTCACCGGGATCCACTCTCAACTGGAGCGGGTATGACTGACCATGTAATACACATTAGCATGCCTTCGGCTTCCTACAACACATAATCGGGGGCAGTATACGCTCCACCCGAGCCCTCCCGTTGCTTCGTTTGCCAAACTTGGTATGCCCGCCAGAGGAAGAGAATTGCGACGAGAACCTCATTGTGGATAACAGAGACGCTCCAGAGATCGACCATCGGTCCAAGAATCTTCTGGATTTCGGGGCGAGAGAGCGGAAGTTGGGAACCGTGGGATCGCACCTGCATGGCCACCGATAGCGACGGTCCAGGGCCGGCGAGGGGTCCGTGGTAGTCGACACCTTTGTGACCGAGGAACTCCTCCTGGGTCACGTCCTTGGAGAAGCGGACAGCGATGACCACTCCGCCATATGTGTTTTGCGGAGCCATCGCTGTCTTGACCGTCTCGATGGACTGCGGGTGCATCGTTTGTCCTGTGCGCTTCGTCCACTCCGCTACCATGTCGTCGACATGGTGCGCGATCCTCTGTTCAATGCCCAGCATCATGGATGGTCGGTCGACATCGGGCGCCGGCAGGGGGAGAGGTGGGGAGAAGAGGGCGTCTTCGGGTATGTGCTTGAATCCGCCACGCGCCGAATTGAGCGACAATGGCCACAGGCAGGACACCATTGCACGCTCTACAGCTTGCCAGTCTTCTTTTGCTCGGTAGGTACGTGCGTCCATTGACACCTTGACATCTGACGTGTAAGCTAAACGACTGAAAGGAGAAATCCCAAAAAGAACCTACCTTCAAGGACAAAGATGTCCATCTGCTTGCCCGTATGGTGAAGGAAGTTTGTGATAAAGGAGCCCCTCTGCTTCGAATCTGCCTTGTCGCGGTCCTCGGGGGTAGATTCGCACGTTTGTCCAGCATAACGCAGCCAGACGCGATTGGTACCGTGGTTGATGTGATGCTTGATCTCCTCGACGATGACGGACACACGAGGTCGCAGCGCTGGGTAGTGCGTGTTGGTACGGTCTTGAACCAACGAGCGAAGACATGAAGGTTGCTTACCAGGGTATGGTTCGACCATTTTCAACATATCTGCCAGCAGGTCAACGGGCTTGTAAGAGACCTGGCGGACGTAGAACTGGAGGTAGCCAACTGCGAGCTCGGTAGAGTCGACCTTGATGAAACAGTTTGGCAGGTCTGCGCCCAGAGGGTTACGCGCAAGCGCCAGCATCTGGTCGAGGTCTGTGGAACTGAGCTGACTGTCAGCTCATGTGCGCCAGACAGGTACTCACAAGGGCAATCTCCTCTGGACGCAGCAGGCGCTCCCGGTTGGCCTTGCGCGAGATGTCCACGAACGCAGCAAGAGTGGAAGTCGTCTCGGCCGCCGCTCGGTGAAGGGTGTGTTGTGATCGCCACTTTGCGAGCTTGCCTTGACCGACGGTGTACGGTGTCGGTGACCGGCACGAGAGAGTCGGACTGAGGGCCCTGGCTGCTCATGCTGACTGGAGGTGTAGGTGCGGGCAAGTAATGATGGGGGGCGAGAAACAGGCAGTACGAGGTGGTTGAGTGGACCGCGGTGGGGCGCAGCATGCAGGCAGGAGCTAGGCCATGGGCCATGGGCCATGGGCCAGCCATGTGGCCACGTGGTTTTGGGATCGCCACAACTCCCTGCGATCCATACTGCAGGCATCGGTGGCTACAGGTAGAACAAACGTCAAACGTCTTCTCGTTACTGATGCCACCTACATGTCGACGGACAAGGCCACCTTCGCTGCCACCAGCGGGACCGAGGCGCTTTTGCGCAATTGGAACATTGCATAGAAAGGCAAGCGTCATCGTGGCAGTGGTGTTGTGTCATGTTCCTTCCGGCCCTTTGCTACTGCCGGCTTCATCGCACTTCATTATATAACCAGGTCCATTGAGGATAGCACTAACAATAAGTTGACCCACGACGATGAGCTCCTTGGGTAGATTAATTGTACAAGGCCTGTCGTAACCAAAAAGCTCACCGACCACACTCCGGCTTCGAATCCCTCCGCCGTTTTTTCCTCAACCTGTTTTCTTGTTGGGATCCATTTTCACCCGTTTTCTCATCAACTACAGCTCCAATCGTTCGCAAAATTTGTCTACACATAGCAGAGATTGTAAAGAGGAGACTCGTAGCACTCTCCAGACGCTGCAAGCGGATGCGTAGTAGGTTGGAAAGGTCGATAGAGGATAGAGTAACGAGAACAAGTCTGCATAGCACGAATACAAAGAGCAGAACCTGATAACGAGCTAGAGCAATAGAGACGGTCCAAATAGTCTCTATCCTAATGTTAACAGAGATCAGCAGCCTTTATAGCTCAGTTGGTAGCAGCGTGCCCTTCGTAAGAGGAGTGTTCTCAGTAACTGAGGGTAAGGTCGGCAGTTCGACTCTGTCTGGAGGCACTGAGCGTGTTCAAGCGTTCGTTTTTGACGGTTGGGAGGTGTCTGGGGACGTCAAAGTGGTACCGGGACATGGGGGGGCATTGGCGACAAGATGGCCATGATGCGTGGACATTGCCTGACCACGACGGCGAGCTGTGAAGCTTGTTGTGGCGTGGCAGATGGCACCGTTTTCTCTCCGTGCTTCTGAACTTTTGACCCTCCACATCGAAATCCTCAAGACTGGAACCCAGACGTGTTACGTTAATCAGACGGGCATACATGACCTGCTGGCCGTCGCCGTCCGCTGGAATGTCACGCGGCGGGTGTAACCACGGCCCTCGGAGACGACGGCCGTCGGGGCTCTCGGGCTCGGACTCGGCGCACTCGGTTGGCGTCGCTTCCGAGGCAGCCACTTTGTGGCTGCGCCGCCTTGATTGTTGGGATGACAACTAGACCAGGATGCAAGTGTGGATACCAGGACACCTTTCCCCCAGGCGTACTGCTCGGACTGGCGCTGGGCCGGAGCGGCAAGAGAGACCAAAGAGACTAGAGGGGCCGAGTGCACGAGTCGCCGATGCAATATCATCATAATTAAGGGGGACGGAAAGCACTTGATGTGAATGCGGGAACCTGAATACGCTCAGAGTGAACACTCTGCCCCTGACTACAGAGAGCAAAGTGCGCCAGAGCACCACTGCTAGTTCGGCCCTCTCCAAATAGCTGCACGAGCCGGGCACGTCCACCATGTCCAACACATTAATGACAGCGTTACATGTCTTTGAAGGGGGGCACAGTTTCGGAACACACGAAACGAGGTGGGGGCTGGTTGCATCACTTTCATGGCGATACGAGGGTGTCCACCAAGGATCCACGGTGGGCCACTACTGTGTCGCTGTGTTTCCTTCTCCTGCCGCCCCGTAAAGCACGCTCCGCAAGAGGGGTAATGTTTAGTGTGTGAGAGGACCGCCGGCGATGCCCACCTGCAAAAGTCTCTGGAGCTCGCCTGCTTGCTGCCTGGCAACGACCACGCCATGCACGGAGTTACGGAGCCCGGGTTGCATGAACGCTTCACGCTACCTTCGCTACCACGCTCGCTCGCTCGGAGGAAAGGAGCAAAAGCAAAAGCCCTGTAGGCACGGCGCAAAGCCACGCTCATATACCGATTGAGCTAGTGAGCAAGCCCTGGGTGTGTGGTGTGTGGAGAGTTGGGCAAGGTTAGTAGCCAGCGAGCGACGTAGACGTACTACGTCAGTCGGCCCGTCAGGGTGGAGGACACGAGGAGAGACCACGGAAAAAGGCAAAAACACACACGTCCACTACGCGACACGGTCCCGAAAACACACTATGGAGGTAAGATGGATCCTTCGCTCAATCATAGTGCGTTTTTCGCCGCTCGCATGGGGGCAGACGTTGCATAAATGTCAAAAATGTAGCATGGCATGCGCTGCACACTCTCTGCAGCTAGGTAATCACTCATACATGGGGGTCGTGGAATCGTTCAAGACAAGGGTCCGTGCAAGTTTGGGGGGAACTGGAATGCGAGAAAGGAAGGGTATTGTTCGGGGCAGCCGGGTCGGTGCAATGGGGATGGGTGGAGGTCGGTGAATGGGAAGGTGGCGAGAACATGAGAACACCACTCGGCGACGGCGTGGCGTGTACAACAGCAGGGCTCACAGGGTGCGCGCGCTGGCTACACCCTCACGAGTACCTCGTCGTCGAGCGACGGGCCAGAGCTCAACCTCTTGGCACCGCCAGGCGCGCCGTCGGGGTCGCGGACGCGGCTGGCGTCGTCCTTGCGCTTCTTGCCGGCCGACTGGACGGGGACGACCTCGGCGGGGGGAGCCACGGGCACAGCCACGTTCGAGACGACAGACGATGTGGACGAGGGTGAGGCGCTGCGGGAGCCGGCCTTGGACTGGAAGAAAATTGGAGGTGAGCGGCGGAGGCCGACCAAGGGGTTGGGAGGGACAGGGAGCTCGTCAACGTGCTCGCCGTTGATGCCACTGAGCGAGTCGCTGACGCTCGAGAACGAGGACGCGATGGACTCAGTCTTGGGTGGGCGCAGGTCGGAAATGGTCGAGGTGCGGCGGAAGCGGTCGGCAATGGGCGTAGGGGTCGAGAAGACGCGAGCACGCGATGCGACAGTGCCGGGAGCGTACTGGGCGTCCTCGATGACATCCGACGCCTTGGCGACGTCGGTGTCGAGCGACTCCATCTCGTCACCTTCGTCAATGTCCTCGGTCATGCGGAACGAGGGCAGGTCGACCTGGACAGGCTCTGGCAAAGCCAGACGAGGAGGGACGGGCGAAACAGACAGCGCCTGCTCGCTCTGGCTGCGGCGCACCGATGCACGGCCGCCACCGAGAAGGTTTGAAAACGAGTTCTTCTTGGCCAGGCGCGGGGCAGGCTTCTTGATGCTGCTCGCGCTGCTGGGAACGGGGCTTGGGAGAGCAAGGTCCTCGTACGTGGGGGACAATGTGAGGAGCTCGTCGGAACCAAAGTCGATCAAGTCGGAAACGGACACCATGGGCGGGTTGGCAAACAAGACCTCGCGGTGGCGGAGAAGGAGGGTGACGTGGTCGCCCGAGAGACGAAGCGTGGGCCCGAGCGAAATCATCAGAGCGTTGTGGCTCATGCGGTTGACGTCGGCGTGGCGGGGGATCAGGTCGATGAGGCTGATGACGTCGGCAAGGAGGAACCAGTTTGCACTGGGCAGCTCGGCGATCACGCCAACAAGCAGGTCAACGTCGTCCTTGCGCTTGTGCAGGTACTCGTCCAGCTGGGACTCGACATATGGCGGCAGCATCTGGTCGGGAAGCTCGCGAATGTACGACTTGAACGTGCCGGCAATGGCGTGCGGGTCAAGGTCTCCCGGGTCGGACAACATGAGGTCCAGGTCGGCTCCAGCGTCAAACTCCTTGCGAAGCTTTTGCAGGTGACTGGCACGACCACTGATGCGGAAGATGCCCTCCTCCTTGGGACCCCAGGTGGTCAGGTACTCGACGCAGCGAACCACCACGGCGGGCAAGCAACGACGCCGCCGCTGCTCGTACTCGCTTTCGCCAAGGCGCTCCTCGGCGGCATCGTAGACGCCCCATGTGCGTCCAACGGTGTCGATTGGGCGGCCAAACACATGGCCCTTGGGGTATCCCACACGGGCGCGGCGCTTGACAATGCCTTCCTCCCAAGTTGCGACCTCGATAGGCGCAATGTCGACGTCGCGCGACAGCTTGCGCGACAGAGAGGAAGGTGGAGTCGAGTATGAGCCCGGGCCAGTAAAGTCTGGCTCCATGCCGCGGACTTGGGCCAGAGACCCCAGCCCCGAGATGCTCATGCTGCCGCCGACGCCGCGGGCGCGCATCCAAGTCTTGGACACGGCACTGCCGGCCTGGCCAAGGACACGCGAGGCCGACGACGGGATCCGCTGGTGCGACACAGTGCTGCTGATGCTGTTGCTCGATGCCGAGCGCTGCACACCTGCGGTGCTCTGTCCCCATGCCCATCGGCTACGCCCACTCGAGCTGAGCGAGTTGTGGTGGTGCGAGATGGACGAGATTGACTCTGCGCGCCCAGGGTGTTGCGGTGGTGGTGGTGGGGTACGGGACGGCCCTGCTGTCATTGGAGTGTCGAGCGGGCCAGAGGGAAACTTGTTGCGTGGGGGGAGTGGCGGGGGTCCAGCAGGCTGCGAAACGGTGGCTTCGGCTGCTGGCAGGTCCACAGACAACCCGGCCGGCGAGCGAGACGACATGGTTCGCAGCGCGGGGGTGATGGAAGCGCGTCGCAGCCACTTGGGCTTTGACTTGGGGTAGGGCTTGCTGAGGTCCACCGACGACCGGGATGAGTCAAACGAAGACGACGCAGACGGTGGTGGCGATGGCAGCTTGTCTTTGTCCTCTTGGCCCTGTGAGACGCCACCAAGAGGCGCTGGACGAAGGGCGGCGCGAGTCGCCATAAGCAGGGGTGAAATGCTGTCTGATGGTTCTCTGAGGCAAAGCGGTCAGTGCGTTTTCTCAATTTCTGACGCAGGCACAACTACTGGCTACTCACGACGACAAGTCGACCACGAGCTCGCTAGACACCAGTGGGCGCGAGGTGAGCTCTGCTGGCTTTTCGGGCTTTGGTGGGGGTTCCGACTTGCGCTTGGTGGTCGGTGATGTCGGTGGGTCGACTGTCGGCAGGGGCACAGTCGCTGCTGTAGGGGTGGGGGTTGCAGGCGGCGACGCCGCCGCTTGGACCATGGACGAGGACACCGGGCCGGCGGACACCGTTACGGCCGAGGCCGAGGTCGTGGCCGCCGCCTTTGGCGTTGTCGTAGGCGAACCTGTATAGTCGGCGAGGTTGAGCGTGATGGTGTGCACAGGCAGGGAGACGCGCTTGGGTTCGTCGCCGCCCACTTGGCTCCCTGGACGGGACAAGCGCTGTTCGCCGCCCTTGAGGGAAAGAGTGGAAGAGTAGCTCGACACGCGAGCGCTCGCACGGCGCAGGTCGTCGTTCTCTGACAGCTCAGAGAGAGCCCTGCTGGCCGGGCGCTGCGGCGGCGGCGTGTCGGCCATCGTCTCTGTAATGGTCGCTATGGTGAAAGATGCGATGGGGGTGGTAACCGATGTAGGGAAAAGCTGCCTCCGACGGACCGGGCGCGCCGGGAGGGATTTGCGCGCTCTGATGCAGAGGAAGAAGAAGTAGTGATGGGGAGGGGCGTGATGGGCGTGGTGGTTGGTACAAGTGAAAGCAAAAGTGGGAGTGGAGCGCGAATACGCGTCTTGCGCGGGGGTCGTGAGGAGTTTGTGAAGATGTGGGTGTTAGGTCGGTAGAAGGGCCGACGGCTGGCGGGTGGGTGGGGTAGGTGTGCCGCGTGGACTAATTGATCACAAGCATCGGCTGTTTCACCACACGGCAATGTCGTTCAAGGCCAGAGAGGGGGATGCGAAGCGACTGGGCGTCTTGAAGGAAAAGTGTGCAATGCAGACACGGAACAGTGTCGGGAAAGACGAACAGAGGTGTGTGTGTGTGTAGGTGTGGGGGGCGGGGAGGGACTCTAAGTGTTGGAGGGGGGGAGAGGGGACCAAGAAGATGTGGGTGGGAATGGGATACGACACGACGACGCAGTGACGAGCAAGACGAACGAGCGCAGGAACTCTTTCTGTTGCGAGGAATGGGTTTCAGTCGAACAGGTCTTGTGCGTGGTCTGTGCGCAGGCCGCCGGTCGGTGGGGAGCAAGGGAAGTGTGGAGACTGGGGAGGTTGTGGGTTGGGATGATGGGTCGATGACACGGTGACGCTGGGGGGTTGCTGGGCAGGGAAATGCGCGCTGCCAGTAGGACACTACTACTGCTTATGGCCGTTTGCGCGCTGTGCACGGCCTGCGGGCTGCGTTGCACGCTGTGTACAGGGAACTGGAGGTAGAGCGAGGAGCTGGTGGGTTGAGAGGATGGGAGACAAGTGAGAGAACAAGAGCAAGAGAGTGAAAGAACAAAGCCTCGTCGGTGGATCGGTGGCCGGCCGGCCGCGGGCTGGTGATGACTGGTGGTGGTGGTGTCAAAGAGTTGCTTTTGCTTCTCTGCTTCTGTGCCGCCCCCCGGGGTTCGTAGTGGTCTTCCCTTCGTGTGCACGCCGTCGGACGAGCTGCAGCCCGTCGTCGTCGTCGTCGTTCCCGCTCTGCCCGGTCTCTGCCTGCAGCTTGCAGCCTGTGGCGTCCACAGTGGCGCCCTGATGTACTGACGTCGGCCCGCGCAGCCAAGAGAAGCCCTGTCCCCCCCTCTCCCATGCTTGCCGCTCTGCCCACCCAGGGAGAGCTGGGGAGAGAGGGGGACATTGGTGTGCATATGCTCTCTCTGGCATGTGCCGTCACCACACGTCGCACAGAGACGGCCAGAGACGGCCAGAACGAGGAGCCCACACGCTTGAAACCCGGGGGCTTACCTCGATTGTTGTTGGGACCATGAAACACCTGGGACTCGTTCTGCTGCTGGTGGTTTGCTTGGACCCACGCTGGGAGGCGTCTGTGCCACCTCCTGATGGTCCTGATGGGACCTGTACTGCATGGGACTACTGTGGCCACTGGTCGTGTGCTGCTGCCTCGTCCACCCAGCCCACTCGTGCAACAGACAAGACGGACACTGGCTATTGGCATGACAACCCCCCGTCCTCCTTTTGCCCCCCCCCCCGAGGTACTCACTCTGGTCTGTTCTTCTTCTGTCATTTCCCCAACATCCACGCGCAGCCGCGGGCCGCAATCGTCCCCCCCTTCCCCCCGTTACCCCGTGTGTCTTCACTGCCTGCACTCGTTCTCCTGCTGTCGCACACACATTCCACCCTTCTGTAATCAAAAGCCAACACGTCGGACACTGACCCCGCCCCGCACACCCTCGGCCGTGAAACAGGGCACATTGCGGGATCCCACGGTGCCGCAGGCAAAATGCTCCACGCGCGTCAACAGAGTTTGGTGCTTCTTTTCAAGGACATTATGGACTATCTTTTTTGGACTGACAGACACCGGACGCGCTAACATTTTGTCAGCCAGACATGTATTGGCATGCACATCAGACATGTTGCATAATCGAAAAGGGTCGCTCTTCGGGTCCCCGCCACCCTCCCACGCGCCATGCCTCGCCAGTCGCGCCGCCACCTGGCACGGCAACACGGCAACACGACGACGCGCTGCGCGTAAAACCGTGCCGTGCCGTTCGCGCGTATGTGGGGCAACAAGTCCCCGGTTGGGGGAGTGTTCCTTCCTTCCCCTTGGACCTTTGGGTTTGCTCATGACCCGATTTTATGGATTGTCGGAGGTAGTGTTGCCTGCTCGTCGCCGCTCCTATCGTGTATCACAACCCGCCAAAGCTTTCGCGTGTTAAGCTCGCGCTCCACACGGCCTTGTGTTAAGCTCCCCAGATGGCACGCCCTGTCCCACAAACGTCAACTCTGTACTGCTTACTCACTGGCTTTGGCCAATGTCTCGAATTTGGAGCACCACACGCGCTCAGGCCCGAACCGTATCTCCCACGGCTCACTCCTTCCCGGTCAAAGTTACAAACAAGGTACGGGAATCTGCCTGACAAGGAAGGGCCTGGCAATGGCTGGAAAGGACCGGCTGTTGATGTGAACATTTTGCCCACAAACTGCCGCCACTACTTTGGTACTGCCGTGGCATGGTGCATGGTGGGCAGAAAGCGTAACTGTATAACTGTACAACAGGTGGCCTCGCCACGCCCAAAAAGCACGAAACTGAACCTGAACGGCTTATTGAAGCCAAAAATACCCATACCGCCGCAGCTGGTCAGTGACGCGTTGCCGACGAAGGGGGAGTGCCACAGCCACAATGCTCAATAACTGTATGCGTGTCAATTGTGAAATGGTCCTCTGTCTCTTGCATAAGCCTGATCGCGTGGGTGGTAGTACCCTCGGCTCCGCGGGAACCACGGCGCGGCCGGAACACGGCAAGACGAGCAAGAATTACGATAATGGAAGGCCTGCCGACGCTGTAGCACGTACGTCCACGCGACGACGTGTTCTGAGTACCTCAGCCTGAGCATCTGCTCCCCACCTCCCACATCACCTCTCTGCACAGCACAGTACAGCACAGCACAGCACAGCACCTGCTCAGCGCGTCTCTGCGCTCTGCCCACACAGACAGACCACAAGCCCCCCCGGTCAGTAGCAGGATGTAGGCTCTCGTCGGTAAATAGATCTCGCAGTGGCGCCGCGACGTACTGCCGAACACGTGTGGCGGGGCCGTATTCCGCACCCCACAGGCGTGGGGCTTGATATTCACTTGAACCAAAGTCGCCACACCATTCAAGGTGTCCTCCCTGCTTCCCTCTGATCCGCATGTTGGCGTTGAGGGCTTGGACCTGCTTCTTTTCTTGCTCCGTTACCGTTCCCAGATGAGATCAAGACCAGATCAGATCGCGCCCCGGGTTCTCTTTTGTTGTGAGCATGCATCGCGACGTGTGGGTATGGGCTGCGCACACGACGTGTTGCACTTTGCGCTTTCCGCACCATTCATGGTTCATGGACATGTTCAAGGTGGCCAAACGTGCGGCCGTTCGGCGAAAGGCGGCACACGCCACAGCGGACGCCTCCGGCCACCAGTAGAGACACAAAAGCAGAACCATTGAGCGAGGACATTATATACCGCGTTATCCGGTGTGCCGTGCTGCGGGCCAACTCCAGCATACCTTGCAGACCTTGGAGCTAGGGGAGCAGGGATAGATGGACCCGGAGTGGTCGTCGCCACCACACACACCGTCGACCCGGCATTCAGCGTATTTCTACAGCTTTGGGTCAACACGGAGAGCATCATGCGCAGGTACGCACCCTATGGTGCTGCAGTACCAGCAAGACGAGGGGAGGAATGCGGCGTACACATGATCGACCACTGGAAAAGGTCACTCAAGGGTCTCGCTTTCTAGGGCTGGAGAGACAGTATGTACACAACATTGACATGTGGTCAGGACCCGAGCGACAGTGGGCTACAGCCGATGGGACCACGACTACGGTGCAGCACAGGCGCTAGACTCATTCTAGCGAAGGGCCGGACGTCTTGCCAGACAGAACAATAAAACAAACACCGTCCACTGCATGACTCATGGCTCCTCTCGGACGACTCCTCTCCGGCGTTGCCATTCAATTGAGCAGTACCTTTTTTCACTTCACCGTTCAACCTCTCCCTGTACCATGTATGTGCGCACACAGAATATGTATGTTGACCTCCTCCCCCCCACACCGGAACCGAGGTAGACCCTAGAAATTCTGCAACCCGAGTGCACCGAATTCCAGCAGCAGCGCGTCCAAAGGCCAGAAGCGTTGCCCACGCTACCGTAGGATATGTTCTGAAATGCAATGTGGCGTCGAGTATACTACTGTTGGGGTGAAACACGCGCTTGTCGATCACATTGGACTATCCTCCTCACACGGATTACCGACATGGCGGAGTGTGGACTAGCCGTAGCCATAGCAGGAGACGTAGTGTGACCGTAGACATAGCCATGGCCGTAAACATGGCCGTAGCCACAGCCGTTGACCGTTCACAGCCGGGGTACAGTATCAAGATGTACACGTTGTCGCTGGCTGTTGGGCTGATCATACAAGCCCAACCATGTGTCCCACCGCCATTAAGCAACCGCACTCACACACCCCGGTGCTATGAGGTATTCAAGCAAGCAGGGAAACATGGATAACCCTGTGGCGGATGCCATCAAGTTACTTTGATGGGTACATAGATGGAGCGTTACGAGGAAGGACTTGGTGCGGTGGAGAAATGTGAGCGAGGCCCTATGCCATCGTAAAACTGAGAAGTGTAGTGTACAATGGGGATGCGGCCTTGCCTTTCGGGGTGCTTACCGTTGCGGTAAGACGAGGGCGAGGCCTCTTCTTTTAGGCGAGACAAAGGGGGGGCCCATTGTGCATGTCTCCTTGTTCTTCCGGTCGGGGTTCCTGGCTGGACTAGTGGCGACTCAAATGTCGGTGACTTGGGACTGTGGCACTTGGCACACTTCAAGCCAAGTCGGCATGGTTCGTCTCGGCAGATGTTCTGCACGTCCACTTGTATATACGCAGAACTCGAGGCTGCTGTACACCCCGTATACAGGGTACAGTGTCAGTCAAGAAAGCTGACGGAACCAGTCATCCATCGCTTGTGGCTGTTGTTCTTGACGAAAGGAGCCTCTGCCACAGGTACGCCGCATGCACATGCCGCCACAGCCACGACCCCCGCTGCTTCCCTCGGTCACTGGTACACTCGGCCGAGACCTGGCTGCTACGGTCTACCATCCGGTGCGTGCGCCAAAACCCCTCTAGCTCAAAGCCACACCATGCCTATATGTACATGGGAAGTGCTGAAATTGATCAGAGGAGGACTGAGAACCGGCGCCGGCAAAGGGACGAATGGGCCGGGTAGGGAGAGAAACACAAAGACAGAAAGACGGAGAGGTGGCTCAAGAGGTCTTGCATTGTTGCAGTCATTGCCTTGCTATGTAATATGTGAGCCTAGGATTTCTTAAGGACAGCCGATATCAGATACACCACCCGAAGGAGAACTGGTAGTCGCCAACGCACCCGAGCCAGCACCCATATGAACACTGCCAATCGGCTACACACTGGCCACCGTTGCAGTAGCTCCCAGGAGAGTCGCGCTTCCCTTCGAGAGAGACAGCGTCACGCTTGACACTCGTCGTGGGCGGAGTGAAGCTGGTCCAGGCAGACTTGACGTCTGAGAGAAGGGGGTCGCCGACTTGCCAAAAGTCATTGGTGCCGACATCGAGGGCAATGAAGTTGCCGTTATTGTGCACTAGGCGGTGGTTGGCGTGAAGTGCGAGGTACTCTGCCTTGGTGGTGATGGTCCCGAGAGACTTGCCACTACTGTCGTCGCGAGTTTCGGCCGTGGGGGCGGCGAGGACCTGGTGACGAGCGCCAGGAGGGCAACTTGAGCGAGCTTCATGGTTATGTTGCTGAGAAATTGTTGGTGGTGAGACAGTTGTGTGTTGGGGAGCTGTATGAGTGTGGGTGGGGTTGTGGCAGTCTTTTATGCCTCTCAAGAGCATCTCATTACGTCAAAAGTGTGAGGCGATTCGGTGGCATTGTCACATGCTCTTGTGCACACCAACGTTGT